CTTTAGCTATTCATATGGGGTTATTGTTCCATATGAATTTCAAGAGTATTTGATCTATTTTTTTCAAAAAATGTCATGGGTTTTAGGGACCTCATTGAATCTGTATAGTGCTTTGGGGAGTATTGCCATTTTGGCAATGTTAATTCTACCAAGCCATGAGCAGGGGGTGTGTTTCCATTTTCTCATTTTCTCTTTTATTTCTTGAAGTAATGTTTTGTAGCTAGACCCAAGTTTTATTGGATTTATTTAATAATTAATGAATTACTATACTACTTAACCACATACCCAACTCCCAGTGTTATTCTTTAAGTCATTTTTCTGTGTCCCTATATTTTCTAAGAGAATATAACCCTCTTCTTGTTATGTGTTTATGTACATATATTTATACACAGGAAATTTGGTGATTTTCTGATGTGTTTAGGCTGACTGTATTCTCTCAGTTATCCTTTTGCATTCAGTATTATTTCTAATATTAAGATTCTTTCCTGCAACTTCATTTTCCATATCTTAAAACTGAGTAGTCCTAGGATGTGAAGGAGAAGAGCATTGTCTGGTGAAATGAGGAAGTGTCATTGTCCTAAATAGACTTATTGCATGATGGTTTGAGAAATGACAGGCTTCATGTAAATGCTTATTAGGTGAAAAAGAATTTGGCAAACAACAAATTAGACATTGACTCTAGCTTTCTACCACAAAAAAAAAGTCAAATAAATTTAGTTCTACAATTGTAGGAAACTTTTTCTAAAATTTCGGAGTCCACATTTTTGACATTATAGCTTCAATAACTGCAATGAAATTGGTCACACGTGCATTTTTTAAAAAATTTTTATTAGTGAAACACCATGATTATAGATTTACAATTTTTTGTGCTTGGGTTTTGATTATACGATGATCAAATACCCATCCCTCCACCAGTGCCCATTTTCCACCACCATGGATAATATCCCTCCCACCCTCATCCCCTCCTTCCCACCCTGCCTCTGTGGCAGGGCATTCCCTTTTGTTCTCTCTCTCCTTTTGGTTGTTGTGGTCTACGTGCATTTTATAAAATATATGCTTGAATGTTCTTAGTAGGTCCATTGCGCATGATTCAAGAATTTGGGCATTCGGAACATTTTGTATTCTATAAATACTTAGAAGCCCTTTATTTCAAAACAGTACTTTGATACTTTCTAGTTGGAATAAGTCATTGTTTATTGATGCTGCAAGAGGAGTATATGAGGGCTTATACTTTGTGTTTATTTAGTAGTTTTTATAATTATTTTTATTCACCCAGTTAATACCACACTCCTGGGGTCTCGACCAGATCTAAAGTGCTAGAATTTTCTTTTAAATACAATAGAAAATCTGCTTAGGATATGTGAATCTTCCAGAAAAAGAAAAGTTGTAGTATTAGGTTACCTCAGGGAAAAATTAGGAATTGCCCTTCCCCCTCGCAGAACAGAGAAATGAAACAAATATGTATCTTCTATACCGCTGTGTACGTCACCTTAGAAAGCAAGTAAGATTCCTGCCCAAATGACCTGCATGGAAAATGTGCCTTTTCACACACACCGATGCGAGGTCCTCTGCATTGAGCGCATGAAATTTCACTGTGATCCTTGAAATGGTTAGATTCATTATGTCATTCGGAAGTGAGAAGCCCATGTTTACAAGAACTAGCCTTTCTACCCTGACTTCAGCTGTGACTGAGAATTTTAATCTGATTATAATCTTCTTACAGAAATGACTGCAGAGTAAATATTGCCTACGAACAATCATCTGGTTATATGAGCCAAGTCATTTCATGAAAGAATCATGGTGAACATTTACAAGAATCCAGGAAGCACGTGCACACACACAGACACACACACAAACACAGACACACACACCACACAGAGACGCACCACACACACACACACACACACACACACAGATTCCCATCACTTTAGATCTCCTATCTGTAGCCATAGGAGTGGAAGAAAAGAAAAGAAAATTTCTGATCCACGTAATCCTACTAAACTAATCCTTAAAATACTGTTTCTGGAAGGCTGGTGCTGCAGTATTTTAAAGGCGTACATAAGACAATACTTGTCCTCCCCCAAGGTATGAGACTGAGCCTTTCCACGTCATGTGAGAGACAGTGAGAATCAGCGTCTCCATTTCCTCGTGTCCTCTTTTATTTCCTGAGGTAGTGTTTTGTAGTTGTCTTGGTACAGGTCCTTCACTTCTTTAGTTTAGCTGATTCCGAGGTACTTGTTTTTTTCCAAGGCACAATTGTGAACTGGATTAGTTTTATTTTTTGTTTTGTTTTGTTTTAATATCTGCTATGACTTTGTTTCTCACCCGTCTGTCCTTCCTTCATTCATTTAAAACTTGGTGGCAGTCTGAGTGCCCACACTTCCCAGCCCCTGTGACAATCCTGGTTATCCAAGCTTGTTTCCTGTGACTCTGTTTACCTTTCTCATGTGTTCCTTCATCCCTCTTCTTTCTTTTAACCAACCTCTATTGAATACCTTCTACCACAAGTAACAATTCATTTTGTGAAGTTCCACACTTTCACTTTGCAAACCAGGAAAACAGAATCCCTGACAAACCCTGATGATTTGCTGCTGGACGTCCATTCACTCCGCAGTTGTGGGTATTTCCCATGAACTGTTGTTTCTCTAGTGCCAAAAAGGCCCCCCAAATCAGTCTCAACTGGTTCAATAAAATGCATGTATTCTAGCGTTATCTAAAGCCAAATGGCCACACAAGAGCTTTCATACGGTTTTACACAGTCTTACATGTTCTTCTTTACTGGTCTCAAGATCCCAGGCGTTTTTATCACTTTTCATTACCAGGAGGAGGGCGGCCTTCTGATATGCATGTCTTGAGCGCCCCTTTGTATTTTCACTATTTGGTTGTTGTCTTCCATTTCTTTTCCTCTCCTTGTCTAATCAACCATGTAAGTTCTTTCTCATCTCTCCCTGTTTCCGTCAGCAGATTTTTAATCCATTTTCATTTGCAACTTCCATCTTCCCCACTCACAGATCTTTAGCTGCTACGTGAAATTATGCTCTGACATTTCACTCTGCCAAAAAGACCTTGATAACTCATTCTGCAATTTTAAAAAACAACCACCCCCCCCTATTTTTTCTCTCAAACCCTCAGAGGTCTTGAAAGAACAGTGTATTCTTTTTCTCTCAACTTTTTGTCAATCCTTTTTTAACTTCTCAGATTTGCCCTCTGACCTTTCTGCAATGGAAATAATTACTGAGAGGTTATCAATGACCCTTTTGTAAAAATATTTATTTTGTGTTATGTATTGGACACTTGGTAGATAGAAGTCCATCTGAGAAAAAGGTTGTATTTTTGTCACTTAATAATTTTAAGTGAGGAAATAAGTAGAGGGGGTAAGCAGAGGAAGAGTCATAATTAGCTAAATATATGAAAATTAGGAAAATTAAAAAAAAAGGACAAGAAGGAATATCTTCCTCAGTCTTCAGTTGGTCGTGAAAGCTTTGTGGAGATGGTGAGGCTTCTTTTAAGGTATAAAGAAATGCGTTCAGGTAAATAAAAGGGAGTGGTGGAATGCATTCTTCTTTTAGGGAGAAAATGAAAAGTTTATACATGCTTTTGGTTATCTGCAAATTCAGTAACAGGAGGGGAAATTTTGTTTGGGAAAGTCAGTAGTACCAAAATCACAAGGTGAGAGTTTTACTTGGATTGTTATTAAAGTTTTATTTGAATTTTTACGAGTGAATATGTTTTGGGAGTGGGGTGAGGGACCATTTTTCACCTGATTCTAGCAAATGAATCTGAGTCTCAACAATGCAGTGAGCCGCTGCCACTGATGGAGTTGGGGAACAGGTTACAAAAGGCAATGCTAACATAGTGAATTTCTGAACTGTCCCTTGAAGAGTGTAGTTTGAAGACTTTAAAAAATAATAATAATATGTACTCAGATTGTCATTTCTGGAAACTCTCCATAGTTTGAATTATAACAGAAGGCAAGCCAGACTGCAGGAATGGTACCTAAGACACACACTTCGGCATGGGAAGAAGGGTGATGTGTGGTAGTGATCGTGGGTATCACGGGTATGAAGAAGACAGAGCTGTCGGAAAAGTCAGAAAGGTCCAATTGAGGTTTCCAAGGGGCCTTAACCTCACATTTGTCATTACCTGTACATCCTACATAGTACCCACCGGATGTAATGCTTGTACATCTCATGTTGGTGTAACTGCAAGTTCTGTATTCATTCCTATTTGTGTATTCATATTCTTCATTTTTAATTCTTTGAGCCAGGGACCGTGTCTTTACTGTACCCAACACAGTGACACAGAATAAGCTTTCAGAAGCTATTTACTGGTTATGTTTATCAGGCATCCCCTCCATTCTAAGAGCTTAACATACTTAATTCATGTGACGCTCACAACAGCCCTCTGATTTTGCAATTCTATTAGACTTCATTTTCCACTGAAGAAAAGGAACACCAAAAAGTTAAATTGCCTTCTTAAGTCTGTACACCTAGCAAGCCATCATTCATAACCAAGCAATTACGTGGGTATCAGACTTCCAGCGCATAGCAAAGTGTGCCAAGCCTCTTCGACCTTGAACACGTGAACTGAATCCCACCCAGAGAGATAGGTCGATTTAAAGCGTTGTGTTAAGTGGCCTGGTTTCCGAGAGTGAAACTTGTGTGGTGGGGGCCCTCCCTCCTGCCTGGCTGGTTTGCTGAGCGCTGGGGGCCTCACATTGATACTTGACCAGACAGACTGGGAAGGTCAATACGATGACCCAAGGATGCAGTGCTTCCGAGCTTCTGTGGTGCTGGGGACAACCAAGGCCACCAGAGTGGTCCCTCAGTGCCCCCAGGCCACACGCAGTGGTCCTCAGGAGATCCTGTGATGTCAGAAGCACCTCAGATCTAGTGCATTCTAGGGATGCATCCTACCCTCCCACATACTGAATCTGGCTCCGAAAATGCTTGCATGCAGGTCAAGTTCGCTTTCTAACACTTTTGTTTTAATGCTTTTAGAACCAATGCGAAGATACAAAGCTTACCACAGCGATATTTTTAGTACCTCCAGTGAAAGTCCATCTATTATTTCCTCTGAATCTGACTTCCGACAAGGTAAGAATCATATGATGAAAGCAAAAAATTTTCTTTGTTTTTCGTGGGGAAATACACCCAGCAGTGCTCAGGGCTTTCCCTCGATCTGTACTCAGGGTATTACTCCTGGCGGTGCTCAGGGGACCCAGTGTGGTTCTGGGGATCAAACCTGAGTTGGCAGGGTACAAAGCAAACTCCCTACCCATTGTACTATGACTGCAATCCTGCAAGCAAATGCTTTTAAAAAACTATTATATTGGTTTTTCCTTTTCACGGTGTTTAGATATAAGGTATCAAACAAAAGAATAATCCTATGGGGGATTTTTTTAATTATTCAAAAGCTGAAAATTTAATTATTCATTTTAACACTATAAGAAATTACTATCGTTGATCAAACAACAGTTTAGTCATTTTTGTAGTAGAAGGAAAAAATTCACGTCTTTAAAAATGGACTGAATTACCTGTAAAGTGTTTTTGACATTGTGTCCATTTGATAATGCAAATATGGTTTATAAAAATTATTTGTGCAGCAGTTAAATTTTAGCAGATTTATAGTGTGCTGTTTATCGTATTTATAGTGTGCTGTTCTCTATTATCTTTATCTACGCTGTTTTACCTTTTTCTTTCACAATCAGTAAGAAAAAGTGAAGTTGCAAAGAGATTTGAATCCAGCGCTGGTGTCCCAGGGATAGATGAAGCCTCAAGTCAAGGCCAGTCCCAGAGACCCAGGTATGTGACAGGAAATAACAACGACATGTTTTTCCTTATTCAAACCATGGGAGCTTTAAAAAATTCCCTGCACTTCCCTGTTTTCTCTATTTCTCTTTTCCTTTGGCCCCTGTCATAGATTTGTTAGTTACACGAAAGACGCCAGTGGCTTGAGTTGGGGCTCTTGTCAGCTTTTTTTTTGGGGGGGGGGGGTTGGGTCACACCCGGCGATGCTCAGGGGTTCCTCCTGGCTCTGCACTCAGGAATTACCCCTGGCGGTGCTCAGGGGACCATATGGGATGCTGGGAATCAAACCCGGGTCGGCTGCGTGCAAGGCAAACGTCCTACTGGCTGTGCTATTGCTCCAGCCCCTCTTGTCAGCTTTTGAAATTAGATTTCACTGTGATTGTTCATATTTTGTGTTTGATTTTGAAATTTCAATATTAGTATGACTAGGTTATTAACAGGAATTTCTGGCCACAGCTTTAAACCATCTATGAGAAGATAATAAACCTTGTTTCCCAGGAGTATAAATCCCTCTTTCAAAGGTTGAACAGACTCAGCGAGCAAGGTTTCAGATCATAGTATGGATATTATTTGTTGGGTGAATGATGAGTAGGTTACTACTGACTAACCTCTTATACAAAAGGTTGATTCTTAACATTATATTTTCTGGCTTAAGAAAGGGCAGTTGGTCTGGAGAGGAGGGTGCTTGCCTTACACGTTGCCACCTAGGTTTGATCCCCAGCACCCTGATATAGTCTCCCAAACTTCGCCGGGAGTGACCCTGAGCCCAGAGCCAGGAGGAAGCCAAATTTCAGCTGTTTCATGTTCATTTTCATGCTGAAATGCTCGGTTTTCTCATCATCGTTTGTTGTACTTGTGCTGTATGCATAAAGTTACTTTGTTCAGACCGAAAAGGATCGTGCTGCTAGTGACTTTAGTGCTGGGTGCCCTCTTATGAGTGCCTGGATCATTTACAGGAACAAAAAGCGTGTTGTTAATGCTGAAATTTGTTATCCATTAGCCTACTAGGGGTTGCTTTGGAATTCGCTCCCAAACTATTAGAGTTCTTTTAAATTCAGTGCCTCGGTTCCTTTCACTTGTTCCGGTTTGGTTTGGTGTAGTTCCGTTCGGTGAGGTTTGGTGGTGGTGTTTCTTTTACACGATGACGCTCACTCAGACTGCTCACAGTGGCCAGGCTCTGGGGGTCGACCATGGCGTGTCCAGGTTGAGATTGGGCCCTCCTGCCCGCAGTTGGCCTCTGCCCCCAGCGTTCAGTTCCTTTCGTTTAATGGCCACATGCGCAAAAGAATCAGTAGAGGTAACAAAAACTTGTTCCCTCCCTCGTTAATCTGGCACAGTGTTTTATACTGGTTAGTTATTAAGAGCCCAGATACTTCTAGCTATGAGATTGAGGCATATGGTTTATCCACCTAACTATCTAGACGAAAAGTCTCCAAGTTATCAGATACATTGCACCGATATTTTGTTATTTTTTTGTCTTTTTTATTCTAGTTGTGCCTTTAAAATAGTCTGTAGGGGCTGGAGTGATAGCACAGTGGGTAAGGCGTTTGCCTTGCATGTGGCCGACCCAGGTTCGATTCCCAGAATCCTATATGGTCCCCTGAGTGCGGCCAGGGGGGTAATTCCTGAGTGCAGAGCCAGGAGTAGCCCCTGTGCATCACCGGGTGTGACCCAAAAAGCAAAAAATAAATAAATAAATAAAATAGTCTGTAATACTTCGCCATCTTTGAGAAAAGCACTAATACATATTTACCAAAAAAAAAAATTACACATCACATTTCCTGCTTACTGGGACACTGCTGTGGTAATACTGCAGTTTGGTCATTTTGAACAGAAAAGGTTAAAGACCGTTTTAACAAAAGTCATGAAATCTCAGTGACTAGGAATGGCCTTCCTTGGTCCACACGCCTTTGTTGAAACTATTCAGGAAGAAAGGCGCTCTTTTCTGGAGAACTTGTACAAAATAAACCTTGAATTATTAATAATCATTTGCTAACCAGAGGAATAACCAGACTATCCATAGATCTAACACAGAGGAAAGCGAGATTGAAGATTTAAAAAATGAGCTGATGGTTTAGGACACGGATAGCTTGTGCTTGAGTCAATCATGAAATTCCAGTTATGGGAACTAATAATTTTTTTTAAAAAAATAAGGTTAGAAATAAAGACGGATCTGTATTTAATATTACAGTTTTCCTTATGAGGCAAAAGCATTTGGGGTGAAAGCAGTTAAGAGGCAAATCTGAATTTTACTAAGCTCTGTGTTGAATGAATTCAGGAAGTCAGTCTTCTCTTCATAAACAATTTTGGAGAAAGCTCATGAATAATTTATACAAGTCTTCTGACCAGAAGGATTTGCCTTGATCAAGTGCAGTGATAGAGATAACTAGAAGAATTACTGGGGTCATGCACTACCGATTTATCATATGTTTGTTACAGGCTATTAAAAGTATATATTCCTCCAAACATCATTAAATCATGTGAGACTTATTTTTCAATTTCCTTGCTCGGGAACCTCAAATACATTAAAAATTACAAAAGAATCCTAGTTTGGAGTCTTTCCAGGTTTTATTTTACAAAGTATTTGAGGGTCTGGAGTGATAGTACAGTGTTTGCTACCCGGGTTGATCCCCGGCATCCCATATGATCCCCCAAGCATCGCCAGATGTAATTCCTGAGTACAGAACCAGGTGGACCCAAAAACAAAACAAAATAAAACAAAAAAAGAGAGCATTTGAGACTGGGGGACAGAGGGCTGGGGGCAAGTTGGGAGGGAGCCAGCCATCCTAAGTGCTCCAGAAGCGTGTTCAGAACTGCAGTGACAGGGGTTGTCTGGCTGCTGGGATGGTACCTGTGGTGACAGTGATCAAACCCTGATCAGCCACATAGAGCCGTAACCTTCGTACTTTGTCTAGCATGTTCTGGAAAATATTGACTTCTAAGCCACCTTGACTAGTCATACCATACTTTAGTGAAAAGCCATCTCTTTTGTTTCGTCTTGTTCCGGAGACACATCCAGTGGTGGTTGGGGCGTATTCCTGGGTCTGTGCTCAGGAACCACTCGTTGGCAGTGCCCAGCCTTGAGGCTCGGGTCTGCCCTGTGGAAGCAAGCGCCTTCTCCATCGGATGGTGGCTTCTGCCCTCTGCTTTCTCTTTCTGCTCACACAAAAACACTTTAATTAAAAGTACCGTCTAAAGCTCTTTATTCGGGGGCTGGAGTGATAGAACTGCGGGTAGGGCGTTTGCCTTGCACGCGGCCAACCCGGGTTTGATTCCCAGCATCCCATATGGTCCCCTGAGCACCGCCAGGAGTAATTCCTGAGTGCAAAGCCAGGAGTAACCCCTGAGCATCACCGGGTGTGACCCAAAAAGCAAAAAATAAATAAATAAAAATTTAAAAAATAAAGCTCTTTATTCAAGTGAAAGCTTTTCTGAATTTCTACCAAAAAATTTGATAATATCCTTAAGGTGCTGGAACTCAAGGGGTCCTGCTTTGTTCTTCGGATCACAGATTTGTGAAATCTATAAATAGTATGTATTTAGACATGTTGCATGATTCTTTATAAAAATTTCCATTCCCTGTAGCTAGAATGAAATGGAAAAACAGATCCCGACAGTGCTATTGATTTCTATCATGAGGGTAGGGAGAGAGATTAACAGGAAATTATGAGTCAGAGAGAGCAGAATGAGTAATTTTTTATTATGAGCTATCAACAGTGTCTTTCAGTGACCAAAAAGGATATTCAAAGCTTTTTCCAAAGAGCATCTCGGAGTCTTTTTTCTACATTAACTTTTGAAGTGCAGTTTATACATAGTACAATGCCCACTGATTCTGTGCGTAATTGCTTGATAAGGTTCTCTTTTATATTATTCAAAACAGCCTGCTTTTTCATTCCTAAATCTAAATGGTTCAGATTTTCTGGGATTTTTGTTCATGTGTTGCTGTTGTTGTGGGGGTTTTTTTGTGTGTTTTTTTTTGGGGGGGGGTCACACCCGGTGATGCACAGGGGTAACTCCTCTCTCTGCACTCAGGAGTTACTCCTGGCAGTGCTCAGGGGACCATATGGGATGCTGGGAATCGAACCCGGGTTGGCCGTGTGCAAGGCAAACGCCCTACCCGCTGTGCTATTGCTCCAGCCCCTATTGTCGTGTTTTAATCTCTAAACATTTCAGCCTTTAGAGGAGCTTCCATTGACATTCTGCTGGGAGCAGTGAAATTATATTCATTTTTGCTGTTTGTAACTTTTGTATAAAATAGTTTGAACAGGAAGGCTCATATATTTGATTCAAGTAATACATTTGAATTAAGATATATAAATTCAGATTATTATCCTGACCCTCATTAACCTGAAAGGGAATGAATAAAATTATATTCATCGATCATTGCTCAACAAATAATTATCATGTACTAGCTACTCAAATGGACTAGAAGTAGAGTCAGAAACACAACCTGAAAATTCTTCAATAAACCATTAAAGTAAACCAAGTAACTGTCTCACGAGATAGTGGTGGTGTGTTGAAGAAAAATAAAACAAGCCAAAGGAATCGGGAGAGCAGAGGTACCATGGCCGAGCTCTGATTCGCATGGCAGGTGACCAGAGCATCCAATACCAAAGGCTGCTGACATTGGATGAGAAACTGTTCGAGAGGACCAAGCGAGCACTCAGGCACCAGGAAGAGCAGCTCCCGAGCAAAGAGCAGCAGGAGTAGAATTCCTGTGTTCTGGCAGGAGACGCGCTGCATGTTCAAAGGATCGAAAAAGAGCAGTTGGGCCACGGCAGAAAGAGCAAGTCCAAGGGAATGGTACCCAGGACCCAGATTATGTCAGGCCATGAAGGCAAAGGAGCATCTTTCTTTCCTTTTTTTTTTTAAAGGTAAACACTGTGTATGTTATTCCAATTATAACGAGAGAAAGTTTTCGATGATTCCCAAACCTGGAGATCAATGATCGAGGCGGGCTGTGTTGGGATGTTCACTAAGGCACGCTGGGAGCGTTGGGACTGTTCGTAGGCGACCATGGTAGCTTGTGTGAGATGGATGGACACGAGCTCAGCTCAGTGATGGAGAAGAGCCGGTGTGATACAGTCAAGGTGACCTGCAGTGTTGGCAAGAAAGAGAAACCAAGATGGCTCCAGGTTGTGTCTTAAGCCACTGGCGATGGATTCAGAGACGACTTGGGATCTGGGGAAAAGTATTGACATTTTGGTTTTAACCACATTAGGCTAAAGATAGATATTAACATCAGGGTAGAAACTTACCCAAGTTGAATTCAGGAGAGAAAAATTCAGGAGGTTGCAGAAATTAAGGCAATTAAAACCGTGTGCCAAGATCAGATCATGTAGGTCTGGAGTATAAATGGAGACTAGAAACATCTGGAGGTTCCAGTGCTGTTCCCGTGCAAACTTGAGAAATTAGAAATAAAAGCATATCCAGCAAAAAGATTTAAGAAGGTGACAGAGAAGAAGAAAATAAAAAAAACATTCTCTTCCTAGAAGCAAAGTGTTTCAAGAAGCAATATTGAGCAACTATATCTGATGATCCTTGGAGGTCAAATAAAATAAAAATTAAGAATTAACTTGGGGCAGAGAAGGATAGAGAGATATTGGAGCGGAGAAGAACAGCCAGGTTCAGTATCCAGCACCACCTAGGGTCCCTTGAGCACTGCCAGGAGTGATACCTGAACAAGGCTGGGTGTGACCCCCTAAACAAAACAAAACACATTTGTTTTAAAACTTTTGGATCTGAAGAGGTATTACTCCTGAGGTTAGGCGTTTACCTTGTGCACAGCAAACTCTGGTCCGATTCTGGGCATTACATATTGTTCTCTTAACCACTACCAAGGTCATTTCTGACCACAAAGCTAGGAATAGCCCCTAAGCACCATTGCATATGGCCCAAACTCCTCACCGCCCCCCCTCAAAAATTAAAAACCCAATTATGAAAAACCTTGTAAATGATCGTGCTTTGATAAATTAAAAAAAAACACAAGGGGTGTGTGTGTGTGTGTGTGTGTGTGAGAGAGAGAGAGAGAGAGAGTGAGAGAGAGAGAGAGGAAAAGAGAGAGGAGAGAAAGAGAGAACTTAGTGGGATAGAAGGGACTAAACCTATTTGGTGTGAGTTCAAGAACAAAATGGAGGATGAAGTGGCGATAAGATTCAAATGGCTGTTTTTAAGAAACTTCCTCTAAAAGGATGGCAAGGAGAAAAAAAAAAAACAAGGAAGACTAGAATCTAAAAAAGGATGAAGAATTCAGTTTTTCTCTTTAGAGTATGACATAGTACATGATGTTTGTATGGCAATGAACATAATCTAGTGTATGAGTTTACTAGTACATGTGAAAGTATCATGATCAAGATCATCCTGTTGTTCATCGATTGCCTCGAGCAGGCACCAGTAACGTTTCCTTCTTCCTAGCCCTGAGATTTTAAAAGAGCCATATTCAGTGCTCTTTCAGGGCTAGGAAGAATGAGACCTATCATTGTCACTGGTATTTGGCATATTGAGTATGACACGGGAAGTTTGCCAGACTCTGCCGTGCGGGCAGCATACTTTCGGTAGCCTGCTGAGTTCTCCAAAGTAAAAATGAGATAATAAGGTGTCACACGGTCACAAATGCGGCCACGTGCTTCCAGGAGCTGGGTTTTATAGTCTCTGGGTCTTGGCCGTTGATGGGAACCACCTGGCGAAAAAAAGTATAGTTTGAGAGCAAACTCTCATCAGCAAAGGGGTTGCTGTCCATGTGCAGTAGAGGCTTGGGGTCTATGGAAGAGCTCAGGAGATCTGTCGATCCTGACAGGAGACAAGATGGTGCAGGTGAGCGATTACAGACTAGGGAAGGTTAGTGGGAGAGGGAAGGAAACGTTATTTCCCAGTTTCTTCTTATTTCCCCAGGAAAACTGAGGAAGTTATTAGCAGAGAAAGGGAGAAAAAAGGATTAGAGCTTTGAAAAGAAAAAGGAAGAAATAAGATAAAAATCATTCTCTAGGCAACTGAGTCCCGAGGCCGAGCTGGGCATAGTGAATCCAGCCAGTGTGGCTTTGCAGTTGCAGGAGATTTGGAGAAGAGTATCAGACCTTCGGATCCAGGCAATATAAACACTGACATGGCAATAACCAAAAAGAAAGCGTAGACCCTAAAGAAATGAATTTCCTCATAGGCTTGATTATTTGAAGAAGAGTATTGGAGGAATTGAACTTTTTAGGGTGGGAGAAGCATGATGAAAGTAGACTATAGACCAAACATGATTGCCACTCAATGCCTCTCTTGCAAAACACAGGACCCAAAAGAAGAGAGAGAGAACAAGGGAGAATGCATACCAACAGGGGTGGGGAAGAGAAAACAAAGTCAGGTAAATCTTCAGTGGCCTCCGGGGAGGCTGTTAACTTCATGAACTGTTCTGAAATGTAAAAGTAAAATTAGCTTCAGTGCTTGATTCAGTCCATAACATGCTTTTCTCTTGGCTCAGATTAATCCCCTCTCTCCTCTTCTCTCCAGCAGACAGTATGAAACACCCCTTGAAGGCAACTTAATTAATCAAGAGATCATGCTAAAACGACAAGAAGAGGAAATGATGCAGCTGCAAGCTAGACTCGCCCTTCGGCAGTCTAGGCTGAGCCTCTATCCGGGAGACACCATCAAAGCTTCCATGCTGGACATCTCCAGGGACCCCCTCCGAGAAATGGCGCTCGAAACGGCCATGACCCAAAGAAAACTCAGGGTAAATTGATTCCCTGCCTCTAAACCTGATCTCACAGAAACCGTTAATGCGGAGTGCTTTTAGTATGTCTTAGGGTTGACTGGGGGTGTGGGTTGGTGGGAGACAGCGGCTTTGCATGTAGGGGGCTCTGGATTCAATGCCTCCCACTGCTCATCCCACTAAAAGAAAACATTGTCATACATATCCGAATGTTGCCTGTAAATGAAATCAAAATCCCCTATTAATTTCCATTGATGCTGAATATCTCATTGGTTGATACTGAGATAATTATTTAGTCATTTTTATTAATTCACTTTTTTCCCTCAGTTTCCCACACCCACCGATGCCTTCAGGGGTGCCAGGTGACCATGTGGTGCCAGAGTTGGTTCAAAAACTTAAAATGTTATCAAATGCATCCGATCTCTCTCCTGTCATTCTAAGATGACAGTAATAATGTGATCTACAGTCAGAGGATGAGCTGGAGTAATAATTCCAGTAGGGTGCTTGCCTTTTCATGCAGCGGACCTGGATTCTATCCCTGGTACCCCATATAGTCCCCCAGGCCCACCAGGAGTGATCCCTGAGTGCAGAGTCGGGATTTAGCCCTGAGTACCGCTAGGTGTAGCCTGCCTGTCCCCCCCCCCCCCGCAAAAAAAAAGATGATTGCATTGGCTCTTGGCATCTATCTTTGTCTTACAATATCCAAAGACAGAAAAAAAAATCTTTATTTTACATTTGTAGATTATTTTTTGGTTTTTTGTTTGTTCTGCTTTTTTGGGTCACACCCAGTGATACTCATGTTCAAGGGTTCCTCCTGGCTCTGCACTCAGGAATTACTCCTGGCGATGCTCAGGGGACCATATGGGATGCCGGGGATTGAACACAGTTCGGCCGCGTGCAAGACAAATGCCTTTCCGCTGTACTATCACTATGACCCCTGTAGATTATTTTTGATGGCTACTTCATACATTTTCTTTCAGCATGATGTGTGTGTATGTTAAATAAGCTCAAGGTGAACATTTTCTCTTTTCATGTAAAACAGACAACCTTTTTTATATCCTGTTAAGGGTTGTAAAATATTCCGTGGCTCGAACCAAAACATTTTTTTCCTAAGTTGTCCTACACCAAGAAAGTTTTTTACCCCATTCTGAGTTAGGTCTTTAAGTTACTTGTTTCAGGACTTTTATTATTTTTCGTCCTCCTCCTCCTTCCCCTCTCTTCTCCTCCTACTCCTTCTTCTTCCTTCCCCTTCTTCTTCTTCTTCATTGCCCTTTCTCCCTTCTTCCTTCAATCTTTGCTTTTGCTTTTTCCTGTTTGCTCTCCCTGGGGTCTCACACACACACTTAGTTTCAGAGCTTGTCAGGGCTTGCAAACTCCACTTGTATTGATCCTAGAGTCTGTTGCAATGTTGGGGGTCCCAGACAGTCGAGACATAGGGACCCCAATTAGAACACGTGGACAGCACTGAGGGTTGCGCTGAAGGCCTCACTGTTTCAAGGTAGGCGCTTGGCATCTGAGGGGTCCCAGGGCCCTTTCAGTAATTCGTAAAAGTGTATTCATATGTTGTGAAGTTGATAGAATTCAGATTTCCCTCATAGTTTTAAAGGGAAGAAATAGTATTGGGTGGTGGAAATTGCAGTAAACTACAAATTAGAAGATTTGCATCCTATTTCTAAGTAAATTACTGGATTATAAAGTTTCAATATTTGTGCCCCATTGTGCTAATGTTATAAAATGTACAGTCAGGTTGTAATTTATAAGACTCCAATCTTAAAGTTGTTAGATTCCGATAAAATAAAAGTGAATTTATTTTCATCTGAAAGGTAGAAATTTAGTGTCCTCACCGGTTAGCAATGGGAAGGAAGATATACAAAACAGCATGTGTTTCTGCAATTAAAGTCACAAATAAAATATATAAGGTACACAGATACACCGCCCTTTTCCCCTAAATTCTGGTTTCAGAAAGCTAGTTTCAAATTATTTCTACTAGAGACTCCTATATGGTCATTGCTTCATTACAGTATGCCACGGATAATATATATACATATATATATATATCCTAATTCTTTTTATGTACTCGACTTCAAGCTATTAAAAAAAAAAAACCTCCATCAGAGACATCAGTGGCTGGAGAATTTTAACTGCTTATTAAAGAGTCAAGGGCCAAACTGGCAGGCTACCGAATGTAGCCTGCCCACAGGGCAGAGTCTGGCAAACTCCCCGTGGCCTACCAAATATGCCAAATACCAGTAACAATGATGGGTCTCATTCTCCTAAAGAGCCTTGAATATAATCTCAGGGCTAGGATGAAGGAGACGTTACTGGGGCCTGCTCGAGGCAATCGACGACTAACAGGATGATTTGTGATTTGTGATTAAAGAGTCAAATAATATTAATGTTTCATTTTTGGTTTTCAGAAAAGAAACCCAAAAAAAGGATCAGGATGTGGCTCAGTAGTAGAGGACATGGCTTCATATTTTGTACGTGAGACCAGGCCAGGCCTGACAGGAGAACAGAGAGAAAGAGAGGGAGGGAGGGAGAGGGGGGAGGGGAGAAAAAGGGTGAGGGGGAGGAGGGGTGCGGTCAGTGTGGAGATCACACTGCCACCTAAAGCCCTGAGTTAGGTCCCCTAGAATCTCGGGGCCCCTACCCCAAGCACTGCCAGACGCTTGGTGCTCCTGAGCCCTGTACTGCTGGCTCCAAGCTCAGTCGGGTCTCTCTGGGGGACCCAGCATTGCTAGATTTCCCCCCGCACACAATTCCCCCCACTCCCGCACTGCCAGGTGCTCCTGTAAAAAATCAAACCAAACCCCAAACCCACTCGTGTTTGAGGAAACCGTCACGGTGCCTTGGACATTCTCTCCCAAGACACCGTTTTACTTTTGAACTTTATCCATGGTCCTTTTGATGCAGGCACAGTTTTAACTTGTTTTCCTTATCTGCATTAGATTTTTATGCTCCCACGGCAAACTATTTTTATTTTTGTTGCTCTTTATTTTCTTGTTTAAAAACGTCGCATTGGTTCACTGAGTATTAACAAACTCATAATGTTAAACTTTGACTTAAATGGTATCTGTCACATGTTCCACTCGGTTAACTGGATAAAATTCCCACACCAAGCAACCCAGTGAGCTGTGCGGCCAAATGCAAAGAAGAAATCAACAGAAACAGAACACGTGTTGCTTCCATGAACTGAAGTACCTGCAGCCTGTATGCATCCGCGCACACACATACATACACACACACACACACACACACATATGGAATCTGCCTAATTTTAAGTTATGTCTTAAACAATTAACCAAGCCTATGGATATGCCGGAGGTAAAGAAAAAAAGTTGAGCTGAAGTAAGTGCAGAATACAGACTCTTGCTATGTGATTTTCTTACGAGGGCAGTAGTGAGGGGACCAAGACAGTCACATTCCTACCATCCCCAGTTGCTCTATTTATAGTGTCTACATGAATACAGTTGGATTTATATCCTATCCCGAGTTGTGTCTATTGAAGTTTAGTATCTGCACGAATATAGTTGGATTCACATATTATTTTGTAAAAACAAAGTTGATAGGGATCCTTTAATTATGACTTTTTCTCTTTTTGTTTTCTTTATGATTATTATTTTTTTCTAATCAAGGCATCTTGACTTAGAAAGTTATTGATAGTGGAGTTTTAAATAACAATGTTCCATCTCTGGTCCCTCCACCAGTGTCCTCAGGTTCCCTCCCACCAGCCAGCTTCCTTGACGGACACATTTAGGGGGGATGAGGGGGCGAGCTACACCCAGCAGTGCTCAGGGCTTATTCCTGGTTCTGTGCTCAGGGATCACTCCTGGCAGGCTTAGGGGACCGCATGGGGTGCCAGGAATTGAACATGGGTCGACCACTACAAGGCAAGCCCCTTATCTGCTATACTATGCCTCCAACCCCCAACAGGCGTATTTTAAGTTTAGTTGTACAAGTTGAGTTTCGTTGGGTTTAGTTGGGTTTCATGACTTCAGTGCTGTTCACTCTGGTTTGGATATTCACCTCTGTCATTTCTTTACACCGTAGATATTCCCTTGACTCTGTCCCCTGGTGTTTCCCCCCTCTTGATTTCCCTCCTTCTCCGTCCTTCTTCCCATTACACTCTGGGGCCAGATTGTCAGGCTCCATATCTAAGCATCCCTCCCCTTAAAACTGCATTCTCTAATCCAGTTATTCTGAATATTACAGATAAGTAAGATCACCCAGTGTTTGTCCTACTTCCAGCTTACTTCATTTAACATGATATCTTCCAGTTCCAACCGTGTTGGGGCAAATTGCATGATTTCATCATTTTTCTGTTTCTGTTTTGTTTTATTTTATTTGGGGGCCACACTGGTGGTGCTCAGTGTGGCTCTGCTTTTAGAGATCACTTCTGGCAGGACTCCAGGACACTATATGGGATACTGGGGGTCAACTCAATCAGCCACATGCAAGGCAAACACCCTACCTGCTATACTATTACTCGGGCCCCAAATTAAAACGTTTCTAGAGAACAAATTTAATATCACTCTAAAACAACAACATCCTTTGAATCACTGCAGTAGTAAACCATATTTTTAAATGAGTCTGATAACTATATTGCTTCAGTTACTGTGATTACTAATTTTTGAATCTGAGTCTATATGGAGACAAAAAAAAACCCTTATAAAACAATATAAATCAAATTTTGCAAATTACATCACTGGTATAAAATGAAACTAAGGAAAAGCTTCTGTAACATTCAGTGTAAGACACATTCCGTTCCTGGTCTTAGTAAACTGTACCTTTCCAGCAGGGTTGGGAGTGCTGGGGCCCACATGTGGTGGTGCTTAGCGGCTGTCCCTGCTCTGTGGTCAGGGGTGACCCCTGTTGGTGCTGGGGAGAACCTGTGTGGTATCCATCCAGGACATTTTAAGAGGTGCTATATAGGACCTGACAACAGCATCAGCAGCATTACAAAGCAAGCACCTTCCCCTCTCTTCTGTCTCTCCAGCCTTCATCACACTTCTTTTAAAAAATTTTTTTATAAAGTTGTTCACAATGATTTCTTATGTTCAAAATTCTAACACCAATCCCACCACCATTATGCTTTCCCTCCACCTTTATTTCCAGTTTTCCCAACCACCACCCAAGCCTGCCCCAATAGCAGGCCCTACATCTTTTATTTTATATTGCTTGTTATGAATAATTGGCTAAAAATGATCGAAGATTTACCTAGAAGAAAGTATGTGGAGATTGTTATGTCTTACCCTGGAGCCATTAAGTCCTTGTATAAGGGAGTACTAACATGTTGTTACAGGATAAGCCTTGTGTGTTAATATTTTCTTAATCGAGATCGGTTGTCTCCTAGTTTGCGTGCCATCCAATGTGGTATTCTACTCCTGCTATCACAGTGGTGTAGAGTTTGAGATGTCACACAGCCACATTTGTGGCCGTGTGCTCCAGGAATTCTAAAATTTTGAATGGGTTGTCTTCTTTATTGAGACCATGTACATTTGTTTTAGATCATTTCATTCTACTATGCTGGCTTTATGCATATTTTCTTTTTACAATTTGTTATTCTTATCCTATTAAAGGTAAAGGTAAAGGCCTTCCCGTTGATCGTCGATTTGCTCGAGCGGGCCCAGTAATGTCTCCATTGGAGACTTTGTTGTTACTGTGTCTGGCATATTATATTTTCCCTCGTGGAAAAATCTAGAAAAAATAAAAGGCCCTAAAAAATGGTAAAAACAATTCCACTTCTATTACTTGCAGAACTTCTTTGGCCCTGAGTTTGTGAAGATGACAGTTGAACCATTTATATCTTTGGATTTGCCACAATCCATCCTTGTAAGTAATAAAGTTGGTTCTATCTATCCTAATAATTTGAGCAATGACTTTTTAAAAAAAGTTAAAATTCTTATAATGCCTATCTTAATAAATGTTCTTTTTAAAAAAAATTGTAGAACAAGAAGGGGAAGAATGAAGACAACCGAAGAAAAGTAAACATCATGCTGTTGAGTGGGCAGAGACTGGAACTAACCTGTGATACCAAAACCATCTGCAAAGATGTGTTTGATATGGTTGTGGCCCATATCGGCTTGGTGGAGCACCATTTGTTTGCTTTGGCCACGCTCAAAGGTACCAAGACATTTTAAGGGCTGCCGTATGGGACCTGGCAACAGTCTAACTTCCTACTGCCATCGTGCCCAGTGTTCTCGTGGGAAATATAAGCCAAAAGAACAGGTCTGCATTGAGAAGTGGAAGTTACAAACTCTGCTTTCTCCTGCCTAGGCGTATGATTTCAATAGTTGGTCTTTGAGAAGCTTCTCTACCAAGTCATTCGGACTTTTCTTTGACTTGGTGTAAAAAAGAGATTTGATTGTGATATCTGACAGACAATTATACATGTCAGGTGCCTACATATGTACTCTGGAAATTATTCTCCTGCTAGTGTGAGTTTGAATATGTAGCAGAAACCTGTTTATAATTTCCACATTAACTTCCTGAGTCAACTATCCGAAAATCCTAGCCACAGTTATGCAGTGTCATTTTTAAGTGTTCAGTCAATCACTAAAAAATAAGTCATTTCTTGTACTTTTTAAGCATTATATTCATCGAACTCTGTGATTCTCACAATGGTGGTGATCTCAGAGCACAGTGGTAAGAACTCAGTTGGACTTGAATAAATCTTTAAGAAATAGTTAAATATGTGTATTTATGCAAATTGCTGTCTTTAAAACTCCTGTTTTCCTCAAAATGTAACTGAAAAAGCTTAGATAGCAAAATACTACAAGTGGATCAGATAAAGGAACTCTGTCACTGAGATGATAACATTATAACCTCTGAAACACAGAAACATTTGAAATCTTATAAGCAAAATAAGAGCCAGGAGTAAACCCTGAACACCACTGACTATGGCCCAAAATGCAGTGAATAGGAAAAAATTAAATGCTATACATGATTTCCAGTATTTAAATGCTATAAATATTTCAATACAAATAACCTTGAAACCTCATAGAAGATGTCTTCTTTCTCATAAAAGAAATATTCTCTCAACTTACCTTTCCTTAAGAATTCTTGTTTCTTAAAAACTATAACCATTCATCTCGTAGAGTTATCCAATAAATAGTCATTTAATTTCTATTGATATTCTATCAGAAACCCTGGCTACACTGTCTTCAGGAAGATATTCAGTTAGCATTTCTATCTGTAATATACCTGATTTCTTAATCTACTTCGAAGTAAGTAGATTTTTTTTAATCTGGAGAAAGTAAGGAATGTTTAAGTGATAGCGTAAAAAATTAAAACAAGGTAACTTGTTCTCCTAGACTTCAGCTAGTAACTCAAAAATAGTAACAGCTAATAATTCTGAGCTCTCCTCATGGGACACACACTTTGCCAAGTGTTCTAGATGCTCGTGTAACCCGACGGGGAAGGGAGTAGCACTGTCCTGATTTTCTAGAGAAAGGAGAGATCTGGAATGTTCGCTTAGCCGTTTGCTCTCGCACGCGCTATGCTTGAGAAGCCTGCAGCCAAGTCTAAATCTGTCCATCTTCTGAGCCCCCCCGTTCTCAAAGCCTGAGCTTCCCCGACCCCACGCATGTGCCTCACAGTCTTGGTTGGTCCCATGTGATCTGATTTGAAGACAGGAAAATGCAAGAGTCAAAAATGTCTCAAATATTTTTATTTTCTCTGAACATTTTTTTTTCATTGTGTTTTAGATAATGAGTATTTCTTTGTGGAGCCTGATTTAAAATTAACCAAAGTGGCCCCAGAGGGATGGAAAGAAGAACCAAAGAAGAAAAGCAAAAACGCTATTCATTTCACTTTGTTTTTCCGAATTAAATTTTTCATGGATGACGTTAGTTTGATACAGTAAGTACACTAAGAGTTCCTGTTTTTCTCTTTGTGGCTCTTGATCTTTTGACCCTTTAGTTTACGGAGTCTGAATTTTTTTTCACTCTGATCAATAATAGTATCTTTATTTAAAATATAAATATAAAATAATATATTTTATTAATTATAAAAGACTGGAGAGAACGTGCAGCAGGTTCGGAGCTTGCCTTTTATGTAGATAATCCAGGTTCGATTCCTGGCACCCCATATGGTCCCCAGTCTCCACAAGAAGTTATCCCTGAGCACAGAGCCAGAAGTAAACCCTGAGCACTGCAGGGTGTGACACAGTATCAGAAGACAATCTAAAAAAAGCCTGTTTCCTAGACTATGATTTATTGAATGTTTATGCCTTAAAAGCTTAATGCTCCTGTTGTCTCCGGCAACTTAGCAGTCACGCTGTAAGCCACCTCTGGCTGGTGCCAGATAATCCCATCATCAGCCACCATCCAGATCACGCGTCCTTCTCTTCCAGAAGGGAGCACAACGTGACGCTCGCCATAACCATGCCGCCAGACTCCACGCCGGGCTGTCTCACTCAGAGCGCCCCAGAGGGGGGTGGGTGCGAGCCCTCCCTGCCCCAAGGGACACAGCCCCGGCAGTGAACTCAACTCCTGCCATGCTCACAGCTGCTCTCCACACACTCCCGCTGAGCCTCACCCGAGTGAACCTATAACGGAACTGTGTGGCCACATATGTGGCCATGTGACACTTCATACCACGCACCTAACCCATACTCCAAGAGCACCACGCCGCATTTGATGGGGTTCAAAGTAGAGGCAACCAAATTTAGAGGGAAATATGGTTTTTTTTTTTACAGGTGTAGATATGAAAGCACACAAGGCTCAACCTTTAACAACATGTTCATTATCTCTTGTAGAAGGGCTTAGTGAAATACAAGAATCTTCACACTCTCTCCTCTAAGGATACTTTTTTTGTAGCATTTTCAGTAGTTTTTCATAACAAACAACACAAAATATATTATTTTGTTTCTGCTCTGGGAGCAGGGAGAGGGGTTCAGGACAGAAACACCCAAAACCTGGTGTTGGGAAGGTATAATGGTGGTGGGAATTGGTGTTTGAATATTAAATGTAATCAAATATTGTGAACTGCTTTAAACTTTATTTTTGGTTTGGGGGCCGCACTCTGCAATGCTCAGGGGTTACTCCTGCCAGTGAAACTTTATAAAATTTTTTAAAAAATGTAAATACATTGAAAAATAAAAATATGGATGAATCTTTAAAAAAAAAAGTTTAATGGGCAACCATCTTGGAAATGAAGCTAATGTGTCCGCAATAAAACTCACTCTAAGGGGCTGGATTGATAGTACAGCCTATAGGGCGTTTGCCCTGCACACTACTGACCTGGGTTCGATCCCCGGCATCCCATAGGGTCCCCCAAGCACTACCAGGAGTAATTCCTGAGTGCAGAGCCAGGAGTAACCCCTGAGCATTGCTGGGTGTGACCCAAAAAGTCAAAAAAAAAAAGGGGGAAAGAAAAGAAAAAAAAACACAACTCACTCCAAGATTCAGTATTTGTATGTGCTTTTTTTTTTCTAGGTAAAATTCTTTTTTAATTTTGATTAGTGAAACACCATGAGGCACAGTTGTAGACGTACAAATTTGTGTGTGTGTGCTTTTCACCTGCAGACACACCCTGACTTGCCATCAGTACTACCTGCAGCTACGCAGGGACGTCTTGGAGGAGCGGGTGCACTGTGACGACGAGGCTTCCTTACTGCTGGCCTCCTTGGCCCTCCAGGCTGAGTACGGAGATTATCAACCAGAGGTAGGAATTTTTCTTCAAGGGCATTTTGAGTTACTTTTATCTTTCATTTTTTTTGGGGGGGGTGGGTGTGAGGGATGGTTAGTCCTGTGATGATGATACATAAGCACAGCTGAGCCGTAGGCAAATTTGAGCCGCTCTTCTGTTTTTGTTTTTGTTTTGTTTTGTTTTGTTTGCTTTTAGGGTCACACCCAGGGATGCTCAGGGGTTACTCCTGACAGTGCTTGGAGGACCGTATGGGATGTCGGGGATTAAGCTCTGGCAAACACCCTCCCTGCTGTACTATTGCTCTGGCCCCAGTGCAGAGCAATTTGTATCTTTAGTTTAGTTAACTTGCTTACAATACTCTTAGCTTTTCTAGTCTTCAACTACAATGTTACTTACCTTCACCAGCACTAAAGGGCCAGGAAAGCCACATTGCTCTTCTTTTCTCCACACTGAAGTAACAGACCTGGTAAAGATTGTTGCCGTTAGCTCTAGATATTTTTGAGACTAGGGTGTGCCTCAGAATAACCAGCATCCCCGGGGCAGGAGTGCTGTACAAAATCATGCAGAGTGATGCATTTGCTGGTCCTGCTTAAGGCTGTCCTGTTCAGGGTTTTGAGAGCTAGCGGTTACGCTTCCTTTTCCAACATCTAACTTAGATACTAGACACAGGGCTCACCAGCCAGACTGGAGGAAAATGGTCAGCTTCCTCCCACAGAGATCTGTGCAGTGACGGACTAAAGACCTCTCAGAGCTCACTCTACGGAACTGAATGTTTCAGGCTTACTCTTGCTGGGTAAATGGAACCCCCAACAGAAGCAAGGTGCAAGCATTGAAGGTCAAGCCTTATCCTTCAGCATTGACCTTGAATGTAGTGACATTTTTCCCAAACTTGCCATCAGGTTAGTTATTCGACATCATTGAATAAAGCTGGAGTCACCGCAGTGACAGGTCTTCAGTTGAAGCACCTGAGATTTCTGGGGAGATGACAGGGTCTGTAAGACAGGAGGAAGAAGTCAAACGGAACTACTCACAGAAACACTCTCGTTCTAGGTTCATGGTGTGTCCTATTTTAGACTGGAGCATTATTTACCTCCCAGAGTGATGGAGAAACTTGATTTATCCTATATTAAAGAAGAGTTACCCAAGCTGCATAATACCTATGTAGGAGCTTCTGAAAGAGAGACAGAGTTGGAGTTTTTAAAGGTAAGCATGCAAGAGCACACATGATCAGTTTTAGATCTTTGTCAAATAAGCAGCAAGTGGAGGGAAGTAGATCAGAAAGATCGGGAAATATTTTATTTTCCTGGATTGCCAGCAGCTCAGTAACTGATGCAGTGCATTTGATCATTTCACTTACCCCTGACTAAAACTAGTGGGTTTTCATTCTCTTCTTGAGAAAGAGGGGGATAAAACTCAAAACCATGTTTCCTGAGTCCATGACTGCAAAACCAGGGGTTTGGGATAGGTTATAAAGCCATATCTACCTGACTTGAGGTACTATGTTTTTTTTTAATTTTTTAAATTTTTATTAATGAGACACCATGAGGTACAGTTGTAGACTTACAAATTTTTGTGCTTGGGTTTCAGTTATACAGTGATCAAGTACCCATCCCTCCACCAGTGCCCATCCTCCACCACCACAGGTCCCAGCATCCCTCCCACCCCCCATCCCTCCCATCCCACCCTGCCTCTGTGGCAGGGCATTCCCTTTTGTTCTCTCTCTCCTTTTGGGTGTTGTGGTCTGCAAAAGAGGCATTGAGTGGCAATCATGTTCAGTCCATAGTCTACTTTCAACATGCATCTCCCCTCCTGGGAGGATCCTCCAAACACCCTTTATTTGGTGCTCCCTTCTCTGTCTGAGCTCCCTTTTCCCCTAGCATGTGTGGCTGGCCTCTAAGCCATGGAGCAAAATTCCTGGTACTAATCTCGGCCATTCTTGGGTGTTAGTCTCCTATTTTGTTACTTTATGTTCCACAGATGAATGCAATCTTTCGATGTTTATTCCTCTCTTTCTGACTCATTTCGCTTAACATGATACTTTCCATGTGAGGTACTATGTTTTTATTCTATTCCTGTCACTGTCACTGTCACTGTCCTCCCGTTGTTCATGGATTTGGTCAAGCAGGTCCAGTTACCAGTTACATCTCCATCATGAGACTTGTTGTTACTGTGTTTGGCATATCAAATATGTCACAGGTAGCTTGCCAGGCGTTGCCGTGCGGGCGAGATACTCTCAGTAGCTTGCCAGGCTCTCCGAGAGAGGCGGAGGAATCGAACTCAGGTTGGCCATGTTGGCCACATGCAAGGCAAATGCCCTACCCATTGTGCTATCGCTCCAGCCTCCCCCCCGCCCCCTCCCCCGTGATTGTATTCTATTCTGTATTATCAAAATCAAAATGTTATGTAGAGGCTATTGAATGTCGTGGTTGGCTGGATGTGAGTGTATATTGTCTCTAATGTTGTTTTGCTTATTTTAAAAAAAAAAAAAGCCTTAAAATCTAATTGTCTCCTCCATGTAGAGTATTACCAGCGAGTGGCAGCTAACTCATGCAAAGGAAGGAGATTAGAAAAAAGAGCTTATGGTTCCAGTTGTTCCTTTGTCCCTTTAAGTACAGAATATTGCAAATTGAGATAGTACTGTGCACACTTCCAATGCGGAGCACCAACATATGACAGTTGTATCACGAAAAGGAAGATTTTCAGAATGTTCTCCTGCTTCACTGCATTAGGAAGGAACTGTCTGCTTTCCATTTGCGCCTTTATATTAGAGTCAAGCTTTCCAGCCCTGTGAATGACTGTGAAGAGTTTCCTTCCATTCAGAGTTACAGCACTTTTAATCTAGAATTCATGGCAGGAAGGAAAGACTCGGGGAAGAAAAGGCAAGGCTGTCACTTTAAGTAGCATCCGTGATCTCAGCCTACTTCTCGAAGGTTAGACGCCTGCTTTAGATCATTGTGCTTTTGGAAACCTTTCATGCTCCTTGTCCATTTGTTTGATTAAAGGTATAATTTACACACAATAAAACTCAACACAAATTGTGTTTTGTTCATTTTACAAATGAGCTTTGATTGCCACTTGGCCATGCTGATTTAGGAGCTTATCATCTATATCTGCTTCCCCACTGCAAGGACGTGTCATTATAGCAGAACGTACACTATCCACTAAGCGTTAAAAATTGATCCAGTATACCAGCCTCGAGGTAGCACATTATCACTACTAAAGATTTCCTCTCTGTCCCTATTTTTTTTAAGTGAAGAAAGTTAGTCTTCTTTAAAGAATTTACCTAGAGAAATGTGAGGAGAGAGAGAGAGAGAGAGAAAAGGGGAGGAGAGAAAGAGAGAGAGGGACAGTGCTCAGGAGTGACTCTTTTCTCAGTGCTCAGATGTCACTCCCACTAATACTCAAGGGGCCTGTGGTGCTGGGGGTCAGGCCTCCAGGATGCACTCCATGTGCTCCATACATCGAACTGCCTCTCCAGCCGTCAAATAATACTTTAAAAAGTATTATTGAGTATTCAATGCCTTTATATGTATAGTCTACTATATATAGAGTGTGTATATGTATAAAGGTAAAAGGTAAAGGCCCTCCCGTTGATCGTCGATTTGCTCGAGCGGGCCCAGTAACGTCTCCATTGGAGACTTTGTTGTTACTGTGTCTGGCATATCGAATACTCTCGGTAGCTTGCCGGGCTCTCCGAGAGGGGCGGAGGAATCGAACTCGGGTCGGCCATGTTGGCCGCTTGGAAGGCGAACGCCCTACCCGCTGTGCTATCGCTCCAGCCCTATGTATGTATAGTACTATACGTATTAAGTTCTATACAGATCGATTTGCTCGAGCGGGCCCAGTAACATCTCCATTGTGAGACTTGTTACTGTGTTTGGCATATCGAATACGACACGGGTAGCTTGCCAGGCTCTGCAGTGCAGGGAGGATACTCACGGTAGCTTGCCGGGCTCACCGAGAGGGGTGGAGAAATTGAACCTGGCTCGGCCAGGCTGGCTGCGCGCAAGGCAAACGCCCTACCTCCGTGCTATCGCTCTAGCCCTCTATACAGATAAGTAGTTTATTTTTTTCCTTATTTTTCCTGTGACTTTCCCTGTACAGATTCAAAACAATTTGTTAATATTCTCTTCAATCAATGAATATAAAGCTACTAAATTCAAACGTGTATTTGTATGAGCACAGGGTTGTTTTTTTTTTCCTTGAGCTCTGATAAATACTAGCAATGGAATGAGTTTGTTTAACTTACAGAATTTGAAAATTGATCCAAAATTATGAAATTTTTTTTATGCTGCCAATAATTTGTTTCACATCTACACGTTAATTGGTATGTTCAACTTTTCCCACTTTAATCACTGAAATAGTTAATGCTATTATATCATCACAGTTTTAAGTTCTCTTTCCCTAGTTACTATTTATGTGAGCATTTTTTCACGTGCTTATTTTTCACTTGTATATCTTGACTGAATGATCTTAATAAAATCTTCTACCCATTTAAGTATGGTTATATTTCTCCTTATTCTTGAGAAGTACATCTATTCTAGATAATAATTTCTTTATCAGATATGTTTTTCATGTTTTTATCTCCCAGAGTGTGGCATGTCTTTACATTTTCTTATTCATGGAATTTTGAAGAGAAAAAGTTCCTAGTGTTAATTATGTCTTACTTTACTAATTTTTCTCTTTTTTCCAGCTTTATGTTCTCTTTCATAAATTTCCATCTAATCCATGATCACAAAATATTTCTAAGTTTTTCCATTTCAGATTCATAATTCACTTGGGCTAATTGTCACATATAGGGTGAAGTAAGGGTTGAGATCCATATTTTGGCATGTGAATATTCTAACAGCTTGTGAATAATTCGACATTTGTTGAAAAGACTCCTTCCATATTAGAACCGTTTCTATGTGTTTGTATCAATCTTTTTTTTTTTTTTTTTTTTTTGCTTTTTGGGTCACACCCAGCGACGCATAGGGGTTACTCCTGGCTCTGCACTCAGGAATTAATCCCTGGCGGTGCTCAGGGGACCATATGGTGATGCTGGGAATCGAACCCAGGCCAGCCGCGTGCAAGGCAAACTCCCTACCCGCTGTGCTATTGCTCCAGTCCCTGTTTGTATCAATCTTTACAGAGGTACATGACTTAAGCTATGGTATTGTTCCTATAGGTCTGCCAAAGACTCACAGAGTACGGAGTTCATTTTCACCGGGTGCACCCTGAAAAAAAATCGCAAACTGGAATATTGCTCGGGGTCTGCTCCAAAGGCGTCCTAGTGTTTGAGGTTCACAATGGAGTTCGCACGTTGGTCCTTCGCTTTCCGTGGAGGGAAACCAAGAAGATTTCTTTTTCCGTACGTCTATTTTAATCCTTTCTCGTTATATTTTTAAGTGGGTCTGTTCTAAATGTAACATATTAATTGACTTTTTTTTAACTAAACATTGGGCTAATATGTCCTAAAATGATTTAACTCTGGTTATAGAATGTATTATTTAGATTTGGTTTCTGGTTTCTCAAGAGGTAATTTTTAAAAGAATATTAGACATTCCTACCCAGTTAGATGCTTGGTTAACTGTGGTTAAATTACAACCAAGTTAACTTCTCTGTTAATTCAGAACGTAAGCTCAGGTACCAGCTTCTCCCATGAAGAAACCTCCCTGATTCATTCTCTTCAATCAATGAATATAAAGCTACTACATTCAAACATGTGTATTTGTATGAGCACAGGGTTGTTTTTTTTTTCCTTGAGCTCTGATAAATACTAGCAATGGAATGAGTTTGTTTAACTTACAGAATTTGAAAATTGATCCAAAATTATGAAATTTTTTTTATGCTGCCAATAATTTGTTTCACATCTACACGTTAATTGGTATGTTCAACTTTTCCCACTTTAATTAGACAGTGATCGGAATCTTCCCGACTTCTGTCTGTCTCTGCAACAGCAGGTGCCTCACAGCATCTCTGTTTGAATCTCAGTGACTCGAGAGATTTGCTGGATTTTCAAACTCGTCCCAGGACTTCCCACAGTTTTAGGTTTCAGTGTATATGCTCTGTGTGGGGATAAAGTTGGAGAAGTGATTTATAGAAAATGTTGTTTATGAAAGAGTAAACTGCAAGGTTTTAATTCTGGGCATAATTAAAATGAACATTGAAGTGCAGTTGGCAGACCCTAGAGATGAATAAGAAACAGGTTCAGGTATTTGCTTCCTACTGTGGCATCCGGGAGTTCCTGCCGTCTCGTTGAGTTCAGAACTGAGATGCAGTCTCCCTCGAACCACGTCTGTCAGGCTTTCCCCAGCAGGCACTCAGAAGGCTTGGCCTAATTCACCTGGACAACTCTGAAACCAGTTCTAGACCTGATGTTTTCTTGGCTGGTTGGAGACCCAGAATTGCCTAAGATTATCAGATCATACAGCAAACTGTTCCTGTTTATGTGAAGATGTTTATCTAATACCGAGCTCTCTTTGACCCGCCTTTGTTTCTTCCATAACCATTAGGGAGTTGGAAAATTTGATCTGTTGGCTTCTCATCTCTCACAAGCGAATTCCCCGGGGCATAGTTCTTGTCAAGACTATCAGTTCACATTTAGCTAGAGATAATCAATTATTATTATTACCAGTTGTTTGAAACTGATAGAGCTTGAAAACCACATGGAGTTCTTGTCTTCGGTAGACACTGTGTTAAGCAATAATGCTTGTTAAGGAGGAAAATTCCACAAATGTTTTAAGAGTTACTAAGTATACTGCTGATAAGACTTTAGTTTAGTGCTACTATATCTTTTATTCATTTATGATCCTTGCTAATGTCCTTTATAAACAGATTCCCAGACATTTTTATTTGGAATTTAACAACCTTATCTGGAACTTAACAATCTTACTTCACTTTAATTACATTGGCTATTTTTTTGCAGCTAGATTCTCTAGATAGCAACTGGAATTAGTTTTCTGTTAACACCATGATAAAAAGTTTCTGGGGTATTGTTTGGGTGTTTTGGTTTAGTTTTCTCTTTTCTTTCTTTTTTTTTCTTTCTTTTTGCTTCTGGCCTCTTGGCAGTGCTCAGGGGACCTGGGAGCACTTGCAGCAATATTCCGCCGAGCAATCCAGTTGATTAATCTAGGGCCGGGGGATGCAGTTGTGCTCCCAGCAGCACATGGAGCACGGTGCAGGGATCAAACCAGGGTTTGCCATACACGAAGCCTTTGTCTGTGAACCCTACGCTGTCTCCCCAGGCCGTGATAGATATAAAGTTAACATGAACTTACGCAAGAAAGCAAAGTCAATGTGAAAATTCATAAATAAATCTAAAGTAGGAAGATGGCAGCAGCATGATTGGAGGTTGAGAAATATTTTGTTGTATTTTTCGCGAATCTACCAAACTGGTTTTTTTTTTTTTTGTCTGATTCTGGATTTGAAATAAAGACAAGGAGCATGAAACAGGGAAAAGAGGGACTTGCACAGGAGAAGCAAAGAGCGAGTGTAGAATAAACTATCCATTTAAATCAGTCTTCGGGGAGCTTGGCCTTCGATCCCTGGCATGTTGAATGCTCGGCTTTTAAGACTGAGTTGGATAAAGAAAATGACATTCAACAAAAATGTCATGTGCTCACCAGGTGAGCACAGCGTTTGGCAATTCCCTCTTGTGCAAGAAACTGTCTTTTCAAGAAATAGCAGGGAAATAAAAGTGATTCGTGGTTCTCCTTTCACTAAATTTAACAAGACTTCTGTCTAAACATCGGTGTGGGACTGGAGAGATAGTATGGGGGTTAAGCATTTGCCTTGCATGGGATTAACCTGGGCTCGATGCTGGCAACCCCATATGATTCCCTGAGCAAGAAGTTAGTCCTGGACACAGGCAGGTATGGCCCAAAAAATAAAAAGAAAAGTAATATTGGTGTGTTTCACCTCTCAAGCAAGCAGTTGTGTCATGTAGTACTTCTCCATTCCCATATTTTCTTTTAACGTCCTTTATACTACCTATGTTTTTCTTGAATGAATTACAGCTATTATGAGTAAACATAGCCAAAAGTCCGTTTTTTTTGTTGTTGTTGTTGAATGTCATTTTCTTTATCCGCCAGACTGGAACATACATCTCTTGTAGTTCCTTTCTCAGACAGCTTCGATATTTGTTAGATAAAGTGGCGGATGTTAACCTCACTTCCTGAATTTGCGTAAGATTCTATTTTTTTTATATCTAGATTGGATGTAAATTGAGGATCTCTCACAACTGGAATGTGACACATAATTATATCTCTCGCCTTGTGTGCGTACTTTGGTTACGTAATAAAGCGATAGGGCAACACCTAACCACTAACAGTCCTGATTAATATTGTAGAAGAAGAAAATCACATTGCAGAATACGTCCGACGGGATAAAACACGCCTTCCAGACGGACAACAGAAAGGTGTGCCAGTACCTGCTCCAGCTCTGCTCTGCCCAGCACAAGTTCCAGCTGCAGATGCGGGCCAGGCAAAGCAACCAGGACACGCAGGACATTGGTACGTACAAGTCAAGTCGCTCGTTTCTGATGACTCCGGGTGCATGACTCCTTCCGTGAACGGTCGGACTTTCGCATGTAGATGAACGATTCAGGACACACCTCAACTTCCTGTTCATCTTGGAAACAAGACCTATCAGCTCAAGTGTTTACTTGAATAGAATAGTGGATACAAACAAAATTGGGCCGTATTCTCTACCGGTATTGAGTTCTTGGTATCTAGGGTTGTTGGACCAATCTATGTAAAGCAATAGTGCATATTAGAGGGTCAACGTTTTCGAACATAAGGTATGATACAAGCCCCATGATCTCCACTCCAAGAGGAGAGGTAGAAGACAGTCTTGAATTCTTGAAGGAAGGTGCCTGAATTGGAACATGAGGGGACAAATACTTAAGCGTTGGCTAAAGGTAAACGAAAGGGCTTTCCAGCTGAGGCAAAGAAACAGAGGAAACAAGATTTTGGCTAGGGTCGTGTGCACGTGAAATTTGGAAGACGTAAACCACCGGTTTGAAGTGGCTGGTTTCCTACCCATTAGTGTTATTCAAATAAATCCCCCTGGTTGTGAATAAGAGTGGCTTCAGTCCATTTTGAAAAGAAAGCAGCAGAGGAGAATTCAATTCACCTCAGGGGCGGGGAGAGTGGCGGGGGGTGGGGGGAGTCTCAGTCAGAAATGAAATCTGTAACGCCTACTCAGCAAAACTGCACGTGGAGAGAGAGTCAAGGTCCTCAGTGTCCAGTGCTGCACGGTTGATTCTTAGAGACCTCAGTGAAGTACTCTAAAGAATGCAGAGTGCTGGTAGAATGCATGCTTCACATACATGAGGGCCTGAGTTCGAGTCCTGTCACTGCCACTAACAACAACAACAAAAAAAAACATTTTGTAAGTGTTTGATTTCCGGCCAGAGAGATAGAGAGTACACAGAGGAAGACTGATTTGAGCCCCAAGATCACATGACCCCCTGCACACTGCTAGGAATAGCCCCTGAGCAGAGCTGGCTATGGCCCTAAAGCTAACAGAATCTGATTTATATACTGGATTGAACTAGCACTGGTGACTTGTGCGGCAGAACCCACGTACTCTTGATGTGAACTTTCTCTCAATCCTGAAACCTACAAAAAATATGTTTCCTGGCATCTTCCTGGGGTGAGGGAACCTAAACCTTTCTCAGGCTTTTACAGTCGAGACAGGTCAGGACTGCCTGTTTATTAAAAATAGATTCCAGGGGCTGGAGCGATAGTATAATGGGTAGGGCATTTTCCTTGCACGTGGCCGACCTAGGTTCGATTCCCAGCATCCCATATGGTCCCCTGAGCACCGCCAAAAGTAATTCCTGAGTGCAGAGCCAGGAGTAGCCCTTGTGCATTGCTGGGTGTGCCCCAAAAAGCAAAAAATAAATAAATAAAAATTGATTCCAGGAACCCATATGAAGTGCTAGATCAGTCATTGAAAATGGAGTACCTGGAATCTGCATTTAGCAGGCTCTCCTCAGTAATGGATTGGTGCGCATGCAAGACTTTATTGCTATCAAGTGATTTCACTGCTCCTCTTCTTTACCTGATTTGCTCTGCCAACTAAATTTCTACACACTCCTCTATTTTCAAGGTTTAGTGTAATATCAAAACTTACAGACATATCAATACTTCCTGCCCTAGCGTAATATTCTCTCTAACAAACCACAATTGAACCGAAGGCTGTATCATTGTAAGTATGGTTTGGTGTGCTATAGTGAAAAGAGTTAGGTAATGAAATCAACCTTTCATCCTCAACATCTGATGAGCACTGTGATGGTTAAGAGTGTGAATACTTTGAAGGCCATGAGGTTGGAAGGCCCATGGTTGGAAACCTGTCACAAGTAGGGGAAGGGAGAGAAGGCAGTTAGGACACAGAAGGGACCACGGGGTGAGGAATGTGAACTCTGGAGCCATTTGCCAGCACTTCAACCTGCTGTGTTGTAACGCACGTGCTCTGGCACAGCAAGCAGACTACGTAGTGTCTCTGCCTCAGTTCTCTGGGAAATGACCGCTGTGATCATACTTGCATCATAAGGTCATGAAGAACAACTGAGTTCATACATGTAAAGCCTTCAAGAGTACTTGGCACTGGGTAGGTATTAAGTAAAAGGTTGTTGATATCATCATCATCATCAACAACAACAACAACACTGTTAACTACTAGTGGCAGTATATAAAAGAAGATAAATGACCTTTAAAAGTTAACTGGATTTTTGGAGTCTTAATTTTATAGCACAGCAGGTAGGGCATTTGCCTTGCACACGGCCGACCCAGGTTCAATTCCTCCGTTGCTCTTGGAGAGCCCAGCAAGCTACTGAGAGTATCCCATCCACACGGCAGAGCTTGGCAAGCTCCCCATGGCGTATTCGATATGCCAAAAACAGTAACAAGTCTCACAATGGAGACGTCACTGGTGCCCGCTTGAGCAAATTGATGAACAATGGGAGGGCAGTGCTACAGTCCTACAGTGCTAATTTTCTTTACCCAGAAAGTGAGCATGGTGCATCCTCTCTGGCAAGAATCTAGGACTCCAGCATCATACAGCTATGGAGTCTTGAATTCAGTAAAAGCACTTGAAGATGATTTTAGTGATATCTTTCCCCAGATTTTATTGAATTTTCCATTTCAGTTATTTTCTACTTATTATCTACCAGCTAAGAATTAACTGGTTGTCAGTACTAATCGTACCATCTGCACAAGTGAAATTAGTTTATCTTGGACTAGAGTGATAGTACAGTGGGTAGGGTGCTTGCCATGCATTTTTGCCAACCAGGGTTTAATCCCTGGCACCCCATGTGGTCCCCTGAGCACCTCCAGGAGTGATCCCTGAATGCAGAGCCAGGAGTAACCCCTGAGCATCGCCAGATGTGCTTCCCCCACAAAAAAAAAAAATGTTTATCTGTACACCGATGAGCAAATAAATGTATGTGACTGAAGAGTCATTGAGTGTTGATGCTAGAAAGAACCTTAGCGGCTGTTAAGTCGGACGTGTGTTACTGATGAGGAAAAAGGTTCTAATAAAATATTATCTCACCTAAATTAGCAGTCAAAACAGACTAGAGCCCTGATCTTTGCATCTCATACCCAATACTCTACTCGATGAATCCCCAAAGAATTAATTTTCTGGAACTATACGAAAAGTAATCACCGTTGACTGAGCACTTACTACCTATAATGTGCCATGCTGGCACCTGTGGGATAACCGGAACAACTGTAGACCCTGTCGTCAGAAGAACTTAAAATTCAGCGGACATCATGAGGAGATGCAGAATGGTGCTGGGGTCCGAGCAGTAGCACAGACAGATGAGGACGTGTGCCACGTGGAGTGGCTGGCGAGATTTCAAACTAAAACCTGGAAACTTAGTGTTAAGTTCCAGGCTCCGTCTGATGTTCTTCCCCATCCGGTGGTCCGAGCGGGTTAGGGCAACAGCAGGACAGAACAGATAAGCAAGTGGCTGGTCTGTGAGCTCATCCCTTGGGTACAGGCAATGCTCTGAACTCTCGCCAGGGACAGACCGTGAGTGCATCTAGGTAGGTAGCATGGTCCCTGATACCTTTATGAAACCTAAAAGGAACAGGCATTTTTCTTATTCCTGTGCAAGCTTGGTCTGCATTTGAGTGAAGAAATTTTCTGGGTAGAAAGGCATGTCCTGGTCACTGAATCTGTAAGATTCAGTTTTGTGTCTTTCATGAAAGGCAGCTCTCCAGGCAAGGGGCCCAAGGCGGGTTGGGGGGGGGGGGGGGTGATAAATATTCTCTGCCCTAAGAAAAACTGTATGTTAAGTTCATTCTGGGTTTTTTCTTCTTGTTGTTGTTTCTGGTTTTTGTTTTTGTTTTTTTTTGGACCACACCAGGCAGTGCTCGTGGTACTACATCTGGCTCAGTGCAGTGGGATTCTTCCAGCAGTGCTCAGGGGACCATGTGGTACCAGGAATCAAGCCCAGGACTCCCGCATGTGAAGCATGCACTCCTGCCCATTGTGCGGTTTCCATAACTGGAGCCTTTTGTTGTTGTTTTCATGTTTTACTTTGGTGTCCCCTTCTACCACGGAGAGAGAATGTCGAATTTTCCCATTGGCAGTGAAACATGCTTATTTTAACTTTATTCTGATGCATGACCATTAAAAGTCTTTTGGGTTTCCTAAACAATGTCTGATGTGCTATATTGGCAGTTAACCTCCGTAAGAATTAGAAGATACGTGGGAAAGAAGTTAAGGACCTAAGTGATCGATTATTTGATTTTTCAAAAGAAATTTTTGTCACTATTTGGCAAAGTATGCTCAAGAAAAATGCTTTCTGGAGTACAACACGGGGCCAGTAGTTGTTGGGGGACCAAAGAGGGGGCCTTGTGATGTGGGACATTCTGTGTTCCTGGCCCTTTATTCATGTGAACATATTTTTATGCTAAGGTCACGATCACGATCATCCTGTTGTTCGTCGATTGCCTCGAGCAGGCACCAGTAACGTCTCCTTCGTCCTAGCCCTGAGCTTTTAAAGTGACGTATTCAAGGCTCTTTCAGGGTTAGGAGAACGAGACCCATCGTTGTTACTGGTATTTGGCATATTGGGTACGCCACGGGGAGTTTGCCAGACTCTGCCCTGTGGGCAGGCTACATTCGGTAGCCTGCCAGGTTGTCATGTGCTAACAACATGGCAGGCATATGCTAAGGTGTTTGAGAGTATTTTCTAGCCTCACGAATTCAAATACCATCAGAACATTTGGTTCTCACACTACAGGATGACAGTCCTCATTATTAAGGAGCTCAAAATCAAGCCCCTAAAAGAAAATGAAAGGAATGTATTGCAAAAAGAGCTTTTTTTCCCTCAAGTTCACAGAAACAATGACGAGTGATATTTCCTTCTTCTTTGGTTCCTTTGGGCTGGAGCCATAGCACAGGGGTAGGACGTTTGCCTTGTGCGCAGCCAGCCTGGCCAAGCCGGGTTCGATTCCTCCACCCCTCTCGAAGAGCCCGGCAAGCTACCCATGATGTATTCAATATGCCAAACACAGTAACAACAAGTCTCAAAATGGAGACATTACTGGGCCCACTCGAGCAAATCGATGAACAATGGGAGGACAGTGCTACAGTGCTGGTTCCATTACCTCAGTTCGGCCACCCAGGTAGGAAGCTGGTGATGACACAGAAATGAGATAACAGGAGGCATCAGCCGCCCTCAGAGCTTGCTGGCAGGCAGGGCAGTGGCACTGCTGGCCGGTGGCCCTCAGCCCGTCCAGTGCAGCCACGTGCGCATGTGGTGTGGCTCTGGCCCAGAGTGTGTGCTCATCACTACAGTCTGTCAGAAGCTTTGGAAAAAAAAAAAATAGAATCGAGACATTTTCTTTTTTTTTTAATTAAATTTTTTTATTAGTGAATCACCATGAGGTACAGTTACAGACTTACAAACATTCGTGCTTGCATTTCAGTCATACAACGATCGAGTACCCATCCCTCCACCAGTGCCCATTTCCCACCACCAATAGACCCAACATCCCTCCCATCCATCACCTCCATCTCATCCCCCAGCACCCCACCCTGCCTCTGTGGCAGGGCATTCCCTTTTGCTCTCTCTCGCTCTCTCTCTCTCTCTCTCTCTCTCTCTCTCTCTCTCTCTCTCTCTCTCTCTCTCTCTCCTTTTGGGTGTTGTAGTTTACAACAGAGGTATTGAGTGGCCATCATGTTTGGTCTATAAATGATAAAACTTTGTTCCTGGTGATCTGGGGTCTGCCGGTGAGAGAGGACTGCTCAGAAGTAGCCCGTCCTCTCCATCCTGTCTCAGCTATATTGGTACAACAAAATTTTAACATTATCAAGAATTCATCTATCTATAGAGTGCCCGTGCAAGAGATGATTAATTTTATTTTACTATTGATTCCAGCTGTCAAGTTTCACCCACCAAAACTTTATTTCTCAAAGAGAGAATTTCTTCTTTGATTTTACTAGTCTCATGCGTAGAATCGAGACATTTTTCTCAGGACAAAGTTCTCTCTCTCTGGCACTTCTCCTTCGCACACCCTCTCCCCAGGCCAGTGTGCCCAGGCCGCATCTCACCCTCTCCCCATCCTTGGTTTGCCCGTGTTGTGGCAGAGGAAGCTTCGAATGGAGGTTACTCTGCCATTGTCCTTTTTGTTTTCTTTTTGGGTCACACCTGACGATGCTCAGGGGTTCCTCCTGGTTCTGCACTCAGGAGTTCCTCCTGGCAGGGAGACCATAGGGGATGCTGGGAATCGAACCCTGGTCGGCCGCATGCCAGGCAAACGCCCTACCCACTGTGCTATCGCTCCAGCTCCTGTCGTTGTCCTTTAGTCTCTACCCGACGACTGAGAATTGGGGGTGGGTGAGCCTGAACGACTCCCACGCGTTGTTAGATGCCCAGAGAGAGTCCTGGGCTGAAGTGGGAGGTGTCCCGAGAGCTGGTGTGTGAGAAAGCGGAAAGGATGGAGAGAGGGGATGGGACCTGGGACAGCCCGGCCTCCTCTGAAGCATCGCCACCAGCTGCCTCAGTGCCGGTGGTCACCTGTCCCCAACTGCATGCTGCCCTGTCGCCTGTCTCACCGTCGCTCTTCCGCCGAGGGTCCCGGGGGGTTTCCGACGCGTAAAGCAATCCTGTTTCCTTGTAGAGAGAGCCTCGTTTAGGAGCCTGAACCTGCAAGCAGAGTCCGTTAGAGGATTCAGTGTGGGCCGAGCCATCAGCACGGGCAGCCTGGCCAGCGGCACCCTGAGCAAACTGGCCGTCCGACCTCTGTCCGTGCAAGCCGAGATTCTGAGGAGGTTGTCCTGCTCCGAGCTGTCGCTCTACCAGCCGTGGCCAAGCAGTGCAAAGGAGAAGAGCGACAGAGCTTCCTGGGAGGACAAGCCTAGAGGGATGAGCAAGTCGTACCACGACCTCAGTCAGGCCTCTCTGGGTGCGCCTCGGAAGCATATCACGGTCCTTAACGCGGAGGCCCCGCCACAGAGCACGGCGGAGCTGGCAGGAAAACCCTCGCACCCCAAGGCGAGATCTGACGCAGGATCTGTGGCGGGAGCCACAAGACTCAATAAGTAAGAACACCGTTGACTAATCCCAACTCCGTTTGTAAAGTCAGCCTTTCATACCTTGCTTTTGTTTTGAACATTTGATGATTTTCACCATGCTTTTTTTTTTTAATTTTACATTGACACTCCCCCCTCCCACCTTCCTTTTCCCCCTTTAGTTCAAAGTCTGTGGCAAGTTTAAATAGAAGTCCTGAAAAGAGGAAGCAGGAATCAGACTCGTCCTTGGAAGACCCCGGCCAAGCCTTTGTCGTAGGTCAGCACTGAACAAGCTTTACCTTCTCTCCCCCGACCCCACGGTGACAGTGAATGAAATCGTGACAACCACCGAGAAATCGGGCAGTTGGGACCTAGAACCAGAGTGAATTTCTGTCTTCTCGTTCTCTTTTGGTCTTCCGTGTCCTAATGGCCAGCGCTGTTAGTGCATAGAGAATTTCAGGCTGCGTGAAATATGCCACATCGAGTCAAAACTTGATTTTACAAATAGTTGTTCATGGCACAAACTCTTCTTGTTTTTGTTTTGTTTTGTTTTTTTAATTTTTATTAGTGAGACTTCATGAGATACAGTTGTAGACTTACAATTTTTTGTGCTTAGGTTTCAGTGATACAATGATCGAGTACCCATCCCTCCACCAGTGCCCATTTCCCACCACCACGGGTCCCAATATCCCTCCCACCCCCCATCCCCCCATTCCACCCTGCCTCTGTGGCAGGGCATTCCCTTTTGTTCTCTCTCTCCTGTTGGGTGTTGTGGTTTGCTCTTGACTGCCCCTGGTGGCAGTTAAGAGCCATGCCAGGAGCACCCAGAGGCCGCTCTGAGCCGCAGCGTTTGACAGCCTTCCCCTGGGCTACCTTAGAAGACCAGGAGAGCGAACTCTGCTGCTGCCGCTGTCTTTTTGAAGAAAGTTTTATTTGCAACCACATGAATGGTTGTCATGAATGCTTGTCATGAATGGGGTTGGCTCTAAAATATACATTTTGAAATGCGCTATGGATAGTAGATAGATTTTTTTTTTAATTTTACTTTTTCCAGTTCTCCCTGTTGTCTGAGAGCTGTTAGCCACTTAGTATAAGCACTGTGTGTGTGTGTGTGTGTGTGTGTGTGTGTGTGTGTGTTTAGAAAGACTGTACCTTATAAGAGAGATGATCCCAGATTCCTTTGGCTTCATGCATCTTAAAGGGAAGTGCACTTTTTTAAAAAATCAGAAGCCCTCGTTTAGAACAGTAGATATAGGTCTTAACTACTGTTCAAAATAGGAAATAAATGAGTAGAGAAAACAAGAATACTTTGTTCTGTTAGTGAAATGTTTTACCAGATACTTCTTCACTCTTCCGTAGACCCAAAGTTTTGCTCATTTACCCTTAACTACACAAATTTTAAAAGTATTTTCTCATCCTGTTATTGAACTCAGGATATTTAGAATTAAAAAAGTTAAAAAAGAACTGAGAACTGCCCAGGTAACTGACACATATTTATACAAAACATTATTATGTAGCTTTCGCAATTTTCAGAGATTTTATTTTCATTAATTGAAATTGCATTGGTTGAAATAATCTAAAAAAATCAAAGGCAATATTTCACCCTAAGACAAGCTACCCTAAGATAATAATTCAGTCTGTTAGAAAATATTTTTCAAAGTTTATTTACAGAAATGAAATCTCTGATAGGTTCTAAGCTACTTTTAGTAAGATGCTTTTGTATGTATATATATATATTTTAAAAATCTATCACATAACACTAATATCCTATTGAAAACACTGTGAACTGAAGTAAAAGGTTTATTTTTGCATTTTTTGGCTTAAGTTATTCATTTTTATTCAATATTGATTTTTTAACATTTAACCGAAGCTTTAAAAGCTCATCTTATTTCCATCATTTCATTTTTTTACATCAAAATGGTATTATCTGAAAGAGTACATTTGTGTTTAAATTTATTCTGAAGAACAAGAATGTTTAGCTTAGCTATTGAAGTAGTCAATATGTCATTGTGGCCTATTTTTCTGAGTATATAGAAAAGAAAAGGTTAATATTTCATTTTTATGAATTTATCACATGAAATTACTTCTATATCTAGCATCTGACAATTTCATAAACTGTCTAATTTAATTTATACCACAGGAATGCCTTTGCATAGTTCTGGAAATTCTTCATCCCAAGTACCCTTAAAAGAAAATGGTAGGTTTACAAAGTGTTTTTCCCCTCCTTACCGTCATATCTTTTCTTTCACATACTTGAAATAGTCTCGGAACTAGTAAATGAAGAGTCTTCAATTCTGTGCCAGGACTTTAGGTCTTCCTCCGGGGTCAAAGAAGAACAGTAAATTTTAGTACCCTGGCTGTATCGTAGGCAGTATCTGCCTAAAAACGTTGGTGAATTAGAGAAAGAGCAAATCAGAGACAGGACTCTAGCTGGAATACTAGGGAAGTGAGTCAGCTGGAAGATCATTAAAAAAGAGAGAGAGGTTTCTTGTTTGGGGACGCACCCGGAGTATTTGGAGGGGGCTGAACTCAAGCTTCCTCCGCTATCATGTGGGGTCTGTGCTCCCCCATCCCCATGAGCCCTCGCTTCAGCCCTTAGAGAAGAGTTTTAACTCAGGCAGTTCCTTCAAAGGGCTGCCAGAGCTGGAACTTGAAATAGAGGATTCGTTCAGGAAGAGGGGTGAGTAGGAGCGTCCACACCAGACGTGATCAAAGACGGACACGAGAAAACAGCTGTGCCAGGAAGCCCACGCTCGCCACAGAGTTATGTATGGCCAGGGAAAGCTCGGGATTGAACTCGAGCTTTTGAGTCCTGTCCTAAAGTCTCCCAAGACTTTAGATATTGAGGTTTGTAGTTTAAAAGGAATCAAAGTAGAACCAGTCACAGGGAGAGGCTGGTGCTGTGACTCCAGCAGAATAGACATTCTTAGAATCTAGGTTACCAGGTATAATTTAGGTCACATGTGCTTGGTCTGACTTTTAAGCTCCTTCTGACAACTCCCACGGGTGAAATTATTTTTTATGATAATATACTGGTTTTCTCCCGGTTGAAATAATGAGAAATTTGGTAAGAAAGAAGCAAGTAGGCTAATAAGCAGATGTGCTAAGAAAGTCAAACTAGTAAATGAAGAGCACAACAAATTCCTCTTTCCAAATAAGTTAACTAAGCAGCAAAAAATTAAATAATAACTTTCCCCTAAGTCAAATATACTAATATATGATTTCATAATTATAATTTTAGTGTTCTTCCTTTTTGGTCAAGATTATTAAAAAAGAATTAGTGAAATTATTTATGGTTTAATACAAAGACCAACCAATAAAATTTAATTCTAACTTTTGATGGCCCCCGGAAACTCATGAAAAATGTGAAATTTAAGAGAAGATAAAAGAAAAAAGGCATGAGTCTTCTCATAAAACTGAAATATGGGGAAGAAGCGATAGCACAGCGGGTAGGACTTTTGCTTTGCACGTGGTCGACCAGGGTTCGATTCCCAGCATCCCAAAGGGTCCCCCAAGCACCACCAGGAGTAATTCCTGAGTGCAGAGCCAGGAGTAACCCCTGAGCATCGCCAGGTGTGACCCAAAAAAAAAAAAAAACCTGAAATATGTAAAAATTCTGATTATTTTATTGTGGTCTCAAAAAAATAAGCTGCTTAACTTGCAAAACCAACCATGTTATAATAGTTTTCCTAAGAAATAAAGAAAGATGTCAAAATTATGTAAGAATTATGCAAACCTGACTTTCATTGTCTCTTGTCCTATGCGAACTCAGGATTACTCTGCAATGTTTGAAAGTAAATTGTAGCAACATTTGTTACTTACTTTCTAGAAGTATATCAACTTCTAGTCAATTGAAGACAGTTCTTTTTTTTAAATGCAATCAACAAAAACTGATCACAAAGTATTCGATAGGAACTAACCAAAATTAGTTGTATTCAGCCCAGCCTCTTCATTAGGTTAACGAGTTTAAGTGAGTCTTAGAGATGTCACTTGGTCCCAATTCACGCAGCTAATTAGTGTGTCACAAAAATAGAATTCCAGAGTTTCCATTATGATCTGCTTGCAAACCACGCTAACAAATAGCTTATTAGGAGGCATAGCAATGAAAAATACCTTTGTTTTTCTACTGATTTGGTGCGGCTCACCCCTCATCCCCACAATTTGAAATGGATCTTTTTTTTTTCCCCCTAGAGTAAGTGATAAAATTGTCCATAAATTTCTCTACCTAACGTCCTGATTCCCTTACAATTAGCAGACATGCCCGATTGTTGGCAAGAATCTAAATTATGACCAAGAAAATTAAATTTTTTTTCTGGCCAAAAAAAATTTGATTCATATTTCCATTGATAAGGCTTTGTCCTCATTGGAACCATGATCTTAATTAGGAAAGTCAGTGAGTTTCACTTCCTGTCCTTCTGTGTGTCTAATCTCGTCTGGCTGAAGACTGTACAGATCAACCTGGATCTTATGAGAGCGAAATAAGCAAAGTAATTTGAGAGCAACACCTTTTAATGCATTGGATATGCATTTCATTTCTAAACTGTACATTCATCAGTTCCTCAGCCATTTCCCACATAAATGCCATTAGTAACAACACCTCCATGTATTACTTATAAGAACTGAAAATTTCAAGTGGAGGCTCTTTTTTTACTTTAAAACATTTGCAGAATTCATTGTGGTCACAGGGCTTATTCACGAGGGTAGGGATTTCCATTATAGATTTAAAACTAGGTAATGAGTTTGAATTTAATCATCATTTAATCACTTTTACAAAACACTCCCTTTTTATCAGTTCCCTCACACCACTTCACCATTTTAAAGACTTAGCCACTATACTGATTTGATTTTTAATTGGGTGGGGGGGTGGGGGAACAGTTAAGGAACAGTTGGCCCAAACCCAGCGAGTATCAGTCTTCCTCCTGATTCTGTGCTCAGCGATCATTCCTGGTGGTGCTCAAGGCTTGTGATGCCAGCATCAAACCCAGTCAACCACGTGCGGTGCAAGCCCCTTACTTGACACACTCTATCTCCAGGTCCTGGTTTAATTTTTTGTCTGTTTGGGAATGTGAGGAGGGCTATACCCAGCCACACTCAGGGACTATTACCCACGTGGTGCTTGGGGGTCAAGCCTGGCAGTGCTCAGGGACAGTGCAGTGCCAGGGATAGATCTCAGCTCTCCCACAAGCAAAGCCACTGCAGCCCCCTGGAATTTCTCTCTCCGGCTCCTGGTTGAGATTTTTTTTGGTGAGGGAATCACACCCGGCGATGCACAGTGATTACTCCTGGCTCTGCACTCAGGAGTTACTTCTGGCGATGCTCAGGGGACCATATGGGATGCTGGGAATCGAACCCGGGTCGGCCGCGTATAAGGCAAATGCCCTACCCGCTGTGCTATCTCTCCAGTCCTGGGTTGAGATTTTTCACATGACTTCATTTATTTTATGAGTTTCGTTCTGTATATTTTATGTTTGGTCCTAACTGAAAATTAAAGCTAATTGCTTATTTCTAATAGAAATTTCTTGAATGTTGAAGGTCATTAGGGAGCAGAGAAAGAGCTCTGTGGGTGGAGGCTTCAATGTCTAGGACAGGAAATTTCCCCCAGCACTGAGCGTGAGTACCCCTGAGCAACACTGGCTGTATCCCTTCCAGTTGCTAAGTCTTACCTAATTCCTAGATGCTTCAGAGTTGCCTGGCAGTCCAGTGATCAGGTTTCACATTGTCACGGAATAAATATACATACACACACATACATACATAAATGCAGTTGTGGGGCTGGAGTGAGAGCACTGTGGATATGGCGGTTGCCTTGCACCCGGCCAGTCTGGGTTCGATTCCCAGCATCCCATATGGTCCCCTGAGCATTGCCAGGAGTAATTTCTGAGTGCAGAGCCAGGAGTAACCCCTGTGCATTGCCGGGTGTGACGCAAAAATATATATATAAATACATATATATATATATATATTTGCACTTGTTACATAACAATACAGAGAACATAACCTTCATGTGTAAGGTAAAGTATATATGACTTCACGATTGTCCAGTGATCTTGGGAGAATCTCATTCATAAGTTCAGGTGAAAGCTGACTGCAAACGTGTTGATACTTCGTGCTTCTGGGACAAGGTTAATCAGCTCTGCGGTGCTGCTGATTGTCACTATTTCCTGAAATTAATTCATTTCTAGAATGGATTTTAACATTCCTGTCATTTAAGCATTAACACCTGTATAATATTTAAACAGATATTGGCAAATATACAAAAAAAAACCGTAGTAAACAAATATAACAGTCCAATTTTAAACCCACATGTTGTCAAATCTCTAATTTTCAAAGATTTTTCAGTATGCTTAAGAACGCTGCAGGGATGAAAGATGACATTTACAATATCTGGTGAGCTCATTCACCATCACTTCTTGCACACACACGGCTTGAACAATCGGATCCTAACTGACGTTCAGAGGCGTGTGTGACTGGAGAGAAAAAGTGGGGGGTTAAGGCTCTCACCTTGCTCCCAGCTCACCTGATTCGACCCTCAGCACCTCCAGGAGCGGGACCAGGATGAGCCTCGAACGATGCTGGCTGTGGCCCATAAACCAGAAAGGGAAAAAAAATCTATTTTTTTTTCCTTTGAGGCTCTTTTTCATCTTATGCTGTTGTCGAGATTCTCTGCACGTCGTCTTGGAGTTCTCTGGCTCTGTCCTCGGCCGTGTTACTCTGCTTTTCCATTTCACCAACCAGGTGTCTCAGCTCTGCTATTTCTGTGTGTATTTTTCCCATTTCTGCTTGTAATTTCTCGACAGTGCGTTCCATTGTGTCTTCGAGCTCCTTCTGCATCCTCAGCAATTCCATTTTACATTTCGGGGGGACCAGAATGGTGGCGCGCCTGACTTTCATACGAGCTCCCCAACACCTGCCTGGCCTTGGCTGTAGTTTTCAGGGGGCGGCTAGCCGCCCTCCCCCTCTCTAGGGCTGGGGTCAGTCTTGACGCGAGTTGCAGAATGTGCTCCTGAGTTTAATCCAGCCACAAACAGGGGAAGGTTTAAGGATATTCCTCTGCTGGAGCTCCGTAACGATATAGCACCATAGAAATGTGTCGTTGCTTTTGGCTTCTGGTTCTGGAGGTGACAAGTTTGAGGGCCAGCCGTGAGGCAGGACCTTCTGTGAGCCCTCGCAGGCATGCCAGAAGCATCTGTCCCAGCTCGCTCTTCGCGTGTCTCTGTCCACACAGTGCCTCGTGCCGTAGTACTCGTCCACAAGACTTCAGTTTCACTTCAAGTTTTCTTTAGACCCTGGTCTCCAAACAGTTGGTGGCGTGGAGGGGGCGGGGAGGCAGGGCTTGGGGCTACACCAGCTATGCCCAGAGCTTACTTCTGCTTCTGTGTTCAAGTGTCCACTCCTCCCGGGCTGGAGGAATCATCTAGGGTGCCGGGAATCGAACCCAGGTCCACCTGTCCTCCCAAAACTTTTTAATTAACAATCTGTCTTCAGGGCTGGAGCAATAGCACAATGTTTGCCTTGCATGTGGCCGACCTGAGTTCTATACCTAGCATCCCATATGGTCCCCCGAGCACCCCTCCAGGAGTAATTCCTGAGTTCATGAGCCAGGAGTAACCTCTGAGCATTGCTGGGTGTGACCCAAAGAAAGCAAAAATGAATAAATAAATAGATAAATAAGGCTTTTCCAATTTAAAAAACAAACAGAAAAATCTATCTTCAAATACAGTTGCATTCTCAGGCATTGAGATGTAGGTTCTCCAATATATAAACTAGAGGAGAGGTATGGCTCAACCCCTAACGAAGTATGCGTGTGCAGGTGTGTGAGTGAGAGTGTGTCGGTGTGCAGATGTAAATGATGTAAATGCAAGTAGCTACACAGATGAAGTAATTTTATTAACATGGCAGTTTAATCGGGGAGCTATTTATAAATAATCAGCATACTTTTTAAAAAAAAACCCTAAACAAAAATTTTTTAAAGTAAATTCTAACTCAAATACCCACTTGTCTATTTAACTAGTGTTGTTCAAATTCTGATTTAAGACATTGGGCTGGGCATTGATCTAATTGGAATGTGGAACAAGTCTGAATGTTATTTCTCATCTGCACCTGATTAAAAATCTCTCCTTAACCCATGAATTTATTTTATTTAAAATAAATCAATGAGGGGCTGGAGCGATAGCATAGTGGGTAAGGCATTTGCCTTGCACACGGCCGACCCTGGTTCGATTCCCAGCATCCCATATGGTCCCCCGAGCACCTCCAGGAGTAATTCCTGAGCGCAAGAGTCAGGAGTATGGGGCTGGAGCGATAGCACAGCGGGTAGGTCTTTTGCCTTGCACACAGCCAACATGGCCGACACGGGTTCAATTCCCAGCATCCCATATGGTCCCCCGATCACCACGAGGAATAATTCCTGAGTGCATGAGCCAGGAGTAACCCCTGAGCATCGCCGGGTGTGACCCAAAAAGCAAAAAAAAAAAAAGAGTCAGGAGTTACCCTTGTGCATTCCCGGGTGTGACCCAAAAAGCCAAATAAATAAATAAATGAAAATTATTGAAGACAGTAAATTTAGGCCTGTCATTAAATCTAGTTTTTCTGGTTGGTGTCTATCTCTAAAATTTACTGTGACTATTTTACTTATTATCAAAATGCCAATCACTTATTACTCAAAAAAATTTTTGAGTAATAATAATCTGATGGGCTGGAACGATAGCACAGCAGGTAGGGCGTTTGCCTGGCAAGCGGCCAACATGGCCAACCCAGGTTCGATTCCTCCGCCCCTCTCGGAGAGCCCAGCAAGCTACTGAGAGTATCTCACCTGCACGGCAGAGCCTGGCAAGCTCCCCGTGACGTATTCGATATGCCAGACACAGTAACAACAAGTCTCACAATGGAGACGTTACTGGGCCCGCACGAGCAAATCAATGAACAACAGGAGGACAGTGACAGTGACATAATAATCTGATTGAGCATGTCAGATTCAGATTATCAGCTATGAGACAACAATGACATGGAATCAGAAAACTTGATTTTAGGGTTTAGCTCTTGGCTCTACTGTCCGAATAAATCCACACAGAGCATTTGATCTCTTGAGATTCAGTTTCTCACTCATAACTGAAATACAAGCATTCCATGGGGAATGATTTACAAGGCTATCACTATGATCACATAAAGTGATTCTGTAAAATCTAAGTCACTATAAAATAGAAAATAATAGCATTATATTTCAAAGATAGTTTTAAAGGGATCTATTTATTAATAAGCTTCGCTGGCATTTAAAATTGAGGCAAGCAGAATGCGTGCCTGAACATGTAATATGTGTTTTATTTATTTTTTTTTTAATTATCCATTTCAGCGGATGTGCTACACAAAAGATGGAGTGTAGTCTCCTCGCCAGAAAGGGAGATCACGCTGGTGAAACTGAAGAAAGATGCCAAGTGTGGCTTGGGTAAGTCAAACAGGAAAGAGGTTGTGACAACACACTGACCTTAAAGACCAGCCACCTCTAATGAGAATGCATGGTGCCCACCTAGTCGAGAAGAGCCAGAGATGGAATCCCTAACAAGAAATAATTGCCATCAGATTTCACAATCCCGTCTGACACGATAATTTGTTAATCACCTTGATGAGTCTCTGTTCTTGTGCGTGTCAAGCAGGTTGTATCATCGAAAGCACCAGAACAATGCACTCTTGGGGTGGGGGAGAGCGGGTGCCATGCTCAGAGGCTCTCAGGAGACCATGCAGTGCCAGGGGTCAGATTTGGGGCTTCTACCTGCACATCCCTTTGGGCTGTCTCTCTGGCTCCAGAAACATCATCTTTTTCATATGCGCCATCTCACAGGATTTCAAATTATTGGTGGAGAGAAGATGGGAAGACTGGACTTAGGGGTGTTTATTAGTTCAGTTACCCCTGGAGGGCCAGCTGATTTGGATGGACGCTTAAAGCCAGGTACTTTAGCTTCCGGTAATTTCCTAAGTACTTACTAATATTAGTACAGAATATTAGCAAAAGTGGAGCTGGGGGCAGAACCCAAACTCTGGGGTGAGCGTGTGGCATTCCTAACCTAGAGCATGGCGGTCTCCTTTTGGCTGTAGATACTGGACTAAATGTGGCTTCTCTGGGATTTAGCTTGGCTTTCTCCTTGCGGTTGAGAATACTGGATTGTGCGTCTTTAAATTGTTTCTTTTATTATTGCTGTTGTTGTTATGGGGCTATCCCTGGAAGTGCTTACTCTTGGGTCTGTGCTCAGGGATCATTCTTGGTGATGCTCAGGGGACCATGTGGGGTGCTTAGGAATGAAACCCCAGTTGGCTACATGCAAGGTAAGCGCCCTGCCCACGGTGCTGCCTCTCTGACACCTGAATCGTCTGTTTTTGCAGGGGACCGTTTGATATCTGTGGACAGTGTGAGTCTGGAGGGCGTCACTCACCACGCCGCAGTTGAAATTTTGCAAAACGCACCTGAAGATGTGACTCTTGTTATTTCTCAGCCAAAAGAAAAGCTATCCAAAGGTAACGTGACGATCTCTCTCTCTCAGTCTGTGTTCAGCTTCACTGTCCACAAAAGCAGTGATACTTTGGTCGAATAAGCTAGGCTTCCATTCCTTATGTGCTTTCTGGCAGTTTGATGGAGATCTAATGGTTTTCATTTTCTGTATTGTGTAACTATTATTCATCGCTCCAAGATTTTCTGTCTTTTTCCTCTTTAGTTATATGAGGACAGAAAAACACATTTACTGTGCAAACTCAGTGTCACTTACGTAAATTCTGGTGATGTATCTCATCATTTCTTAGATGTGCAATCTCAAATCAGAAGTAGAATTTTTATAACTTTCAATGTATTGTTTACTAGTTTGGGGTATTTATTTTTTTTTGGCCACACCTGGATGTGCCCAGGAGACCCGATATGGTACTGGGGGCCAGACCCAGCTGTGCTCTGTGCAAAGGCTTGCCCCTGTACTATTTCACTGCCCTTCAGAGTTATCTTCAAGCTCCTTTCCTGAATGAGCTTATGAAAGTGAAAAGGACAGCAGAAAGCCAGAATTTTATTTTAATTTTAACCTTTACTGAATCACTGTGATAGACCCTTACAAAGCTATACATGATTGGATTTCAGTCATAGTGTTCCAACACCCGTCCCTCCACCAAGGTACTTGTCCCAGCACTAGGGTCCCCAGGTTCCCTCCCATCACCCCCACCCCCACCCCCTGCCAGCCCCAGTGGTTTTTATTAACATTAGTTTTAAAAATCACTGAACTGCTGAAAATATGTAAATCATGTTTATCCCAAAGATATTAGGAAATATATACAAAATGCATGCTGTTAATATAGACACATATATACAATTTACTAATTTTTTAATTAGTAAATGTTAGAAACTAGTAAATATTAGTAACTAGCAACTGTAGAATTTTATATGTTGCGCATTATATAAGGAATTAGAGCTATATACAATGAGGAAAGAAATTTGCTAAAAATAAATTTAGGTGTTGAATTTTAGTATCATTTTAGACACATGAATGAAATAGAAACCAGAAACACTTCATACGTTGTTGAACACAAATGTCACGACCTTCTGAAAATATTCCTGGCACCAGGACACTAGTCCAAATGGTAACACACATGCCCGGCAGGTTCACGACCCTGATTCTGACCCTGGCACTGTTGAGTGTAGCTCTGGTGACCTGCTGTGGGCATTGAACTCCTGATTCTGCATCATCAGATCAAGCATCGCTGAGAGTGCCCCCTTTGGGAAAAAAATTCTTAAATTTTATTCAGATGAATCTGAGAAAAATTACAAATATTCTTAGGGCTTTTTTTATAGACATCATTTTCTCCTTCGTTGATTTTATTCACTATGTATATATGCTATCTAAGTATATATGTTCATTTCATTTCATTTCATTTCATCATCCTGTTATTCGTCGATTGCCTCAAGCAGGCAACAGTAACGTCTCTTTCATCCTAGCCCTGAGATTATATTCAAGGCTCTTTAGGAGAATGAGACCCATCATTGTTACTGGTATTTGGCATATTTGGTACGCCACGGGGAGTTTGCCAGACTCTGCCCTGTGGGCAGGCTACATTCGATAGCCTGCAATATGTATATATGTATATATGTTCACATATACATATATGTAATAATATTCTTAACACTTATTTACCGTGAATAAATGCATACGATATGGTAGAAAACACTACACTCGAACAAGAGCCGTAGCACAGGGTCCGGGGCACACACCTTGCCTGCAGCCAGCCCTGGTTCGATCCCTGACACAGCTCTAATCCCCTGATGCCTGAGCACAGAGTCACGAGTAACTCTTGAGCGCAGCCAGGTGCGGCCCAGACCCCCTGCCCGCCAGTCCGCCTGACCACTCCCACACCACCACACACATGCTCCACACATCACCACACACCAACAGGAGCTTTGACGTAGAACGGTGGTGTGTGTAGGCAGAGGAGACAACCACAGACAGAGATGTCACAGCGCACCTCGGAGCTTCAGGCAGGAGACACCCAAAAAAAAAAAAAAAATTCTCTGAACAGCGTGTTAGTCTTCGTGCTTTCAGTAGTTTTTGTCACAAGAAGTCTATGTGCTCAGAAGGAATGCTTTCCCCCCGAGTGAAGTTCAGAAACTCTCGCCGTCACTTGGTTTTCAGTTGATAGAGAGAGTTCATTTCAAACAAATGGCATACGTCCATTGGCCTCACACCATTTATTAAGTGGCTGTCACTTGTAAGAACAGAGCCTCCGCCTGCCTTGAACTTTATCAGTGCCGATGAAGTTATAAATATTAGGCATATTTATAATAGAGATAAATACGAGACAACTAAACAAATAAGTATTTAACTTATGATAAGTGTTGGACTTGGAAGAAAGCGCCCTGTCCACTGCACTGTCTTCCAGCCCCTCCCTCTCTGGTCACTTATTCCTCTTCGCTTTTTCTTGGTTTTGCTTGCTCCATGAAACTTTTTAATTTTTGGTGAATTCACATCTGGAGTTCATTTATACATATCTACAGTTTGTGTTTTACTCGGAAAGCTTTCTCTAAGTGACATTTGATAAGAAATATACTTAAGGAATTTGGAAATTTTTTTTCCTTGATAATTACTCAGCGTTCAAAATGCAGAAGGCAAGACCATATAAAACAAGTGTGGGGGGGGCTGGAGCAATAGTACAGTGGGTAGGGCGTTTGCCTTGCACACGGCTGACTTGGGCTCGATTCCCAGCGTCCCATATGGTATCCCCGAGCACCACCAGGAGAATTCCTGAGTGCAAAGCCAGGAGTATCGCCGGGTGTGACCCAAAAGCCAAAAAATAAAAAGAAAGATAAACAGGAGTTGGAGCGATAGCACAGCGGGGAGGGCGTTTGCCTTGCACGCGGCCGACCCAGGTTCGATTCCCAGCATCCCATATGGTCCCCCAAGCACTGCCAGGAGTAATTCCTGAGTGCATGAGCCAGGAGTAACCCCTGAGCATCGCCAGGTGTGACCCAAAAAGAACAAACATAACAAAACAAAGCAAAAAAAGTGTGGGAGCCAAGGAGATGGCTCAAGGGATGAAGCACATGCTTTGCTGTCAGGAGCCCTGTTCAGGCCTGATCCCAGCCTGCACAGGTCCCCTGGGGAGGAGGCTCTCAGGGCCACTGTCAGGTATGGCCTGAAAAACAGATTAAAAAATAAAAACCTCACATGATTATTAAATAAGGATCAAGGCTCTTGGAGACTCGGATTGTCTTAAGGTAGGGACTTAACATTTTTGCAGAAAAGACTTGCTTGAAGGGCTGGAGCGATAGCACAGCGGGTAGGGCTTTTGCCTTGCACGCGGCCGAACAGGGTTCGATTCTCAGCATCCCATATGGTCCCTCCGAGCGCCACCAGGAGTAATTCCTGAATACAGAACCAGGAGGAACCCTTGTGCCTCGCCGGGTGTGACCAAAAAAAAAAAAAAAAGACTTGCTTGAAATAGATCTCAGAGGCCGAGACCGGAGAAGGCCAAGCGTCCACATTTCAGGAGCTGGCCCTCTCCAGGGAAGCAGGGGAGCGTAAAGGAAGCAGAGGGCGCCCACTGTCGTAGTTCCAGGGGCAGCTCAGGTGTGGCCCCGGGAACGGGGGTGTGTGTGTGTGGAAGGATGGGTGTCGCTAATCGTCCCTGACCTCCGTGGCCTTTGCCTTGCAGTGCCTTCTACTCCCGTGCACACTGCCAACGGCATGAGAAGCTACCTGAAGAAAGCCTCCTGCCTGCAGGACGGCGCCCCCTGTCCCCCCGAGGGCCACCGCTGGCCGTGCAGCACGCCGAGGCATGTCTCCGAGAACTCGTGTGGACTCCCCGGGGCCCTGCGGAAGGGCAGCCTGAGTTCTCAGGACTCTCGGACCGAGAGCGCCAGCCTGTCCCAGAGTCACTTCAACGGTTTCCTTGCCGGCCACGCCGGGGACCGCAGCTGGCAGGAATCCAAGCACAGCAGCCCCTCGTCGTCGGTGAGATCCAGAGCCGCGGAGAACAGGAGGGCTTCTCTGGAGGGCAGCCGAAGCCACGTTCCTAAAACGGGCGTCCCCGATGGCACCGATGGCTCCGATCGCGGAGACTCAGACACGGATGAGGCCACGTTTTCCACCAGTCTGGATCTGCAAACACCACAAAAGGCATAGTTTGATTTGAACCTTTGTTTTTTTCCATTTAACAAAGAAAACAGCAGCAAACATCTGACAGAGCTTGATAATCTGTTATAAACTGCCCCCTGTCTCCAGTCAAGGCAGAGGAGTTTATACGTGATGCTACTAACTGCTACTGCATTTGATACTAACCCTTGAAGAAATCAGCAGCTTTGAGTACTAATACGACAATGGCTGTTACTTGGGGGAACGCGCTACCCAGTACCACAAAGGGATAAAAAATGTATTCTGCAAATTGCCTAGTCAATGTATATCCTACTAAGAGAATTTTTTTTTATATGTGAGAAAGTGAGAAAGTAGTTCCTTAAGAATTGTTCATATAGGGGCTGGAGCAATGATAGCACAGCGGGAAGGGCGTTTGCCTTGCACGCGGCCGACGCAGGTTCAATTCCCAGCATCTCATATGGTCCCCTGAGCACCACCAGGAGTAATTCCTGAGTGTAGAGCCAGGAGTAACCCCTGTGCATCACTGGGTGTGACCCAAAAAGGAAAAAGAAAGAAAGAACTGCTCATATAAGTGGCATAAATTTTCCTGGATGTTACTATAATAAGAATAGTTACATCAGGACTGGGGAAATGGCACAAGGGGCTGGAACACATGTATGTATGAGCTTTGTATGTGGAAGCAAAACACTATATCCTTGGCCCTTGTATGGTTTCCTGAGCACCACTGAGATTGGCCCTGAGCACTCTCAGATGTGGCCAGTGAATAACACAAGAACAAAGGAAAATTGTCGACTTCCTAGAAGTATACGTTCAGACTCACATTCACAAGCCAACTCAGAAAAGAACGTTAGTCCAGTGCAAAGTCACTGAAAACCCAGCGTTCCTCATAGGAGGGTCAGCCTGGACACTGTCCCCATCCAGGTTCATATCGGATTTCTAAACATAAGCCAAGTGGACCTGAAACGTTCTCATTAGAGGCCCAAGTTCATACTTGACGTGTTCCGATTTTTAAAGAAATTAGAAAGGCTTTCTGAATTTGCATTAACAGTATGTAAAGCATTAGTCAGGGATTTTATATCAGCCAGTCCTGAGCTGGCGGCTTAGCAATTCGTTGCCATATCAGGATATTTGGCCCCAAGCAGGTTCTTCAATCTCTCGACTTCAATTTCCGCAGCCGTAAAATATCAAGGCATTGGGCTCTGTGATCTCTGAAATCTCTCCCAACTCTCATGTTCTTTGAACCACTCTGTCCCTAATCATCTTTTTTCTGACTTTTTCAAAAAGACACATATCGATCTTTTGACTCTAATCCTTTTTGTTTGTTTTTCTTTGTTAAGGAATCTTCCTCCTCAATGAATACATCCAACAAAATGAATTTTAAAACTTTTCCTTCATCACCTCCTAAGCCTGGAGATACCTTTGAGGTTGAGCTGGCTAAAAATGATAACAGCTTGGGAATAAGTGTCACGGTACTGTTTGACAAGGTTTTCGAATATTTTCTCTTCTTTGATTTCCGCAGCTGTTGTATACCAACTTATTAGCTGAATTATTTTGCCTCCAAGTGGAAACTTGTCAAATACTTCCAAAATGAAAATTTGAATCAGATCTTAATTTTTTTATAAGTTTGAGCCTCCCCATTGCTTTTTCCTGTCGTTTAAAAATATATATGTAAAGCCCCCGTTCATTTCATACTCACTTATTCTGAATACAGAATCTGCAAAATACGAAATTAATATGTATGCTTTGTCTACATTTGATAGCCTCTAGAAAAGCATAAAATAATATATTTTAACCAGCATTTTAAGTAAAGCCTAATCTATTTATTTTTTCCCCTACTCTCCAAAATATATTATACCTTGGGATTATAATTAGGGTCTTTAAATTAGAGGTTCTCAAGGACTTTTAAGGTGGTTAAATCTGAACATAAACTCCTTGATGAAATTATATTAGAATTCTCTTTATTGAATATACAGTGATCTATACCATTTTTCAAAGCTGTTTTGAAACATGGTAGAAATGGCTCAATTGACATATGTAAGTCAGAAAGAAAATCTAATTTTCAGAGCATGTTCAAAACTTTGTAAAATTATTTTCTTCTTGCCCTTGACTTCTTTAGGAAGTTATTATATTCCTGTTGTGAAGGGAATTTAGAACTGTATGCCATAAGACATAAACCCATTAGGCCTTTTCGGCAATAAAAACAAAATTCTCAAATAACTTTTTTTAAAAGAGAAAAAAAAATGACCTTGATTCATGAGATTTGCTTTCAGGATAGTACATACTGTTTCATATGTTGTTGTTTTTTTCTCATACTCACACTCACTTATTTTGCAGTTACGTGTTGCTTTCTGCTTGCTCTTAATACATAGGATAGACTTACCAAGGAAAACCAGTTCTTTCTTAAAGACTCGTGCATGTTGGTTTTTTTCTAAATGTTTTTCAAAAAATGTAGCTGCCTTGACATTTGGAAAACTTAGATATGTTCTCGGGTATTGAACTAACTGTGTCTGCAGTCTCATGTATTGAACTAACTGTGTCTACTGTTGCTTTAGCTGATGAATGCTTTCTAGCTCTTAGATTTGAAAGATGGAGTGCAAACTTTCCCATAATATAAATCTTATTTGTCTTTTTCTTCTTAGGGCGGTGTGAATACCAGTGTCAGACATGGTGGCATTTATGTGAAAGCTCTTATCCCCAAGGGAGCAGCAGAATGTGATGGGAGAATTCACAAAGGTATAGCACTTTTCTGTGTGCAGAATTATCTATTGGGGTACCCTACAACAGATAGACAAGAAACTAGAAAGTCAGCATCACTGTCACTGTCCTCCCGTTGTTCATCAATTTGCTCAAGCGGGCACCAGTAACGTCTCCATTGTGAGACTTGTTGTTACTGTTTTTGGCATATCGAATATGCCACGGGGAGCTTGCCAGGCCTGCCGTGCAGGCAGGATATTCTCAGAATGTCAGGCTCTCTGAGAAGAACGGAGGAATCAAACCCGATTTGGCCATGTGCAAGGCAAACACCCTACCCACTGTGCTATCACTCCAGCCCAGAAAGTCAACATAGGCCTTCAAATTATTCGTTATACAGAATAAGAACACATATAATTTAGGGGATGTGGGTGGAGCCTGGCGAGGGCTTAATATTGGAGCCACACCAGCAGAACCCAAAGCTCACTCCTGCTTCTATGCTCAGGGATCACTCCTGATAGGGCTTGAGGTACCGTATGTTTCATACTAAGAAGCATTTTGCCAGATAATGGGAAATAGATGAGAACCTTTGTGAAAACACTACACCTACATTTCAAGGGACTTCTCCAGTCTTTACACATTTATACTTCACTGTTACTTTTCCCACGCTCTAAGTTGGTTTTATAGGTCTATACAGTATCTTGTTCTAAGATTAGTCATAGACGAGAGGAAAAAATCAAATGCGTATGAAAGGAACTCTCACAGAACTTCGTCCAGAGTTTGTCTGTGAATCTTTCCTCAAAGAGTCTAATTCAAATTAAGACCAAGCCTTAAAAGGCATGTCGAATTTTTTGTTTTATGCTTTGCATTTTTCAAAATTCCTGTCTAATTTGTAGGTGACCGCGTCCTGGCCGTCAATGGAGTGAGCCTGGAAGGCGCCACGCATAAGCAGGCTGTGGAGACTCTGAGAAATACAGGGCAGGTAGGAAATGACCGCTCCAAACTCCTAGGCTGCCTTGGAAGAATATGATAATACTAAATAGACCTATAACATTTAAAGTAAACCAATCTGTCCGAGAACTACAGATTTGTAAGTCAAGATACCAAAACTAATGTGTATAAGCGTCCTGGTATTTTTTTTCTTGAACATTGAAAAGCAAGTATCATGACAAGTGTTCTTTTACTAAGGAAACTGACTCCTTATTTCACATCTAACCCTGATGCTAACAAAGCACTCTAACAGGAAAAAGAGTGAAATGCATTTTACATTTTTTTTCCTAAGTATCTATTAATTTCTAGTGACTTCCATTTCTAGTCATTCTTCAGCCCGAAGACTAACTCATTTTGTTCTGATACAATTTGATTGAGGAATTATACCAAATTATACATAATAGTTTTTTTAATTTTTATTTATTTATATATTTATTGTTTGCTTTTTGGGTCACACCCGGCAATGCACAGGGGATACTCCTGGCTCACGCACTCAGGAATTACCCCTGGCGGTGCCCGGGGGACCATATGGGATGCTGGGAATCCATCCTAGGTCGGCTGCGTGCAAGGCAAAGGCCGTACCCGCTGTGCTATCGCTCCAGCCCCTATAATAGTTTTTAAGTTATAGTGCAATTATGATTTTATTTTGGTCCCCAAATCTTTTACTAAATGTACTTTTTTATAATTGTCTTACTTGGGTAGAAAATAATAAAAACTTCTTTCAGAAATTTTCACACCCTTGTTTATATCTCTATTTTTCTTCTTCTTTGTAATTTTGTAGATCAGGTAGTTACTTTAAATGATTTTTTGGTACTACCATCACTTACGCGAAGTCCCCCAAATGTATCTGTTTTTCTAAATAATTAATCCGTGACTATTCCTTTTGTGCAGGTGGTTCATCTGTTGTTAGAAAAGGGGCAGTTTTTATCACCCAAAGACCATGTCCCAGCCAGCGCACAGCCAGATCAGGACCCCCAAGGCCATACCCTAGAAAAAATGAAGAAAATGACTCCTCTTAAGGACTACAGTTTTGTCACTGAAGGTCAGACTTGGAAGACTGTCATCTTAGATGAGAGTTCTTCTTGGCGTATTTAAAATCTGAGTTGTACTTGCTGGGGCAAATTCAGGCCCGAGTTTCTTTAACTCTCCTGGTCAATCTGATGCATCATGTCGTGAGTTTTAAAAATAGACATAGATTTCAATTTATAGGATCTGAAAGATGATAAATAGTCTGAATATTAAATCATGCGTTAAACAAATTGTAATCACTTCTTAGTGTCTAAAACAGCTATAAAATTCAAAATGAAATTTCTTAGGGAAGAAAGAAGTGTAAATAGTATTGATTTGGCTTCCACCCCATAGGAAAACTTAGCTCATACATTATCGATTTTTCTTTCATTTTATGGACATCAGTCTATGCCTGGACAGAGTCTTTCTCCCAAATCTTTAAAACCTTCAACGATGCCATTATTGTAAAATGAGAAAATTAAGGACAGTAGTATCGACCTTATCACAAGTCTAAATGTGTTTACAGTGTACACTTAGATTCCTTCTACCTTTCATGGGTAGGGATGGCCTTTATTTTAAAAAATGGTTGAGAAATAATGGATTCATTGTTTTGTCTTTTCTTTTAAACCCTTATTTGATCACCCAAATATGAGCAACTCAAAATTAAAGCCAAAAAATAAAAAATAAAAACATAGCCCAGCCTGTGTTTTTTATCGTAAAAATAAAGTGACCATGCCCACTTTGCCTCGCTATCCTGTATTCTTTATAACTTTATTGAAATTTTTTATTCTTTTCCTATTGTTGCTATTTCCGTTTCTTTTGCGGCTAAGAATGTTTTCGTAATGCCATTGTAACTTGCTGGAGTGAATGATAATTAAATAATACTGCTCTCAAAACATGGGCATGACACCTGGCTTTTCATACCCTACTCTAACATTTGTTTTGCTCTTATCATTCCGCTCTCCACGTATTCCTAATTTCTCCCATTCCTCTTTCTCCTTCCCTGAGTTTTCCCCCATTTCTTTTATGCCTACAGTTTTTTTTAAAACAGATGAAAGCATAACTTCATTGTCAGAATCCTAAACATGTTTTCAGCTAACTTGATGTATGAATTGCACATTGAGTCTGAAACAACAATGTAGTAACAATGCATGAAGAGCAGTAAATAATGTAAGGAAATAAATAATGTAAGAAAACTTTTTCAGTATGCCTTAATAGTATTGAGGTTTGTATGTGCAAGTGTATACCTGTTTAGAAAATTTAACTCTTTTTCTTTCCATTCTTTTTTTCCTCCAGAGAATACATTTGAGGTAAAGTTATATAAAAATAGCTCAGGACTTGGATTCAGTTTTTCTCGAGAAGATAATCTTACAACTGAGCAAATGAATACCAGCATAGTACGGGTTAAAAAGCTCTTCGCTGGACAGCCAGCAGCAGAGAGCAGAAGAATTGATGTAGGAGATGTTATCTTGAAAGTGAATGGCGCCTCTCTGAAAGGACTCTCCCAGCAGGTCAGCTCCAGCACGTAGAGATGTAGAGACCCATCTAAATAAGATGAATTGGCTTTGTGACTTCAGAATCTCTGTTTAACTGTCTCTTCATTTGTAATTCATGGTACTTCCAGGAAGTGATATCTGCTCTCAGAGGAACATCTCCGGAAGTATCTCTGCTTCTCTGTCGACCTCCACCTGGTGTGCTTCCGGAAATTGACACTTTGTTGGTAAGACCTTTGAAAAGTCTTTTTTTTTTTTTTTCAGATAGATAGATTTATATATTGGTTTTTGGTTTGGGACAAATGCACGCTGGTTCCCGGGATGGTTTACTCATATGTAGGTGTATATTAATATAATTGAAGAAAGACACCCATAATAGGTGCTGGACATGGAACCCAGGTCAGCCACAAGCCAGGCAAGCTCCCTGCCCACTGTATTACCTCTCCAGCCCAATTTTTTTTTAATAATAGAACAAAGCTAGAAACAACTCTAGCCAGTAAAAGAATAGTGAACTAAATGAGAGAGATTATGACCAGTTGTAGGACTATCATGAAGTTTTATGCAATTGTTTTCAACTCCTGTTTAAGGATCTTAGAAAATAATAATGGTTTAAATATAAATTTTGACAGTAGGCTATAAGAACTGTAATTCTAATCAGATTTGAAAGATAGCTTGTAATATTAGCAGCTGATATCTTTTTGCACGTTACACATTTCCTTGGTTTCAACCAGCCACAGAAGTAAGTGATTCAACTCTCAGATATAAGCAGGATCAACTATCAGTTATATATGAATTTTTAAGGATTTGTACTTTTTTTTTTAATTGAATCACCGTGAGTTGCAAAGTTACAAAGTTGTTCATGATTGGGTTTCAGTCATACAATATTCCAACACCCTTCCCTTCAGAGTTGATATTCTTAAACCCCATGTTTTTTTTCTCAATAATTAACAATACTTTAATTATGAGAAAATAGACTGAATTTCGGGGCTGGAGCAATAGCACAGCGGGTAGGGCGTTTGCCTTGCACGCAGCCGACCTAGGTTCGATTCCCAGCATCCCATATGGTCCCCTGACCACCGCCAGGGATAATTCCTGAGTGCAGAGCCAGGAGAAACCCCTGTGCATCGCCGGGTGTGACCCAAAAAGCAAAATTTAAAAAAAGACTGAATTTGGGGAAGGAGGTTACCCCCGATACCCCTGGCTCTGAACCCAGGAATCACTCCTGGTGATGCCCGAGAGCCATATGGGATGCCAGGGATCTAACCCAGGTTGGCCGCATGCGAGGCTAGTGCCTTACTCCCTGTACTATCTCTCTGGTCCTGAATTGGATTTTTTGCTTCATTTAAACACCCTGATTTACAGACCTGTTCATAACACAGTTGTTTCAGGCGTTTGGTGTTCCATCACCAAACCGTTCATCACCAGTGTGACCGTCCATCCCTCTGTCGTTGTCTTTATTTTCCCAGCCACCCCCAAGTTTCACCCTTAGCGGGCACAAAGTAATTTATTAATAATTTATAAGAAAATAAAATAAAAGTAAGTAAAGTAAAGGCCCTCCCGTTGATCATCAATTTGCTCGAGCGGGCCCAGTAACATCTCCATTGGAGACTTTGTTGTTACTGTGTCTGGCATATCTAATACTCTCGGTAGCTTGCCGGGCTCTCCGAGAGGGGCGGAGGATTCGAACTCGGGTAGGCCATGTTGGCTGCGTGCAAGGCAAACGCCCTACCCGCTGTGCTATCGCTCCAAGTAATAATTCAATTTAGTACTCATTGCAACTCCATGGCTAGTGGGATTATCAAAAAAAAAAAATACTTCCATATTAAAGGGATATATCCGATAATCTTGTATTGCAAGCCATAAGGCCCAAAAGGAAAGAGAGAGAGGAGACAAACAGACAGACAGACAGACAGATGGACAGAAGAAAAGTGCCTGCCATCTTGGCAGGCGGTGGGATGTGGGTGAGGTGTGGGGGGGAAACTGGGACCATTGGTGGTAGAAAAAGTACACTGGTGAAGGAACAGGTGTTGGAACATTATATGACTGAAATTCAGTCAGAACAACTTTGTAAATGTATTTATCACTGATTCGATTACAAAATAAATAATAGGAAAAAATACTTTCATAAAAGAAAATTTCTGAAAATTGCTATATCTCACCACGGGTTCATTAAGTTTTTGTCTTAAGTTCATTAAGTTTTACAAAGCTGTTGAGCCTTCTGTGTTATTCTGTGTTACTGTTTTTCTTGGCTGAGCTTAGTGGGCTTCTGTGTTACTTTCCTGTCTATCCTGGTGCACTCCTGCTGGGTGTCAGATTGTGGAATTTGAAGGTTGTCCACTGTGCACTCCAGGATCTGGAGAATGGTGTCCGTTATGGGGTGTGGGCTTGACTGCGGGGCTTCCAGAATTACAGAGGGTGGGGGGAAGGAGACTGTCCCCCTCCACCCCAAGAAGACCCCAGAGTTTTCAGCCTGAAAACCAGCGTACCTGGAATTTTTGCCAGCTTGGTAACTGCGCAGAGATCGGTCATGAGGCAGTGGAGTTGGGCGATTGGCGTGGCTGGGGCTGTGGGGAGTGGGTGAGGGTGCCCTTCGACTGGGCGGGGACTTGGCCCACTCCCTTCCTGAACGCGCCCCAGAGTTTACAGCTGGGAAACCAGTGCACCCAAGAATTTCAGTAGTTTGATTTGCATCTCTTCTGAGATTTAGCTGTGAATCTGTAAATCTGGGCTCGTGGATATTCGAATTTGCATGGCATTTGGTATGGGATGTCCTGAACTGAGTTTTTGAATACAAAGTATTATAAAATGGGCACTGGTGGAGGGATGGGTTCTTGATCATTGTATGACTGAAACGAACGGAATCACAAAAGTATGTAAGTCTGTAATTTATGCATGTACGTATCTCACGGTGATTCATTAAAAATATCACTGTCACTGTCACTGTCCTCCCGTTGTTCATCGATTTGCTCAAGCGGGCCCAGTAACGTCTCCATCATGAGACTTGTTACTGTGTTTGGCATATCAAATATGCCACGGGTAGCTTGCCAGGCTTTGCCATGCGGGCAAGATATTCTCGATAGCTTGCCGGGCTCTCCGAGAGGGACGGAGGAATCGAAACTGGGTCGGCCGGGTCGGCCAGGTCGGCCATGTGCAAGGCAAACGCCCTACCTGCTATGCTATCACTCTAGCCCACATTAAAAAATTAAAAAATTAAATTAAACATTCCCCCCACAAAAGAAAGCATTATTTGAAAAAATAGATTTGGGTAGCTAGCATGTTGTATAACAATTTTTTATCATAAGACTATATCCCTGAAACTTATGCCATGTGTAAATATGACTTTTCTTTTAATGCTGTTGTTCCATATCTTTCTTTTCGAATTCAGAATCCTAAATTTAATATTAGTTGTCACCCTCTGATCTGTGTAAATGTGTCTGTTGCAGACCCCGCTCCACTCTCCAGCACAAGTCCTTCTAAACAACAGTAAAGAGCCTTCTCGGCCGGCCTGTGTGGAACAAGGCGCTCCTAGCTCAGACGAAAACGAATTGTCTGAGAAAAGCCAGAAACGGTGTGTGTCCCCATCCAGAAGAGACAGTTACAGCGACAGCAGCGCAAGTGGCGAAGAAGACGTCGTGAAATCCCCAGCGGAGAAGCCAGATAGGAGCTGGAGCGTGGCTTCGAGTAAGACCTCGGGCAGTGGCCGCTCCCAGCATGTGCCGTGCAAGAACCAAGAAGAGAACATTTGCACCATGTTTTACTGTCCTCAGAAAACACCCAGCCACACCGAATTCGAGGACAGGTACGCCAACATAATGTGTCACACTCGAGCAGTGGGTGTCGTTGGTAACTGACGCCAGGGCTGACACTCGCCCAGCGTGAAAAGCGCCTGTCTGGGCCCACGGAGAGGACTCTGTCGGGAGTCGGGTCCCCCAGTCTTCCCTCGCCATCCGTTCCCTCTGACCGTTCTGGCTGAGGCTCGTTTGTGGTGACACTGGGCCTTCTGGTCACGTTGACTTCGGTTTTTTGAATTAACAACCAGAAATGCAAAATTCGATTTCTCTAACAGGCCTTACCAGTTTAGGCTGTTAAAGGTCTTCAGAATAGAACCTGGACAGAGAACAAGCATTGAGAAAGAACAGTATTTGTTTTAAGCCTACAATAAACTTAGGATCCGGCAAAAATAAGAATTCAGAATCAGACATTTTGAAGAAGTAGCTAGAATCTGTGTCCCAAAGCACATACAAGCCTCGCTGGTTGGGTCCTTTCTCTTTGTGGCACAGACGTTCTTTTCCCGCCTGATAATGTCTCTGAAAACAGCTCTGTTTTTGTTTTTTTTTTTTTGTCCTGCTAGTGCCCGTCCTTCCTCTCTGCTGCGGGACGTGAGTCCTGGGCAGAGCTGTCAGCCCCACACAGAGTCGGACGTCTCTCACCCCGCGGCCCAATATCACATGCCTAATGCCTCTGAACCCACGAGGCAAGGAAGCTTGACGTCTTCAAAGACTGACTTGGGAAATCCCCTTGAAGATTTTGAGCTGGTGAGTTGCTTCCTCTGTACTAAGACAAACTCGGTATTTTTCTTTCCTGCGATGTAGATAGGCGGCTTCCCTTTAGTTGAGGTCAGCTCTGTCTGGAGGTACCTTTCGTCGGACCTGCATCTCTTATGCATCTTTCTCTGCTGTCCATAGTAAAGGCAAAGGGTGGGACCAAAGAAGACCTTGTACAAATTCCTCGTCTGCTGTTGAAGTGCAGTTTGACAGATGCGTGTGGACAAATGACTAAATTATCTTGTGCTTGAGTGGCTTCCTCTATAATGGGCCGGGGGGCCGGGGGGTGTCTAGTGATCTTACAGGTTTGTGATGAGAATCAAACCAAATGACATGTAGAGCCCTTCAGATCTGCCAGGGTAGACAGTGGATATTATTCTCATTTCCCCTCATCAGAGTTGCCCCTTGGATTTCCCTCCAGTTTTTGCTTCATTTTCCCTGTGGTCCAGGACTCAAACTCGGGGCCTCGGGCACGGACAAGACAGGTGCTATAGCGCTGAGCTGTGTCCAGTCCCCTTTCAGCAATCTGAATTTAATTTTTCTCCTCCGTGTGTATGTGTATGTGTCCATCACATGTATATTTTGAGTATCCTTCTCAGCAGTGGAATAAAATTAATCTTTCAGTTATTTCCTTAGATATCTCTCCTCGGGCCGGGGATGTGGCTCAGAGGTTGAGCACTTGCCTTGCGCATGTGAGGCCCTGGGTTGATTCCTGGCTTCTGGGGGTCCCCCGAGTACTGACGGGAGTAACCTGCAGCAGAGCCAGCGCTGGCACAGAAACAAAGGAAGCAAGCATAGAAACCCATCATGGCCCCGTAATCTGCAAGCAAGCATTCTGTCTCCATCGAAGTCTTTTTAAAAAATGATATGCAGCTGTGGCTTGGAAGCCGGCCTCAAATGCTGGGGGAAAAGGCAGTTCAGATAGAGGAGGGAACACCAGGTAAAGGGTATTTGGAGGACCAGCTCAGGTTGGGAGATGCAAGCTGAATGTAGACTATGGATCAAACGCAATAGCCACTCGATGCCTCTAGTGCAAACTACAGCACCCAAAAGGAAAGAGAGAACAAAAGGGAATGCCCCGCCTCAGAGGCAGAGTGGGGTGGGGGTGGCGGGAGGGATGCTGGGACCATTGGTGGTGGAGGTTGGGCACTGGTGGAAGGATGGGTACGCGATCATTGTATGACTGAAACGCAAGCACAAAAGCTTGTAAGTCTGTAACTGTACCGCACGGTGGTTCACTAGTAAAAAATTTAAAAAATAATAGTAGCACTGCACTGTCCTCCCCTTGTTCATCGAGTTGCTCAAGCAGGTCCAGTAACGTCTCCATTGTGAGACTTGTTGTGACTGTGTTTGGAATATCGAATACGTCACGGGGAGCTTGCCAGGCTCTGCCGTGTGGGCGAGATACTCTCGGTAGCTTGCCGGGCTCTCCGAGATGGGCGGAGGAATCGAACCCAGGTCTGCTGGGTTGGCTGCATGCAAGGCAAATAAATGCCCTGCCCACTGGGCTATTGCTCCAGCCCAAAATAATAATAATAATATTATTATAATAATAAATATGCAATTGCAATGAAAGAAACCGATCTTCAGCATGATAATACTAAAAAAATCAATAAATTAGAATTTATATATTTATAATTCCCCCGACCTGGCAAGCTCCCCGTGACGTATTCGATATGCCAAACACAGTAACAACAAAGTCTCCAATGGAGACGTTACTGGGCCCGCTCGAGCAAATCGATGATCAACGGGAGAGCCTTTACCTTTTACCTTATAATTCCCCCAAACTTATTTTTTTGTTTGTTGTAGTTTAACGACCATGGTTCCACTAGCGCCACCCTTCATGCCATTGGTGTACAAAGTGACCACACTCTTCCACCACTCTTTCCCTCGGCCCCAAAGCCTCTCCTGCTGCTTGATAACCTCAGTTCTCTTAGTCCAAGTCCAGGGACTTGTTTTCACTGGGCACTGTTCATTCTCTTCTTCACTCACGGGTGAGTGAGATCACCCAGTTTTTCTCTTCTTTTTAACTTATTTTACCTAAACATGATGCCCTACCAGGAGGATGGCCCCACAGGCAGTTGGGATAGAGAAGGGACCACTAAGTGAATGATGCTTGGAGGGATCACTCGGGGTGGGAGATACGTGCTAAGAGTAGACTATGGGCCAAACATGTTCACCACTTACTACCTGCATTGCAAACAAACCATAACACCCAAATGTGCCTGCCACAGAGGCAGGTGGGGGGACGGGATGGGGTGGTGACGGGAGGGATACTGGGATCTTTGGTGATGGAAAATGTGCACTGGTGGAAGGACGGGTTCTCGATCATTTTATGACTGAAACATAATCATAAAAGCTTCTAAGTCTATAACTGGACATCATGGTGATTCATTCAATTTTTTAAATTTTTTTGAAGAAACAACAGCAACAACAAATACATGATGCCCTGTAGCTTAGCACTGTGGAACGTTCGGTTGTGGATGGGTCATATAAAGCCTGTCAAATCCTGTGGTCTGGCCCTGGAATGTGACAGGACAGATGTATGCTTCCAGACCCGCTGCCTACCTGCCTGTATTGTATGGTCCATGAGTGACGTTGTGAATATTCAGATGGCCCTTGGTGTGAGAGAGGTTTCCCACCCCAGCCGCTGCATCCAATTTTAGCAAAAGACCAGATGCATCTTTTCTCCTGGCTGAGCAATATTCCATTGTGTATAAATGCCACAGCTTCTTCAGCCATCTGCTATTGGAATCTGGTTGCTGTACTTAATACTACATTAAACATAGGCACGTGTATGTATATATATTTTTTTTCTGGGGGGCACTCCCAGTAGTGCCCAGGGCTTCCTCCTGGCTCTGTGTTCAGGATCACTCCTAGTGGGGCTTGGAGGACCATAGGTGCTTCAGGGGATGGCATTGGGCCAGCTACATGCAAGGCAAATGCCTCACCCACTGTATTATCTCTCTGGTCCCTGAATATATCTTTTTGAGTTAATATTTTTTCAATAAAAGCTTTCATTTGTGTCTCTTGGTATCCATCTTGATTGCATAGATATATAAATAAAAGAATTTATGATGTCGTAAACCAATATCACCTCAGTTTTTAAAAATTAAAGGCCCAATTATGTATCCTTCCCCAGAAAAGCATTCTTTGATTATCAGAGTATCTATCCCAACTGCCTATGGAGGCATCCTCCTGGTAGGGCATCATGTTTAAGTAAAATAAGTTAAAAAGTATAACCACTGGTATAACCTCCTCTCCGCAGCCTCTGGTATAGCCACTGGTGGCTATACCCCTGAATATAAGAACTGAACTAGGAGTAATTCCTATTTCTCCTCTCTTTAGAAACACACATATGTATTTAAACCCAGCTTTTACATTTGGAGCTGTTGCAGGAGGTACATTCTTTCTAGCCTTAAAGAGATCTGGCTTTTTCACTTGGGTGATCTCAGTACCCTGTTAAGATTCCCTCCTTTGTTAATCAAAGCCGTCATCATTTTGTTTGCCCATGGCGCAAAATAGACAAACTAACAGATTCACTGTTTTATTCCCTTAGGAAGTAGAACTCCTCATTACCCTAAATAAATCAGAGAAAGGGAGCCTGGGCTTCACAGTCACCAAAGGCAATCAGAGTATTGGTTGCTACGTTCACGATGTCATTCAAGACCCAGCCAAGAGTGATGGCAGACTCAAACCTGGAGACCGCCTGATAAAGGTAAGACATGTCAGCGGTATATCTGTTCACGTGTGACTAAAGAGCGGGCCGGGTCTGAAGGAGATGCGGTTTATACTTCCCCATCACCCCCAACTAAGGTCTTTATGTAGTTAACGGATGTGGACCTCTTTGAACTCCCCCTTTCAACTCAGGACTTCCTTTGAGCACAGGTAAGGCTTTCAAACTATCTTGACTCCGAGGCATCAAATAGCTTTTTAGATTACTAGCACTAGCACTTAGCACTATCCTCCCGTTGTTCATCGATTTGCTTGAGCGGGCCCAGTAGCATCTTCATCGTGAGACTTGTTGTTACTGTGTTTGGCATATCGAATTCGTCACGAGGAGCTTGCCAGGCTTTGCCGTGCGGGCGAGATACTCTCGGTAGATTGCCGGGCTCTCCGAGAGGGGCGGAGGAATCGAACTCGGGTCAGCCAGGTATCAAAATAAATTTCTTTCTGGAAAAAACCTGAGTGCCCAAGAACAGATGACTGGCTAAAGAAAATTTAGTACATTTACACAATGGAGTACTATGTAGCTGTTAGAAAAGATGAAGTCATGAAATTTACATACAAGTGGTACTACATGGAAAGTATCATGTTAAGCGAAATGAGTCAGAAAGAGAGGGATGGACATAGAAAGATTGCATTCATCTGGGGAACATAAAGTAACAAAATAGGAGACTAACACCCAAGAATAGCCGAGATAAGTACCAGGAGTTTTACTCCATGGCTTGGAGGCCAGCCGCACACACTAGGGGGAAAGGGAGCTCAGATAGAGAAGGGAGCACCAAATAAAGGGTGTTGGGAGGATCCTCCCAGGATGGGAGAAGCATGCTGAAAGTAGACTATAGACCGAATATGATTGCCACTTAATGCCTCTTTTGCAAACCACAGCACCCAAAAGGAGAGTGAGAACTAAAGGGAATGCCCTGCCACAGAGGCAGGGTGTATGGGGGGATGGGGGGGATGGAGAGGGGAGGGATACTGGGATCTGTGGTGGTGGGAAATGGGCACTGGTGGAGGGATGGGTATTCGATCGTTGTATAACTGAAACCCAAGCACAAAATTTTGTAAGTCTGCAACTGTACCTCATGATGTCTCACTAATAAAATTTTTTTAAAAATAAATAAAAATAATTGGGAGAAGGAAAAAAAATGGATAATAAATAAATAAATAAATCACCATGAGATAAAAAATAAATAAACAAATTTCGTATATTAGCAAAATTACTTGATCACCATACTTTTGATCTCCATAGTAAAGGGCATTATTCAATAAATTAGGTATTCCTCTTTGTCTTAAATCTTCTGCTGCCTCATTGCTAGTGTGTAAAAAATCAAAAGACATTGCCACACGTGGTTGGCAACTCCTGTGTTCTAAAAAACGTACTGTGCCTCACCCGATCCTCCTCTCCGCAGGTCAACGACACGGATGTCACCAACATGACTCACACCGATGCAGTGAACCTGCTGCGCGCTGCGCCCAAAAGGGTGCGCCTCGTCCTCGGGCGAGTCCTGGAAGTGCCCCGGCAGCCCGTGCTGCCCACCCTGCTGCCCGACATCACTCTGACGTGTGGCAGCGAGGGGCCGGGTAAGCAGAACCCCCGTCCCAGCCGCTCAGGGCCTCGCGACCGAGTGAGTGAGTCGGTCACTCTGAGTCCCGTCCTTTCTTCTCCCTCAAGGTTTCTCCTTGTCCGGAGGCCACGACAGCCTGCAGAAGGTGGTGTACGTCAGCGATATCGACCCCCGGTGCGCCGCAGCCCTGGAGGGTGACGTCCAGCTGCTGGACATCATCCACTACGTGAACGGCCTGAGCACACAAGGCATGACCTGGCAGGAGGCACAGAGAGCCCTGGACGCCGGCCTCCCCTCCGTGGTGCTGAAAGCCACCAGGTACTCTGCAGACGAGCGCGTCGTTGGGTTCTCTTGAAAGCCCTTGAGAACGTAGGGAAGCCTCCGTGGAGTTGAAAGGTGTCAAGTTAGGCAGGCTTCGTCATAGAAGATTCTAGAGCATTTGACCTGGATCTGGGTTTGGATACTGATCGTGACTATTCATTCATTGTTTGCTACATGTGTTTGTATGGATGTTTTCACATAGAAAAAAAAAAACAGAAAATAGAACTCAAGTTAGTGTTGCTTGCCTTTTGTTTGGGGGGGAGGCAGGGGTTGCTGCCCAAATAGTGCTCAGGAGGTCCAGGGGCACTGCTCGGGAGTCCTGGCCAAGCAAGTTCGTGGTTAAACACTGCTTCAGCCCGAGTGCCTGCCAAAGGTCACCCAAACTCTCCGGTGGAGCTGAGGGTCTCCGGGGGCACATCCAGCCCCAGGGACCTTGTGGTGACAGGAATCAAACCTCCTTCAGGGACACAGTAGGCATGCGCCCCTACTCTGTACTGTTTTTCAACCCGTCAAAATTTTTCTTTAAAAACAAATAAAAAAATAAATAAAAATCAGGCCAGGAGCAGAGGGATAGTATAGTGGGGAGGACGTTTGCCTTGCACGCAGCCAACCCGGGTTCTATTCCAGCATCCCATATGGTTCCCCCAAGCACCGCCAGGAGTAATTCCTGAGTGAAGAGCCAGGAGTAACCCCTGAGCATCGCCGGGTGTGACCCAAAAAGAAAAAGAAAAAAGAAAAAAAAGTCCCTGTCCACTATACTTTATCATAATTTTACATTATAAAAATTACTGGGGCTGGAGTGATAGCACAGCGGGTAGGGTGTTTGCCTTGCATGCAGCCAACATGGCTGACACAGGTTCGATTCCCAGCATCCCATATGGTCCCCCGAGCACCGCCAGGAGTAATTCCTGAGTGAAGAGCCAGGAGTAACCCCTGAGCATCGCTGGGTGTGACCCAAAAAGAAAAAGAAAAAACTACTAATAGCAGCTTTTCTTTGACTTATAATGCAAATAAATTGAAAATGTGTTATCAAATTTCCATAAATTTGATCACAAAAACCAACACAAATTTATTAATTCTAGAGATCTAATTCTAGAGTCCCAGAGAAATAACACAAGGGTTAAGGCTCTTCCCTTGCATGAGACTGAATCTGGGTTTTGATCGTTGGCTCCCGAGCGCTGCCAGGAGTGATCCCTGAGCACAGGGCCAGGACAAAGCCCTGAGCATTGCTTGGTATAGCCCAAACCTCCCTCCCCCCCAAAAAATGTATTATCTCCCTCCCTACTAAAGACTGATAACGACTTTAAGAGGTTCCTCTATTCCTTAGCTCCCCAAAATAAAACTCCTAAAATGTGTGGTTAAAAGATAATTTACAAACTTTAAACATTTACCTTAATAACTTTATTTCCTTTTTATTTTCCCTTAAAATCATAGAGATGGCCATCCAGTGGTGCCCAGTTCGACGAGGACTGCTGGTCCAGCTCCTCACCTGCCCATAGCCAACGGTGAAGGTATGTTCACGATAGAGAACAAGAACTAAGGGAGAAGCAGCTCTTTTGTTCCCTTATCAAAGGAGGTTTGGAAACTTGCCTTCCAAGAACCATCATTTTACTGCCTCTCTAAATATATTACATCTACATAGAAGCTTCTTTAAAATTCAGTGGTGGGGGGCTGGAGCAATAGTACAGCGGGGAGGGTGTTTGCCTTGCACGCGGCCGACCCAGGTTCGATTCCCAGCATCCCATATGGTCCCCCGAGCACCGCCAGGAGTTATTCCTGAGTGCAGAGCCAGGAGTAGCCCCTGTACTTCACCAGGTGTGACCCAAAAAGAAAAAAAAAATTCAGTGTGTGATAGGAAACAGGAGAGCAACAGTGGAGCGGGAGGTTGAGAGCCAGACAAAAACAGCGACTAAGTCTTCTGTGACCTTAGCAAATTACCTGATCCATATCTCAGCCTCTGTTTCCTGTGAGGTTCTGTGAGTACAATATGAATATGATTAGTATGTAGGTCAAACAGTTATGTGGCATAAACACAGCAATACAAGAATGCTTATCATCACAGTTGGTGATTTATTCTAGTAATTACCGAGTTTCTGGCCTGCACTGACATATTCAGGGTGTTGCGCATCTAACAATGTCTTTGATAAGACAAAAAAATGTAAAAATAGAGTAAGAAGCATAAGAATTGAAACTGTATTATTAGTAGCCATAGCAGCGGCTCACTTTTCCTCTGAAGCCAGCCTTCTTCAAGATCCGCAGAACAACTCTGACGCCTAGTGTTGGTCTCCTTCCCTTCTAGGAGAAAACCAAGACACAGAGAAGTTTGAGTAATGTGCTCACGTGCTGGAGTTAGGTAGAGACAGAATTCAAACCTGGGATGTCTGACTCCACGCTCTAACTTACATAACTGGGTTCAATAAATCTAACTTGTGTTCCTAGTATTAATATAACAATGAGAGTAGGCTTAAGCTTAGGCTTAGGCACATGAAGTTGAGCAAGTTTTATCTGAAATCCAATTCAGTGCTTCCTACTTGCCTAGACACGTGGATGACCTGGCAGAAGAATCTCAGTACCAAAGTGGCTCAAGGAAATAACCAGGTTATCTTCATTTAAAAAAAAAATCCTATTTTTTAATACTTTTTATTGAATCTCTGTTAGATACTCGGTTACAAAGTTGTTCGTGATTTGGTTTCAATCATTCCGTGTTCCAACACCCATCCCTTTACCAGTGTAAATCTCCCACCACCAGTGTTCCCAGTTTCCCTCCCGCCAGTCCACTCCAACCTGCCTCCACTTTTTTTTCTACTTTTCTCTCTCTCTCTCTCTCTCTCTCTCTCACTCTCGCTCTCGCTCTCGCTCTCCCTCTCTCTCTTTCTCTCCCCCCTTCCTTTTAGGCATTATGGTTTGCAGTACAGGTACGAAAAGGTTATCCTATTTGTGCTTTACCTACTGTCAGCATGCAGTTTTTATCCACAGTGATCATTTCCAACTTTGTCATTGTGGTCCCTTCTCTATCCTAACTGTCCTCTCCGCCGACCACTTGAGGCCACTGTGGACCAGCCCTCCCGGACCTTGTTTCTACCGCCCTTGGATATTAATCTCATACTATGTTGTTGTTTTTAATATCCCAAAAATGAGTGCAGTCATTCTATGCCTGTCTCTCTCTTTCTGACTCATTTCACTCAGCATGATACTCTCCATGTCCATCCATTTATAAGTGAATTTCATGACTTTATTTTACCTGGTGACTGCATTATATTCCATTGTGGAGATGTACCATAGTTTCTTTGTCCAGTCGTCTGTTCTCTGGCATGCGTGTTGTTTCCAGATTCTGGCTACGGTGAATAGTGCTGTCATGAACATAGAAGTGCAGATGGTTTTTCTGATGTGTATTTTTGGACCCCCGGGGTATATTCCCTGAAGTGGCATTGCTGGGTCAATTTCTAGTTGACTAGTTCAATTTCTAGTTTTTTGAGGAATGCCCATATCGTTTTCCAAAAAGGCTGGAGAAATCGGCATTCCCACCAATGATGAAGGAGAGTCTGTTACTCCTCACATCCACGCCAGCACTGGTCGTTCTTGTTCCAAAGCAATCTGTCACTTCTTTATCTGTTGTTGTCTTGAACACTGAAGGGAATCAGGACCCTCTTGCTGCTTGCTGAGAATCCCATTCACTTCGCGTCAGACAACCATGAGAACAGTCAGGAAAGCATTTTCCTAGCAACCTCCAGAAGAGGCAAACAAGAGTAGCTACATCACCTGATGCCCTCTCTCTCTGTGGGTGTCTCTCTTTTTGGCGACCAAAGAGCTAATTTCTTCATGCATTCTTTATGTATGCAAATAACATGGAACCATTGTGAAGAACCCTGTGATATGACTGGAAGTATGGCCAGGGAGCGAGCACGTGGCTGGACTGAATTCAGTCCTGGCACCGCAGATGGTCTATGAGCCCTCCCAGGAGTGATCCCTGAGCACAGAGCCAGGAGTCAGCCCTGAGCACTGCTGGGTGTGGACCCAAAAAGAAAAGGAATGGGGCTGTAAAGTGAGAATAGCCATTTTGGACAATAGTTGGATAGTTTCTTTAAAATGTAAGCACATGCCTATAAGAGTTTCCATACCTCTTAGTCTTACTCACGATAAAAAAAAAAAAAAGAAAAGAAAAGAAAAAAGAAACCATGTATGTGGAACTGTGTGCAGGAATGGTTTTGTCCAGTTCCTTTGTGGTAGAAAAAAAAACAGAAGCAATGATTTTCAAAAACGACTGAACTAATTATATCTAAACAACAGAATCCTACTCAGTAATGAAAATGGCCTGTTGATAGATGCAGCAGCATAATGGATTCAGAATGAATGTGCTGATTGAAAAAAGCCAGGCAAAAGGGATTTGTACTAAATTATTTCATAATAGAATATGGTACAGAATAATCTGTAGTGACAGGTCGAGATAAAATTCTGAGGGAGGGGGCTGGAGCGACAGGTCAGCAGGGAGGGCGTTTGCCTTGCACTTGGCCAACCAGGGTCCGATCTCCGGCATCCCGTATGGTCCCCTGAGCACCACCAGGAGTAATTCCTAAGTGCAAAGCCAGGAGTAACTCATGTGCATCACCTGGTGTGACCAAAAAAAGAAGCAAAAAAAAGAAAAGAAAAGAAAAAGAAAATCTGAGATGGGGAAGAGATTAGGGAAATAGCAGTAAGGGAAATTAAAAACACTGCACTTGAGGGGCTGGAGCAATAGCACAGCGGGTAGGGCGTTTGGTTTGCCTAGCACGTGGCCGACCCGGGTTCGATTCCCAGCATCCTATATGGTCTCCCGAGCACCGCCAGGAGTAATTCCTGAGTGCATGAACCAGGAGTAACCCGTGTGCAATCAATGCTGGGTGTGACCCAAAAAGAAAAGGAAAAAAAAAAAAACACTGCACTTGAGTTTAGAGTGATAATAGAGGGAAGACACTTTCCTTACCTGTGGACTCTCTGATAGAGTCCCGAGCACAGCACCAGGAGTAGCCCCACAGCACTGCTGGGCATGATCCAAAAAACAAAATTGATTAAGCAAAAATGTGTCTAGGAAGATAGCTATGCAGGCTGAATCACATGCTTTGCTCGCAGGAGGGTTGGGCTTGCTCCCTGGTGCCACAGAATCTCTCTGGCACTGCTTGGAATTTTTTCTAACCCCAGTTATTGATCTGGGAATGACCCCCAAGCACCACCAGGGCTGCCCCAAGACAAAAGCAAACACTAAACTGTTGTGTTTTGCACTATTACAGCATAGTGTTTTTGCGCTCGTGGATTATTATTCCTCTGCCCCTCTCGGAGAGCCCGGCAAGCTACCGAGAGTATTCGATATGCCAGACACAGTAACAACAAAGTCTCCAATGGAGACGTTACTGGGCCCGCTCGAGCAAATCGACGATCAACGGGAGGGCCTTTACCTTTACCTTTACACCTTTATTTTATTATTCTTCCTAAGTCACATCAGAAGTGCATCGCCATAATTAGAGAAATTTCTTCCTAAAATGTCATCTCATCATCTTTCTAGGTGGAATTTTAAGCCATTCTCATATAGAAGTCTTTATTTCCTTTTTCTTTTTTGTTTCTTATGTACTGTACCAGACCCTACCAGATTTTTCAAAATCTCTTGCAAATATAATTTAATGTATCAGAATGTTTTCAATGTAAGTTTAGCTATAAGAGAAGCAATGGTATTTTGGGAATAGTTACTTAATTTTTTTTTGTGCTGAGTTGCAGTTAACATTTCGTTTGCAGATATATAAAAAGTTTTCTCTAGTTGCACCCATAACTTATTTTTATGTGTTAAATGGATCACCTTTATGAAATGAGACTGGGGACTAAAAGCATCTATCTTTCCTACAGTAGTAGTCTGGCTAAAATTCAGCCCCGGTGATGTCTGTGTCCCATTCAGCTGCAAAGTTCATATTCAGCATCTCACATCAGGACCATTCACTCTGAACTGAGCTCTTTATTTTTTTTTAAGGAGGTCAGGCATATTTTGCTTCCTCCTCTCTGAAGAAGTAGCTTATTTATTTAAGCAGGCACAAAATAATGTGTTTTGTATTTCTTGTTACAACTAAATGGCTAATGCAATTATCCAAACGTGCTTCAGTAAAAGAAAATTTGTGAGACTTGTCTTATCTCATCATGGTGGAAGCGGTAAGCTGCCCACCCCCACTCCAAGAAGACCCCAGAGTTCTCTGCCTGAAAACTGGGGGACCTGGAACTTCCACTGGGCCATTGGCATGGCAGAAGCCTTGGGGTGCAGGCGCAACTGCCGGGCTTCTGCAGGGTGGGGTCCGGGCCAACCCCCCTGAAAGGGAGCATTTATGCAAGCTAGTTTGTCTTAAGAAATTGACTATATGCTCCTCTCTAGTACTTGACTCTGTCTAGTTGGTTTTTAATCAGTGCCGCAGCCTCGTATTACTAATAAAAATAATAAAACCTGCCCCCAAAACAAGGGTTTCCTCTCTGAGGGCTCACCCCACCATCTCTGTTGTTCTTTCAGCTCATCATGCTGCAAAGTCGAATAGCAAGCCCGCCGTCACGCTGAGTCATTCGTTCTCCAAGGTCAGTGAACGCTGCCGTCCCCCAAGACATGCTACCTTAGACAAATAATCCTCTTCTTAAGGTTTTAACCCAAACGAGTTTCTTGCCTTTTTTAAAAAAAAAAAAAAAAAGACATTTCTGGGGCTGGAGCGATAGCACAGCGGATAGGGTGTTTGCCTTGCACGTGGCTGATCCGGGTTCAATTCCCAGCATCCCATATGGTTCCCCAAGCACCGCCAGGAGTAATTCCTGGGTGCATGAGCCAGGAGTAACTCCTGAGCATCGCCAGGTGTGACCCAAGAAGAAAAAAAAAAGACATTTCTTTGAATATTTAAGGACTTGCCTTTTATTACATATGTATGTTGCTAGTAGGAATACAGTTTCGTGAATGAATAGAACGTAAAGTTGGCACACGGGTCCCTGCCTCATTTGGCCACACTCGGCTATTAAATAATTGCTCAACTAGATAGTTTTAGGTAAAGGTAAAGGTAAAGGTAAAGGCCCTCCCGTTGATCGTCGATTTGCTCGAGCGGGCCCAGTAACGTCTCCATTGGAGACTTTGTTGTTACTGTGTCTGGCATATCGAATACTCTCGGTAGCTTGCCGGGCTCTCCGAGAGGGGCGGAGGAATCGAACTCGGGTCGGCCATGTTGGCCGCTTGTAAGGCGAACGCCCTACCCGCTGTGCTATCGCTCCAGCCCGAGATAGTTTTAGTGCTGGGATATTTTTTAATTAATGTATACAAAGTGTCTTAGATACCTAGAGGGAAGAATGCAGTTCAAGGTGGAATTGCTGCTTTGGCGCTAACCTGGCCAGCAGCAGAGACTTGGCAGATGTCAAGTCTTCTCTCCTGTCACAGTAGTGACAGAAGAAACGGGCCCAGAAGGAGAGTAACCCTTGGAAGCTGACGGCACTGCAGGAAAATCACTCCACAGAGGGGGCAGTCCACAGGGCTGTGGTTGGGCATGACTGGTACTTTGGTGCTGGGGATGATATGGTAATGTGTATTTTAAAGAGGAGAAATTGTGCTCTTAATGTATGTGCTCTTGGGGCTGGACCAATGGTATAGTGTGGAGGGTGTCTGCCTTTTCTGTGGCGGGGCCAGGTTTGATCCTCAGGAATGACCCCTGAGCACAGAACCAGGAGTAAGTCCTGAATAAAGCTGTGTGGCCCAAAAACCAAACAAGATTTAAAAAAAAAAACTAAATTACCTCAGTTAATTGTTACTGTCACTGTCCTCCCGTTGTTCATCGATTTTCTCAAGCAGGCCCAGTAATATCTCCATCAGAGACTTTGTTGTTAACTGTGTTTGGCATATCGAATACGTCACGGGGAGCTTGCCAGGCTCTGCCGTGCAGGCGAGATACTCTCGGTAGCTTACTGGGCTGGAATCATAGCACAGCGGGTAGGGCGTTTGCCTTGCATGCAACCTCAGTTCATTACCTCACTTTTTTTTTATTGAATCACTATGAGATAGACCACTACAAAGCTGTTTATGATTGGGTTTCACTCATAATACAATGTTCCAACACCCATCCCTCCACCAGTGTAATTTCCCACCACCAGTGTCCCCAGTTTCCACCAAGCCCCCACACTCCCCTGCCTCTATGGAAGACACCTTTCTTCTTTCTTTCTCTCTCTCCTTTTGTGCATTACGGTTTGCAATGCAGGTGCCCAGAGGTCATCATGTTTGTTCAGAGTGTTCTTTGTTTTCATTGGGAAGGAACAGCTGGAGTAGCTTTCTCACTGGATAGCAGCCTTTGGGCGTGGGCATGACTGCCATGGATTCTGGAGGAGCACAGGGGTGTGGGGGGAGGTCGGCCATCCCAATCCTGAGAAAGCCTGGAGATTTCAGTCACAAAACCATAGGCCTGAAGTTTCATCCAATTGATATCTCAGTGAGGTCTCTCTCGAGACAATGCAGTCCTGCCAGGGACATGGCAGAGACTTTGGATTGTGGGAGCAGGCGGGTGCCAGGGGTTCTGCACTGGGCACACCCGCCCCTCTTCATCGTGCCCCAAATTATTGAGTCATTCGGAGTCTGAGATTTACTGCAGCTTTTTTTTTTAATCTCTTTCGAGATTTATTTGTGGTCTCTGAAACAAGGCCCAGTAGAAGAGCTTACATGGTGGCACCAGAGTTGGTTCGTGGGGGTGACTGCGGGGGCTTCCAGAAGTCTAAGGAGGTGGGGGGAGGTAGCCCATCTCGACACTGAGAGAGCCTGAAGATTTCAGTCACAAAACCCGCCCATCTGAATTTTCAGCAGGTTAATCTCTCGGCGGGGTCTGTCTCGAGACGGTGGAGTCTGGCTGGGGACATAGCAGCAATTTTGGATTGTCACCTCACTCTTTAAAACAAAAAGGGCATTGCTTTTGCAAGCTACAGAAAATGGTCTACCTCATAATAGAATCAGAGAACTTAAGTCATTTTGATTCATGCAGGGGCCAAAGATAACAGGGCTAGACCCAAACAACTGGTCCACAGGGACACAGCCCAGGAGGGGTGGGGCTGTGGGTTGTGCTCACTGCCTAGCTGATCTCGGCTGCCAAGATTGTCCCTAAGCAGTCCCCAGCCCTTTTTTTTTTTGACAACTACAGAGGTTATTTCTCCTGAGAAACTCCTCCCCGGAGAACTAGCAATGGGATGCTCTGAGAGAAAATTTTATGTGATTAAGAGAAAGGAGAAAACTCAATTTAATGTACCTTTTAGTCTCAAACAAGGATACTTTGTAGACAGGAAAAGACACTGGACTCTTCATGGTTGATGCCTTGAACTCCTATACTCTAATCCCAAGCCTTTCAATCCCTCCTGCCCTGGTGGGCTGTGCCCCGTTAGAGTGCTAACTCCAAGGTTATTCTTAGAGTTCCCACTTCCCATTACTTGACCGCTAGGAATCCATTGTTACTTTTCTTAAGTGAAGATGAGAATTAAGGTCGATTTGAATTTCTTTATACCTAAGAATCAGGTCTCTGTTTGGATCCTAAGTCCATGTAATAGCTTCACAATTACTGAATGGCGTTTTCTTTCTACCTTAAACATCTAAGTGTCGTGCACCTATTAAATCTTTCTGAAAGTTCTGCAGAAGATAAGTTTCATAAAATACGCGTCTCCAAAAAAGAAATTTCTGTGCCCCAGTAAGTTCAGGAAATACTGTGTATTGGATTTTTTTTTCGTTTTCAGAAACTAAAATTTTATTTGGTAAATGTTGTGAGAACCCCTGGACTAAAAATCCTGATTTAAGGCGGTTTGAGCTGGTGTTTCCAGACTCTGGGAAGTTTCAGCTCCTTTGCACACTTCACCACACTGCCGTTTTCTGGAAACACTGATAGGTGGTGGGATATGCAAGCTGGGTATGTAAGGACGAGGAGAGCAGGGAGGCATGTGTACCCCCTCCCTCATCCTGCACATTAGCAAAATGGTAAAATAACGCTTTTCTTTGTTTCCGTACTTCAGGTCAATGGGGAAGAGAAAAGTGAAGCTGTGTGTCCCCAAGAGAAAAGCTCCAGTCCACAGACGGGCTCAGCAAGCTGGATTCGCTCCAACGGTGGCTCTCCCGCGCACACGCCCCGTCCCCCTGGATGCCCTCAGCGTGCAGATGATGATAAAGTCCTGCCAGGTGCTCTTTCTTTTTTTTTTTTTTGCTTTTTTTTCTTTTTTTTTTTTTTGCTTTTTGGGGGTCACACCTGGCATTGCACAGGGGTTATGTTCCTCCTGGCTCATGCACTCAGGAATAACTCCTGGAGGTTCTCGGGGGACCATATGGGATGCTGGGAATCGAACCTGGGTCGGCCGCGTGCAAGGCAAACGCCCTACCCGCTGTGCTATCGCTCCAGCCCCACCAGGTGCTCTTTCTCACCTGCCTCACAGGTTCATGTAGCTTTGCCCAGCAGTGCTCGGGGGACCCTAGGACCCACTGCTGGCTGGCGGTCCTCAGGCCTGACACTCAATGCTTATCCCCGTGGTGCTGGGGAGGAACCAAGCATCTGCCCGGGAATTATCCCCCCAGCCCCCGATAGAGATTGTAAAGGAAAGGTTCTTGTTCAAAGAAACGAAGGCACAATAGAGAAGCATATTGTTATTTCGATTAATATTACAGATACGTGCAGTCCAGTCTCTAAGATTTAAACTTTTTAAGTGATTGAAAAGATAGCATGTTTTTTTTTGTTTGTTTTTTCTTTTTGGGTCACACCCAGCGATGCACAGGGGTTACTCCTGGCTCATGCACTCAGGAATTATTCCTGGAGGTGCTCGGGGGAACCACATGGGATGCTGGGAATCGAACCCAGGTCAGCAGCGTGCAAGGCAAATGCCCTACCAGCTGTGCTATCGCTCCAGCCCCAAGATAGCATATTTTTAAGCGTTTTCTTATGTTCTGTGAAGGAAGCAACCATTCCCAAGCCACCTAATTTAGGGAATTTTTCTTGGGAATGTTGGAGTGCCCTGTTACCTTTAATTTTAGGAATAAAACTTCTTCATCTGCATTTCTATCATGAATTAATAGTTTGAGATTAATGTAGGAAAATAAAATATAAAATTATTAGTGTTTCATGGAAAGTCAGAGGCATCGATTTGGTTTTTTCATTAGTGGCGGCTGGACAGTCTTTCAACAGAGAACCGGAACATTTCAAAGTTCAGACATTCGCTGGACTTTGAAAAGTGTGAAAGAATTTCAGACTTTGAAAGACCGAGCGTATTCCATTTGACACGGTGTTGCTTATTAATGTTTTAGACCTTTAACTCCATGTGAATTACTGTTTTTGCAGAGTCTGATATGCAAGATGACGACATATACGATGATCCCCAAGAAGCTGAAGTGATCCAGTCTCTGCTCGATGTCGTAGATGAGGAAGCCCAGAATCTCTTAAATCAGAATAACGCAGCAAGACAGGCCTCTGATGCAGGTACACAGGCCAGAGGGAATGAGTTGCTACAGAAAGACCTCCAAGGAGAATTTTTTTTTTAGTTAAAAATGAAATCTATTAGCATTCTCCATGTTGGTGGGTAGTATTTCAGAAGTACAGAAGAGTTTGAGGGGCTGGAGCGATAGCACAGCGGGTATGGCATTTGCCTTGCACGCGGCCGACCCGGGTTCGATTCCCAGCATCCCATATGGTCCCCCGAGCGCCTCCAGGAGTAATTCCTGAGTGCAGAGCCAGGAGTAACCCCTGTGCATTGCTGGGTGTGACCCAAAAAGAAAAAAAAAGAAAAAAGAAGAAGAGTTTGATCTCTTCCTCAAAATATTTGTGGGTGGGTTATTTATTAGTAAGATCTTAAATATATTATCAATATCACAACTGTTATTGTTTTAAGTCTTTGCCCAGTCCCCAGCCACTGTCAACAGCTAACACTGAAACTTTATTTTTTTTTATTTTTTATTTTTTTTGCTTTTTGGGTCACACCCGGCGATTCACAGGGGTTACTCCTGGCTCTGCACTCAGGAATGACTCCTGGCAGTGCTCAGGGGACCACATGGGATGTTGGGAATCGAACCCGGGTTGGCCGCATGCAAGGCGAACGCCCTACCCGCTGTGCTATTGCTCCAGCCCCACTAAGCCTTTCTTAAGGTGCTTCAATTTTAATAAAGTTTAACCCAAAATTTGATGCTGCTATATATTGTCATTTCCACCCCCTGCCTTCCTTCGCAATAAATGAAGAAAATCCTGTTGTGTTCAGTTTTAATTCATCATCCTTTCCTGTTTCTCTCCCAGGTGCATTGACGACCAACAGGAAGTTATCTGAAGAGAAAGCAGAGGGTTCTAACTGTGACAGCTCACCTATGCCTGGGGATCTTACAGAGGTAAGGGGAAGACAGCACTCCAGGGGACTGAAGCTCACAGATCTGGGTATTTGATCCAGAAGTTGGAATCGTCTGAAGTCACTGCTGATTTTACTAAAAAAATTACATTTAAAGAGCCAGAGAGAGTCCCGGGGTGAGCATGCTTGCTGGCAGGTAGGTATGTGTCCCCAGGTGGCCTGGGTACCCCCACTGCCAAGGGCCTCAGCAATGCCGCGTTCCCAGCCCTCACGTCGAACCCCAGCCTCCCTGGCCCAGGACAGCCTGAGTGCTCTTGGGAGGCCCAGAGCAAAGCCAGATCACACTTAGGAGGAAAACAGGTTCATTCTGTTAAAGACTCACCCTAACCTCTTCCTTGGGCTTCCTGAGAGAGAGAGAGAGAGAGAGAGAGAGAGAGAGAGAGAGAGAGAGAGAAATTGAAAAGAAAAGAAAGATTGCTCTCAAAAACAGTGCAAAGCTTTTGAATCCTTCTTCAGACTGTATTTTTTTTTTAATTTTATTGAATCACCATGAGATTTTTGCTCAAGCGGGTCCAGTAACATCTCCATCTTGAGACTTCTTGTTACTGTGTTTGGCATATCGAATACATCACGAGTAGCTTGCCAGGCTTTGCATGCGGGCGAGATACTTTCGGTAGCTCGCCGGGCTCTCCGAGAGGGGCAGAGGAATCGAACTCGGCTTGGCTGGGCTGGCTGCGCGCAAGGGAAACGCACTACCACTGTGCTATCACTCCAGCCCAATCCGAGTTCGATTCCTCCGCCCCCCTCGGAGAGCCCGGCAAGCTACCGAGAGTATCTCGCCCGCACGGCAGAGCCTGGCAAGCTACCCGTGATGTATTCAGTATGCCAAACACAGTAATAAGTCTCACGATGGACACTCGTGACCGTGACCACAGTGAGATAGTTACAGGCTTTCATGTTTGGGTTACAATCACACAGTGATCAAACACCCATCCCTCCACCATTGCACAGTCCCCACCACCAATATCCCTAGTATACCCCCCCTTTCCCACCCTCCCCCTGCCTCCATGGCAGACAATTTTCCCCATACTCTCTCTCCACTTTTAGGCATTATGGTTTGCAATACAGACCCTGAGAGGTTATCATGTTCATTCCATTTTCTACTTTCAGCACACATCTCCCATCCCAACCGGTTCCTCAGGCCATCATTTTCTTAGTGAAAATGATGCCCGTCCTGGGGGGCATCTCACCTGTCAAGACCTGGCTGGGGGTGGGGGGGGTCTTCAGGTGCCCACCTTGGAAACGGATGGTCATGCTAGCTGAACGTTTAGAAACGAAGCCTCTCAGTAGTTACACTGGAGCTCGGATCTCTCTGCCTTTCTTTTTTTCTTTCTTACTTTTATTTTTTTAGCTTATATATCTTAATCTACAAAAATGCGTACGAAAATGCTTGTCTCAATGTGCATCACTTTTTTTTTTAATTTTTATTAGTGAGGCCTCATGAGGTACAGTTGTAGACTTACAAATTTTTGTGCTTGGGTTTCAATTATACAATGTGCATCACTCTTTAGTGGGTTTTGCGTACAGGGCAGTCTCTTCATATAAGGCAGAATTTAGGGATCACAATAGTAAGTGGTTTAGGAAGGGTTGCCTGGGGGCAGAGTGCAGCCCCTAAGGATGCCTGAGGCCCTGGGTCACTTCCTTTGGGCACCACAAAAAAAAGGTGACCCTTCTGTCACCTAGCCCTTGGCAAACAATGACAAAACAAAGAAGAACGCTTATCTAAACATCTGTTGCTGTGATTGTTCTTCCTAAAGACAATAATAATGACTGTGATGACAGTCATACTATACCCCTTAAGATGTGTCTCTTCGGTCAGCTTGGACCTCAGCAAGGCCTGGGCACAAGGGCCAGGAATGCCAGTCACGGGGCATGATGGGGACCAGGTGCTCAAGTCTGAGAGGGCTGGCAGGGTCGTCACTCGCCCCAGGGCTGCAGGGCTCCAGTGAGAGAGACAAGACCTGGGCCGCATGCAGCAGTGAGGGCTGTTTCCTGGGTCTGGGCAGGCACCTGGGTTCGAGAGCAGGAAGTAAGTGTCCCTGGTCTCTCTACAGCCCTGATGGCACAGCCCTGGGCAGTGGCAAGAACTTCATGACTTGTTACTGGAACCCTCAACAGGAGAGGGGCAGGGTTGCTCACGTGTCTTTTAAGCGAGAACAAAACCCAAGAAGTCAACAAGTTGTTGAGTCCTCTCAGACGACTTGGGTGTAGGGGCAGGTCTGGGGGCCGTCGTCTGTGGGAACCATGGGCCTCACCTGTTCTATTCCTTGGACCACCCTGTGACCCCTGCTCCTTCCTTACTGCCACTAACACAGCTTCGGACCCGCCTCCTCCCGCTGGGGCTCGTGCCTGGGGCCTTCTCTTCTCTCTCCCCTCCTCGGTGCAGGGGTGCAGCCCGTCCCTCCGCTCCCAGTGTCTGCTCCTCCTTCCCCCAACTGGGCCCGGGACCCATCACAGGTCTCCGCTGAGACATCGGGAGAGGCCCCATGAGATGGCGCTGGGCTCACGGACCAGAAGCTTTTCCCTTTGGCTCCCTGTCCTAGCCCCTTAATTCTGGGGACGCATCGGGAGGTGGCCGCATCCAGCATGGTCGTGCTCAGGGACCAGCCCCATGGACAGGGCTCCCAGTGAGGTTCCCCAGGGCCCCACTCTCCTGAACTTCACCCTGTCTAGAGAGGAAAGGCTGGAAAAGTAAGGGGAGTCTCTAAGTCCTTATATTAAAAATAATGCTCATAAAAGGCTTTGTACTTTTCAAAGCCAATGATAATCTACATATGTTCTTGTACCAGAATTAGGATGATATATAGGAAATCTTTATGTAAAAAAAGATTTCTTTATATACTTTATATACCGGCAAAGCCTGGCAAGCTACCTGTGATGTATTCGATATGCCAAAAACAGTAACAACAAATCTCACGATGGAGACATTACTGGTGCCCGCTCGAGCGAATCAATGAACAATGGGAGGATGGTGCTACTTTATATAAAAAAAAAAATGTTAACCCAGACTAAAATGTCTGAAGCAGGTTTAAAAGTAATCAATTAGGAAAAAATTAATCAATTAGGAAAAATTAATTTAAATAGGTAAGATCTTGAAGGCTTCCTTTAGGTTAGAATTAAATCACCTGCATTCTTTTCCTAGCATAGAGCTTTGGCGTATGCATTAAATAAGTTATAATTAAGGATAATTACACATTTTAATTGTAATTATATGCCTTAATTATGCATTTAAGCCCTGTAAGATCTATAACTAAAACATCCTACTGAAAAAAAATTTTTTCTTATTTTGTTTGTTTGGGAGACACACCCAAAGTAATTCTCGGGGAGTCAAACTGGAACTCCCACACAAAAGCATGTGCCTAGTCCCTTGGGCTGTTTTACAGCCCTAGTATTTTATAGGTTTTTTATTTTATTTTATTTGGGGGGCTGGAGCAATAGCACAGCAGGCAGGGCATTTGCCTTGCATGTGGCAAACCCAGGTTCAATTCCCAGCATCCCATATGGTCCCCCAAGTACCAACAGGAGTAATTCCTGAGTGCAGAGCTGGGAGTAACCCCTGTGCATCGCTGGGTGTGACCCAAAAAAAAGAAAAAAAAGAAATTTTATTTGTGGAGACTGGAGTGACAGTACAGTGGGCAGGGCGTCTGCCTTGCATGCACTTGACCTGGGTTCGATCCCCGGCATCCCAATCTCAGGAGTGATTCCTGAGCGAAGAGCCAGGAGTAACGCCCGAGCATCTGCTGGGTGTAACACGCCAAAAACAAAACAACAACCAAATAAAGTTGTATTGTTTTTAAAGTACCATGAATTACAAAGTCGTTCACAGTTGGGCGTTTGACACACAGTCTTCCATCCCCAACGCTGCCACCAGTATCAGCTTCCCTCCAGTGTTCCCAAATTCCCTCCCCACCCCCACGCCAGACCCCCACCGCCATCTAACAGGCACCTTTGAGGTCTGATTGTTCCGATTTGGATCTCACACTTGCGGCGTTGCCGGCTTTGTGGTTTGGCTGCTCAGCTCTGTTATTCCTTAACACCCACATACCTGAATCCCCTTGACTCCTGCCCCCGTTGCTTCTCATCTGCCTCCTCTGCCCTCCCCCTCCACTCTTTCCTTCTGCCATGCCGGGGCTCTGGGTTCAATCCCTAGAGCTGTATCTTCCCCCCCCCCCCCCCCACTCAAGACCCCAGACAGTGCCGGAGTGAGTCCCGGAACCCCCAGCACTGCTTGGGAGACCAAAGAAAAGGTCTTCAGAGCTTCACTTTTCTTTCTCCCCTATCCTATTCGTGTCCCTCTGTGTAAGGGATAAAAACAGGAATGAGGGTGAATAGTATGAAAGCAACAAGAATTCTCACAAGTTTGTCTTATGAAGCTCGTAGTCTAATGGGGGAAGAAAGGAGAGTGACCAGCCAGACACACCAGTGAAAGCCATGAAGACACATGATTAATTAATGATGAAGAGTAGCAGTAAATACAAGGCAGTATCAGGAAAAAGGAGCATTTTGAGCTCTTTCAGGAACGGACCAATGTGATGTGCTTTCCTTTTTTAATACATGAATAAAGTTCATGTATAAAATCCAAAGTTCATCTATAAAATCCAGATCCCGGAACCGCGCGGCCGCATTCGCGGCCGCGCGACATCTTATTATCTCATTCCTACTTTGGACAAACTTGCAGGCTGTCGAATGTAGCCTGCCCACAGGGCAGAGTCTGGCAAACTCCCCGTGGCCTACCAAATATGCCAAATACCAGTAACAATGATGGGTCTCATTCTCCTAAAGAGCCGTGAATATAATCTCAGGGCTAGGATGAAAGAGACGTTACTGGGGCCTGCTAGAGGCAATCGAAGATTAACAGGATGATGAAATGAAAATGAAATGAATAAAGTTCGTTTTGATTGAAAAAGAAATCAGTGTAATAGAGTCATCACTTTATGATTAAGTTTGTTTTTTTCCCTCGATCATCATCTCTAGTAAGGGAGATATAATGAACTGCAATATTTCCTTGATGGCATTTAACTAAAATTGTAGATTTGACAATGAAAAAAAAAATTTTGATGCGTTTTGTTTTGTCTTGATTTCTTTTACTGCAGTCGACCAAAATTAATGGCTGTGAAGAACATAGTGAAGAAAAAGTGGTTTCACAGAGTGAAAGGTAAGAAAATAAAGTGGGAAAGTATTCATAACAATTCTGTTTTTCAGAAGTGCTCCAAACTATTTAGGACTTGATTTTAAAACTAATTTGGACCAAAGAGATGTCTGGGGTTGGAGCACACATTTACATAGGGGAGCCCCTGCAGTTGACTCCTGGCATCACATGGTCCCCAGCACTGCCAGGAGCAGCCCCGAGCACTGAGTCGGGAGCACCCCGAGCACTGAGTCAGGAGCAGCCCCTGAGCATTGCTGATATGGGTCCAAAAGATCGATGACCAAGATTTAAAAATTAGATTAGTTTGATTTGTTCTCTTTCAAGAAAAATAGAATTGCTTAGTAAGTCATGGAACTATGGTTAAATATTAAGATTTTTTTTTTAGGGTTGGGGGTGGAATTTCCAAGCCGTGCCCAGGGTGCTTGGAGGCTGCTCCAGCAACACATGACACAGTACTGCTTCGAGCCCATCCTTGGGGCCCCAGGGTTGCCCCCTGATGTTCCAGGAACTGTGTCTTGCCAGAAATCGAACCTGGAGCCTCTGCGTGCCAGCCCTGTTTAGTCTTTGAGCCATTTTCCCGGCCCTGAATCTTAAGAGTGTTTAGGCTGTTATGTAGAGGCTCTAGGGGCTCGACACTGAGCACTTCTCACCCCAGAGAGTAACGGAATGTGTATGCCCATCAGGACTGCTCTCACAGCTCTGATCAGTCACTGTTGTTGCTGAGTGAGAACAAACCTCTGCCTTTCCCATCCTGCAGAGATCTTCACTCTCAGGACCAGAGACTTGGAGCCTGTGTGAGGATAAATCACAGCGCGCAGTGTCAAATAATTCTCTCCCTGTGTCGCTTACATCGGCCCAAAATAAACTTTAAGAATTGTGGATTTGGGTTTTTTGAAGTTAGATAATTTATTGTAACATACCATACTTCTAGAAAATAAGCAATATGGGGTCAGAATGTTTTACTCTGTTTTGGGAACAAAACTGAAAAAAAAAAGTTACATTTTTTTTTTTTTGGTTATAGCTTAATTCAGAAGTCAGACGAAAAGAAGATCAATGGCGATAAGATATCTTGGGATGATGAACTGCCAGTAAACACCGCGAACCACCAAGATTCTGATAAAGGCAAGGATTCTATTAGCAGTTTTATCAAAAACGGTGGAGAGGAAAAAATAAGTGTTTAAAATTTCAAACATTCAGGATATATTAGTGTTTTGCCAATACGATCATGACCATCCTGTTGTTCATCGATTGCCTCGAGCAGGCCCCAGTAACGTCTCCTTCGTCCTAGCCCTGAGATTTTTTTTTAAAAAGTGCCATATTTAAGGCTCTTTCAGGGTTAGGAGAATGAGACCCATCATTGTTACTGGCGTTTGGCATATTGGGTATGCCACAGGGAGTTTGCCAGACTCTGCCGTGTGGGCAGGCTACATTCGGTAGCCTGCCAGGTTGTCCAAAGTAAGAATGGGATAATAAGATGTCGCTTCCAGGAATCTGGGTTTTATAGTCTCTGGGTCTTGGCCATTGATGGGATTACACGGCGCCAGGGGGCCAGTTGGTGGGTGTGACCCCTGCCTACTGGAAGGTGGAGGATGCTCAGCCCCGATCCGAGCAGGCTTGGAGATCTCAGCCCCAGGACCCGTATGCCTTTGCTCCTCGGCCGGTACCTTCATGCGTGTGGAGAGTGGTCTCAGCATGGTGGTGGCCGGTTCTGGAGGTCTTCAGCTGCCGGAGCCCTGGTCGGGGCAGGGAGGGAAACTCAACCCACTCCCCTCCAAGGGGCCCCAGCCAATACATGTATATAAAATAAATAACAAGCATCAATATTAACCTATATAACCAAACATTACACCTTTATCATATTCTAAATTACAGCTTATATTCTTAGTAGCTTGGAGTAAAAAGGCAAAGTAATGTGTGATTGCCTTCAATGGAGGTATAAAAGTCGTAACTTTTGCAGTTCTGAAATAGGAAGTCCATGGACACGTTTTCTTTATGGGAAAGCAGGTCGAAATGCTGAGAGATGGGGAGTCATCACCTTCGAATTCCAACCTCATGTTAATGTGTCCCTGTCGCAGAGGGTCGTCCATGACTTAGGGGCGCAGAGGTGTCAAGGGACCAGATCCAGGGCCTTGCCCACGCCAGGCGTCTACTCTGCCACTTGAGTCATAAGGTTATGAGCCACCAGAGCAGGAGTCAAGCCGGAGTTCCTTTTCCTGTCTCTCATCTGATAACCAACCCACAGGAAACATTACGTTCTCTCCAATATTTTCTCTTTTTTACATAAAGAAATGTTATTTTCCTGCTCTGAGAGGGCATGGTTTAGAAATTTCAAGTCTTACTTATCAAGTAAGTGACAAATTAACCAGTGAAACCAATTGATGAAGCCGACTTCAGCACATCTTTTTTTTTTTTTAATTTTTATTAGAGAAAGACCATGAGGTATAATTGTAGACTTACAAATTTTTGTGCTTGGGTTTCAGTTATACAATGATCGAGTACCCATCCCTCTACCACTGCCCATTTTCCACCACCACCAATCCCAGTATCCCTCCTACCCCCCAGCCCTCCATCACACCCTGCCTCTGTAGCAGGCATTCCCTTTTGTTCTCTCTCTCCTTTTGGGTGTTGTGGTTTGAAAAAGAGGCATTGAGTGGCGATCATGTTCGGTCTATAGTCTACTTTCAACACATATCTCCCATCCTGGGAGGGTCCTCCCAACACCCTTTACTTGGTGTTCCCTTCTCTATCTGAGCTGCCTTTTCCCCTAGCATGTGTGACTGGCCTCCAAGCCATGGAGTGAACCTCCTGGTACTTATCTCGGCTATTCTTGGGTGTTAGTCTCCTATTTTGTTACAGCACTTCTTTAACTGAGGTCTCTGCTTCGTGCCTGGAGCCCTGGGCCACCGCTGTGTCACATTTGCGCCCACTTGAGCTTGCATTTCCTTCATACAGTACGCTTTGTGTCATAGCTGGTCTAACCCGTGCAGAGGCTGATGCTGTTACACAGCTTTATACGCCTCCTGATACATAGCATTATTATTCTCTGCATAGCAACTGCATTGGCAAAATGCTCTGTTCAAGTCTTGGCGTATTTTCGATCACTTGTGCAGATTATTATTATAGCAGGAAATCTCATTTCTACGAGGACGGCCGTTGGCTGCTGGGACCAGCAGCTTCCGTGGAACAGGCCCTGAATCAGACACGTTCCCCCTCTCAGGCTGATTATCAGTCGAGCCCTGAGGACCCCCTTGAGTTCTGTTCGCACAGAGAGCACTGTCACAGGGCAGCTCTGGCTGTGACTGCCAACAGTGATTAGAAGGGGCACCAAGACGGAAGTTTCTAGGACAGTCTCCCTGCAAGGAGCATCTGAAGGCACCTCTGAAGCCCTACCGGCTAGCTCTATTACCTTATTCTAAAGACTCTTTTTAGAGAAGGGAATGAGGTTAAAAAAAAAATAATCAGCTGAAATGAGTTCATTGACATCATCAGTTCAGGGTGCAGTGCTCTTTAGTTAACTGTGTCTTCCCGTTAGATCACCCCTTCCTTACGGAGGAGGAGCTTGCGGCGCTCCCTGTCGTCAGAGTGCTTCCCGCTGGCAAATACACTGGCCCACATCTGAAGTCAGCCATCCGCACGCTGCGAGGTCTGCTGGAACAAGGGATCCCGTCTAAGGAGCTAGAGGTAAGTGTGTCTGCCAGTGATTCCCCAGATAAAGATGTTTTTGGTTTTTTGTGCTGTTTTGTTTGTTTCTTTGTTTGTTTTTCTTTTGGGGCCACACCCGGTGATGCTCAGGTGTTACTCCTGACTCTGCACTCAAGAATCTTTCCTGGCGGTGTTCAGGGGGCCATCCGGGGTGCCGGGCATCAAACCCAGGTCAACCATGTGCAAGGCAAACGCCCTCCCCACTGGACTACGGCTCCGACCCCAAAATAAAGTTCTGTGCAAGGGTCGGAGAAGGTTTGAAAAGGTCATTCTGTCCCAACCCTTCCTATAGTTAATTTTCAGCTGTACCATCCTGTCATACCCAGCAGTGAATCGTCTTTTCTAATTCAGATCCCGATAGTTTAAAGGGGCCTCAGGCAACACGTTACGGAGCTGTCAGCAGTTCCATGTCAGGCTGTTCGTCAAGGCCCGAGCTCTCCCTTGAACATGGCCTCCCTCACTTCGTTCCTTTGCTTATTTCCACAGTTTCCCTCTCTCTTTCTCTCTCTCCTCTCCCATCTTTCTAAATAAAGCTTCACTAAGGAAGAAAAACCAGTGTTGTGTCAGGCCTGTCTCTGCCTCAGCAATACGCCCACCACCAAGGGGCCTGTGTCTACCCCTGCCCACTGCCTGGAGTCCTCGCAGGTCTCTGTCACCTCTTTATTTATTTATTTTTTTATGTAGGAGTACTGCTGTTTATTCAGCCACTGATTAGGCTGATTGAATTGGGCATGAACTCCACCTTTTTTTTTCATGTTTTATAATTTTATTTATTTTTTTTTCATGTTATTTATTTTTTTCATGTTTTATAATTTTATTTATTTATTTACTGTGAGATCACTTGCAAAGCTTTCAGGTTTAAGTCTCGGTCATACAACGAAACACCCATACCTTCACCAGTGCCCATTCTCCGCCACCAAAAAACCCCAGTATGCCCCCATCCCACACCCTCCCCCTACTGGTGGGGCAGATGATTTCCACATTACTCTCTCTCTACTTTGATTACATTCAATATTTTGACACCAGACCCACCATTATTATGTGGGATTTTATCCCAACACTCAGATCTGCTGAAAAGGCAACAGTAGACAATTTGTTTTCTACTGCTGGTTATGAATAACATATGATATCGCACAGCTGCAGATTTTGAATGGGCACTGGTGGCGGGGTGGGTACTCGATGATTGTATAACTGAAACCCAAGCACCATGTAAGTCTACAACTGTACCTCATGGTGTTTCACTAATAAAAATAAATAAATAAATAAAAAGAATGCTGTGGAGGAGGGGTTGGGGTAGTAGTTTTGTGACTAGTAGCGTCGGAAGCTGTGATAACCCAACTCAAGTCTTGAATCCAGTTTCGATTCCTGCCCTCAGCTGTCAAAACGACACACTCTAGATGGGCCCATCACTAACATCAACACAGCACAGAGGCTGTGTCCTGGCCTCAGAACAGCTGTGGTGCCCAGGCCCTGTTCCTCTGGTCTGGCTGGCAGCATCCCTGCGTTGCGCCAGGCAAGAGCTAGGGTCAGACCTCGTGGCTCCCTCAGCCATCTGGGTCCTCACGCGCTTCCCGAGCGTCTCAGAACCGAGGGAGAGGCAGTGGCATCTGCTGAGAACTTCTGACCGTGCTTGACGGTTTGTCTTTAACCCTCAACGTAGCATGGCAACCCCACCACGCAAATTTGGAGAGACGCACACGGTCTAAGATAGATTCTCCCCCCTCTCCATTTTACAAAACTTGTTTTTTTCCCCCCAGGACTTAAATTGAAACATCATCACATTTCTTTCTCTCTATCACAGCAGTTTGCTGGTCACTGCAGTGCATCTATCTCGCTGTTTTATTAGGCAGCGGAGAGCCCGGCAAGCTACTGAGAGTATCTCGCCCGCACGGCAAAGCCTGGCAAGCTCCCCGTGACGTATTCGATATGCCAAACACAGTAACAAGTCTCACAATGTTACTGGCCCGCTCGAGCAAATCGATGAACAACGGGAGGACAGTGATACAGTGAGATCTCTTTCTCCCAAATAGGCTGCAAACTTCTGGAGAGCCAAATCCTGTCTTTACTCACCGCTATCCTCTGACACTTTTTATAGTGCCTTGCACGTAGTAGGCAATACCTACCTGTTGAATGGGTAGGCAGGAAGATGGGTGGGTAAAACATGAGAAAGCATTCCTTTATTTTATGTTTTTTTGGGGGGTTCTATATATTTTTCTATATATTTTATTCTTTCAGTTCTTTTTTTGTTATATTTATTTATTGAATCACTATGAGAAAAGTTACAAAGCTTTCAAGTTTAAGTCTCGGTCATACAATGATCAAACACCCATCCCTTCACCGGTGCACATTTTTCACCACCAAGAACCCCAATATACCCCCCTCCCACCCCTCCCAGTGCCTGTGAGGCAGATGATTTCTACTTAACTCTCTCTCTACTTTGATTACAACTCATTATTTCGACAAAAGTTGCACCATTAGTGTTTAGAATTTCCACCCAACAATCAGAACTGCTGAAAAGGCATTGTGAAATAATTGGTTTTCTATGACTGGTTATGAGAACCATAGAAAGCATTCCTTTAGAACATGGGGCAAAATAGCACCACTCGACCACATGGCGGACTTGAAGACCTCCTGGACAGTGTTGTTGAGGAACTGCTGAGCAATTTAAGCCAAAGTTGCATTTTTTTTCTAAGATCTAAACATAGGGTATTGTTTGTTGTTGTTTTGGTGGGCAAGAAAGTTTTTACTGAAACTTTTTTAGACATTCAGAAAGATGTGAGTGGAGACAGAGCTAGAAATCCGTGTTGGAGAAAGAAGAGAGTCTTCTCCAGAGTGGAAATAAGCAAGCGAAGAAACGGAGAGAAAAGGATGGGTCATATTAAGGGAGAACACGGGCGGGAAGACTGAGTCAGAATGAGAGATGTTGAGTTTTAAAAATGTTTAAAGTTCAGGTCAATTTTTTAAAAAAATAAAAAATAAAATAAAATTCAGGTCAAAGGTGCCGCTTCACAAAATTTGTTGAATGCACATTATGATAGAAAATATCTGTATCAAAAATTTAAAAAGCACTTCAGCAATTATCACATTAATGTTGAGGTTGCAGGCCGATTTATCTTCATAGGATACATCTTTTATTAAGACTTCGTCTTTTCTCATCAATAACCAAATTTTCACCCTGTCTATTTAAAGCTTTCACAATTATTACTGAATCACTCCTTTCAACAAATTTAAGTTCATTTTCATTTTTTTGCTTACAGAACCTTCAAGAATTAAAACCTTTGGATCAGTGTCTCATTGGACAGATGAAGGAAAATAGAAGGAAGAACAGATATAAAAATATACTTCCCTGTAAGTTCTAATTTGGTTTCAGAGTCAATGTGTGTTTAATGTAATAAGTTAAGACTTTTACTGTTTAACCTAACTCTCACTGAGGTATGATGTACACACTTTTAGACATTTACACCAGGAACAAATTTATCTAGGTAATACTAATTCCTTTCTTTATATTCTTTAAATAGATCAGAGGCATTTTGAACTTCAAACATTCCTAAGTTTACTAGCATAGCATTGTAAATCAGTAATGTGAAATCAGTTATGTTAAAGTCCCCTTGAAAATGTGATTTGACTTCTGGATAAATACTTTCTCAGGTTTATGTGTCACAGTTACTATCTGTGCATTCCATTCATGTTAAGTGTAAAGAAATATCTACGGAACATAATGATGATATTGGGCTGGAGCTATAGCACAGCGGTAGGGCGTTTGCCTTTCACGCAGCCAACGTGGCCGACCTGAGTTCGATTCCTCCGCCCCTCTCAGAGAGCCCGGCAAGCTACCGAGAGTATCTCGCCTGCACGGCAGAGCCTGGCAAGCTACCCGTATTCGATATGCCAAACACAGTAACAACAAAGTCTCCACTGGAGACATTACTGGGCCCGCTCGAGCAAATTGATGAACAACGGGAGGACAGTGACAGTGACAATGATGATACATATCTTGACTGCAAGAATACTGCTACCAGGCCATATTACACATTGCATTATTTCATTTACCAGAAAAAAATTTTTTTTCATCAACCACTATGTGATTTTTAATTATGTATGAATTTGGTCAAATTTGAATGTGGAGCAACTATTTATAGCAATCATCAGCTACACAAAAATATTAGCACAACTATGACACACTGACCCGGCCTTTACCAAAACTCATCAACCTAAAACCAACAGAATTTACAGTGACAAATCTTGCAGTAAGTAATAACACATTTGTATTTTTTCACATAAGATGAAAGATAATTCCTTTTGGATAATTTATAAGAAATTAATGTAGGCAGCATCTTCCAAATGATTTGGCCTAATTAAGTGGAATTATTTCAGGGGATAAAAAAAAAACGACTAGGCTAATATCTCAGAGTGAGAATGGAAGAAACCATAAGTTCAAAACTACTGAGTGAATTTGTTCTCACAAACCAGGAGATGAGTCCGGTCATAGGACAATTGATGGAGGAATTTGAAACCTATTACTAAAGATCATTAATTACCACAGGAATTTCAGGTTGTACTTATAGATGTTTAAAACAAAAATAATTTCTAATATATAAGTATATACAAATTAACTTTCTTGGATAAGATGGCTCATTTAAAACAGGGAAGCTTGGTTTAATAATTTATGTTTTTTATTATTTGTAATAAAATTTGGCAAAGTTAAATATACACATGCCTAAGGAATAAAGTGAGCTTCCTATTATTTATTGCATTCATTATTTTCTTGTCCATCAAAAGAATATTACTTCATCAGAATATAAATAGATAAGCAAGAGTTCATTTTATTAAGTTCTGAATTCATTTATTAATTTTAGTTTTTTCAAATCTATGTAAATAATAAGTGTTGAGGTTTTTTTTCTTTTTGGGTCACACCCGGCGATTCTCAGGGGTTACTCCTGGCTCATGCACTCAGGAATCACTCCTTGCGGTGCTCGGGGGACCATATGGGATGCTGGGAATCAAACCTGTGTGGGCCATGTTGACTGCGTGCAAGGCAAACGCCCTACCTGCTGTGCTATCGCTCCAGCCCCAGTATTGAGGTTTTTGTCAGAAACTCATGAAGTTGACATCTTAGCTGGACTTATAACTTAAGTTAAGTGAGCGAACATAAAATGTTTGACCATTTTAAAGCTTAAAAGTGAGGATTATTAAAATGTTTGTGATTGACCTGTAGTTCTGAGTAGTTACAGGTGATCTCTGACTTCCTTATTTACAAGTGCATGATATTGAAATTTGCTTATAAGTGGATGGTCATGGAGAGTCTCAGAGAGGGACAGACATAGAATGACTGCACTCAGTTATGGAGTATAAAATAACATGAGACTGACACTCAAGGACAATAGACACCAGGGCCAAGAATGTTGCTCCGTAGTTGGAAACCTACCTTATAAGCTGGGGGAGAAGGCAGCTGGGATAAAGAAAGAAACACCAAGTCAATGATGGTTGGAAGGATGGTTCGGGATGGAAACAGACTTACCTGCTAAAAGTAGATAAAGGACCAAGCGTGATGGCCTCTCGATATCTATATTGCAAACCATAATGCCCAAAAGTAGAGAGAGAACATGGGGGAAATTGTCTACCAAGGAGGCAGGGGAGGGTTAGTATGGGTGGAGAGGATACTGGGGACATTGGTGGTGGAGAATGCGCACTGGTGGAGGGATGGGTGTTTGATCACTGTATGACTGTAACTCAAACAGGAAAGCTTTTAACTGTATCTTATGGTGATTCTATTTAATTTATTTTTAATTTTTGAAAAGTGCATTATAGGGGCTGGAGAGATAGCACAGCGGGTAGGGCGTTTGCCTTGCACACGGCCGACCGGGGTTCAATTTCCAGCATCCCATATGGTCCCCTGAGCACTGCCAGGAGTAACTCCTGAGTGCAGAGCCAGGAGTAACCCCTGTGCCTCGCCAGGTGTGACCCAAAAAGAAAAAAAAAAGTGCATTATATAAAAAAGAGAGAGACAGATACAAATGATCAAATGATCTCCCTCCTACATGGGATATAAAGAGCATAGAAAAAGATTAACAAAAGCCAAAAGCAACTGAATCTAAGATCTAAACTAAACAGGGCATACAATGTGTAAGATGGGGTGGCAGAATGGGGGTGGGGGTGGTGAGTAGCAGGGTAGGGGGTTTCCCTGAGACAGTTGGGGCGGGGGAGGAAAGGAACACTCAGGTCTGGGTGTGGTGTTGGGCTGCTGTCCCATGAAGCCCTTCATGGGCAATACTGTCATGCTATACATCACAGCAGCTAAAATTTAAAACTTTGAATAAAATAAAAGGCATGTTCTCAATGGCTCTGTCCTGTGGGGACGATTCACAGACGATGCTACGAGAGTTCCCCTGGGCGATGACGGCGGCTACATCAACGCCAGCTTCATCAGGATCCCCGTGGGGAAGGAAGAGCTGGTGTATATCGCCTGCCAGGGGCCTCTGCCCACCACTGTGGGAGATTTCTGGCAGATGATTTGGGAGCAGAACTCCACGGTGATAGCCATGATGACCCAGGAAGTCGAAGGGGAGAAAGTCAAATGCCAGCGCTATTGGCCTGACGTCCTGGGCAAAACCACAGTGGTCAGCGACAGGCTCCGGCTGGCTCTGGTGAGGGTCCAGCAGCTGAAGGGCTTCGTCGTAAGGGCGATGACGCTGGAGGACATTCAGGTAAGAGAGTCCAGGCTTCCCCGGGGCCGGCCAAGTGCCGTGGTTTGCAGCAGTGTCAGTGTTGGTTGCTGCCTTCATCCTTCTTACCATGTACCCACCACTGCCCCAGGGACCCTCCCACACCCCACCCCAAAGTCTGCTCGGTTCTGTGGACCAGCTCTCTGGTTCTGCGGTAGTTGTTACTCCCTTCCTCTGTTTCTTTTGTTTTGTTTTTGCTTTTTGGGTCACACCCGGCGATGCACAGGGGTTCCTCCTGGCTTTGCACTCAGGAATTACTCCTGGCGGTGCTCAGGGGACCATATGGGATGCTGGGAATCGAACCCGGGTTGGCTGCATGCAAGGCCAATGCCCTACCTGCTGTGCTATTGCTCCAGCCCTGGTCCTTTTCATTTTGGAGTTTTGTTTTTATCCAAAATTACAATCATAAAGAAGCTAGAGAGAACAGTACAGCTTTAGCTTTCTTACGAAACAAATCTTAATTTCACAGGCGCTAAGTATATTATTCAGTTCTATTTGTCATGTAAGCTTAGCGTGAAAACTTTCAACCATGAGAGCTTGTGGTGTTTGGGGACCACAACTGAACATACACAAGGGCTGGACCCAGCTCAGAACTGGGGGGATTTTTGCCCTGAGAGGGCATTTGCCTTGCACACAGCCAACCTGGGCTCAATCCTGGCATCCGCTATAATCCCCCGAGCACTACCAGGAATGATCCCTGAGTGCTGGGCCAGGAGTCAGCCCTGAGCACTGCCAGGTGCGGCCCAAAGACAAAAAAAATTTTTTTAAATAAAATCATACCCATAAGAGTCAGGAAGGCAGGCAGCTCAAAGGGCGAGAGCACTGCCTTGATTGCACAAGGCCCCGAGTTTGATTCCTGGCCCCCCTGGGTGTCCGACCCTGTACCTCCTGTGCAGGAAAGCCATTGGGCCAGCAGCACCTCGTGAGTGTCCCCAGGCGGCCTGTCCCTGAGCACTGCGAGGCCACCACGAGGGAACGTCATGAGGCTTGGGCAGGTGTCGTCCACCGAGGACCGACTGTCACCGACCGAGCTGTGCACGCGCCCTTGTGTCCGTCCTGCTGCCATAAGGACCCTTTCCTGTCACCTGCTGAGTTTTTGGCTTTTTATCTTCCCTTCCCCGAGTTGATGAAGGAACAGGGACCACACGCACTTGCTGATGGCACCCGTGACATTTTGTTGTTGTTGTTGTTGTTGCTGTTTTAATTCCAGCGGATGGAGAGATAGTATAATGGCTAAGCCCTTGCATTGCATGCGGCTGACATCGGGTTAGTTTCCAGCACTACCATAAGTGAGCACCGAGATAGGAGTTGCCTCTTGAGCACCAAAGATGGGGCCCAGGCCCCTCTTCCCCTCAAAAAAAAAAATCTGTCAGATCAGGGAGATAGCTTACGTGCCAGACTTAGGCTGAAGCTCAAAAACACGCGTAGGGTAGGACGTCCAGAGTCTGGGTCTCCCTGGGGTAGGACTAGGTGTTCTACCCAGAATTACTAGCGTGCGGAATGACACGGTGTGAGAATATGGGGGGAATGGGCTGGAAAAACAGTTCAAGAGCTCAGGCACTTGCACGTGGCCAGTGTTGGTTCGAGTCCCCGGCACCATCCCGGGGCACCCACAGGATGGAGTCAGAGCAGAGCAGAGCCAGGAGTAAGCCTTGGACCCTGCTGAGTACCTGCCCCTCCCCCAGAATAAAAGGGGGGCCATCACGACGAGACGCGTGATGGAGTCTTTTCGTCCCGTCCACTTTTCATTTGATTCTGCGGACAAGCCAAAATTTTGGAGGGACAGAATCATACCCTGAACCAACGTGTGACCCGTACCCTTTGCCTGCTCCCCTTTCTTTGGCCGACTGCAGACAGGAGAGATGCGGCGGATTTCCCATCTGAATTTCACGGCGTGGCCGGACCACGACACGCCCTCGCAGCCCGATGACCTGCTGACCTTCATCTCCTACATGAGGCACGTCCACAGGGCAGGCCCGGTCATCGCCCACTGCAGCGCCGGCATCGGCCGCTCGGGGACCCTCATCTGCATCGACGTGGTCCTGGATCTCATCAGCCAGGATCTCGAGGTGGGCGCAGAGACTCGGGCCGGCAGCGGGGGAACCTTCAGTAGCGTCTCGTGCTCTTGGAATTCTTCTTTTATCCATTTAGACCTATGCCCCAATTCTCTTATTATCTAGAATTGTATTTTAGTAAACCTTGCTCAAAGTTTTATGGCCACCAATCGAGAAGAAATAAGTCTCCAAGTATATATTTGTTTTCCTGGTTTTTATTTTAACCATGTGCTAAGAATTCCCTTAAGCACTATTGCATTTTACCCTTTATAGTCCCAAGGCTCGTGTAAAGTAAAACCAGTACTGTTATCCACACTTTTAAATACTAATATTGAAAGGTAAAGGTAAAGGCCCTCCCGTTGATCGTCGATTTGCTCGAGCGGGCCCAGTAACGTCTCCATTGGAGACTTTGTTGTTACTGTGTCTGGCATCTCGAATACTCTTGGTAGCTTGCCGGGCTCTCCGAGACTAATATTGAAATACACGTTAAATTTATTTTAAGTGAAAAACGTTTTTTGTTTTCGTGACCTATAAGTGGAAAACACGTATTTTTTTCTTACACATTTTAATTTGTAAATTATTTCTCTCTAAACTTAATCTTGCTTGGATTAGGTGACTAAAAAGAAATCCTCCTACTACAATAGCAAAGATATTCACTGTAGCACCGTTCTCCCGTTGTTCATTGATTTGCTCGATCGGGCACCAGTAACACCTCCAGTGTGAGACCTGTGGCTGTTTTTCGCATATTGACTACATCATGGGTAGCTTGCCAGGCTTTGCCGTGTGGGCGCGATACTCTTGGTAGCTTGCCGGGCTCTCCAAGAGGAGCGGAGGAATCGAACCGGGATCGGCCTGGGTCGGCTGCATGCAAGACAAGCGCCCTCCCCACTCTGCTATCACTCCAGCCCGGGCCAAGAAATATAGCTTAATAACAAGGCCCAGCCTAAAATCAAAATTAGAAGTCTAAACATGAACTTACTTTCAGTACCAAAATATCTCACTAAAATAACATGTTACTGATTATTGCCCTCTTTATATAAAGGAGTTCTGTCTTGCTCTTCACCCACTAGCATAGTAGTTTTAAGATCACGGTATCACGATCATCCTGTTGTTCATCAGTTTCCTCGAGCAGGCACCAGTAACGTCTCCTTCGTCCTAGCCCTGAGATTTTAGAAAGTGCCACATTCAAGGCTCTTTCCGGTCAGGAGAATGAGACCCATCATTGTTACTGGTTTTTGGCATATTGAGTACACCACAGGGAGTTTGCCAGGCTCTGCTGTGGGGGCAGGATACTTTCAGTAGCCTGCCGGGTTCTCCAGAGTAAGAACTAGATAATAAGATGTCGCACGGCCGCGAATGCTGGATTTTATAGTCTCTGGGTCTTGGCCGTTGATGGGATTACATGGCGGCGGGGGCAGTTGGTGGGTGTGACGCCGACCTACTGGAAGATGGGGGATCTGGGTGGAGAAGGCCCAGTCCTGATCTGAGCAGGCTTGGAGATCTCAGCCCTGGGACCAGCATGCCTGGGTTCCTCCACCAGTTCTTTCATGCATTTGGTCATTTTAAGAGAGACCAAAAAAAACATTTCTTCCTTGTTTCAAACTGTTAAATATTAGCAGAAGTTAAAAGGTCTGAAATGGTATTCCGTAAAATAGAACATAGGGAAATTAGCTTTCCTTATTTAAAAAAGAAAATAAGTAATGTTAGAAATTAATCAAATTTGGGGGCCAGAAAGATAGTCGAGTGGGTTGGGCTCTTGCCTTGCACAGAGCCGACCTGGGTTCAATCCCCAGCATCCCATATGGTCCCCCCCCAAGCACCACCATCAGGAGTAATTCCTGAGTACAGAGCCAGGAGAGTAACCCCTGAGCATCAACCCGATATGTGTGTGTCTCCCAACCACCATAAAAAAAAAAAATTTAAATTTCAGAGGAAAGAGAGTTTCTTTGGGGAATTTTCCAAAGGGATTAACTTTCCCTCATTCTCAGAAAGATCATAAATAAAAGTGATGGGCAAATCAGTTCCACCCACCAACATTGGTACGTGCAGGTCTCCGAGACCGCTAGAAGCGGGGAGAGAGGCAGGGGTGCAGAATCCTGCCCCCGCCTCTCCGGGGTGCGTGTCTGGGCTTCCGCCCAGCTGCTCTCTGGCCTCACCTGGGCCGTTTCTTTTGGCAGTTCGACATCTCGGATCTCGTGCGCTGCATGCGGCTCCAGAGGCACGGGATGGTTCAGACAGAGGTGAGTCTCCTGCTGGGGCTCTGGGGAATTTCGGGGTTCTCAGTTCCAGTTAAATAAGTCCTTTCTCCGTCTCGAGTGGCAAGCTCGCGCCCACATTACCGAGGACCCCTCCCTCTGCCTGCTGTGTGAGAACGAGAATCCCTGGGGGTGGGTGGCGTGGCGGAGTGGCCGGGATGGTGGCCCCCCGCATTCCCGGTGCTGAGAACTGAGTCAGGTGAGCGTGTGTGAGTGGGGTGAGTGTGTGTGAGTGGGTTGCGCGTGGGTCAGTGGGGTGAGCGTGTGTGAGTCGTGTGAGCGTGTGTGGGGGTGAGTGTGAGTGGGGTGCGCGTGTGTGTGGGGTGCGTATGTGAGTGGGTTGAGCATGTGTGAGTCACATGAGCGTGTATGTGTGGTGAGTGTGTGAGTGGAATGAGCGTGTGTGAGTGGGGTGCGTGTGTGGGGGGGGTGAATGTGTGTGAATCACGTGATCGTGTGTGTGTGGTGAGTGTGTGAGTGGAGTGAGTAGTGAGTGAGTGGAGTGAGCGGTGTATGAGTGGGGTGAGCGTGTGTGAGTTGCGTGCGCGTGTGTGAGTGGGGTGCGTGTTTGTGTGTGGGGTGAGTGTGTGAGTGGAGTGAGCATGTGTGAGTGGCGTGCGCGTGTGTGACTGGAGTACGCGTGTGTGAGTGGTGTGCGCATGTGTGAGTGGAGTGAGCGTGTGTGAGTAAGGTGTGTGCCCAGATGGGAGCAGATGGTATGTCGAGGGCCCGGTGCGCTCCCAGAGACTCAGTACAGCATTTAGGCTCTGGCCTTGCCTGTAGCCACATCAGGTTCCATCCCCAGTACCTCAGAGTCCCCTCAGACACACCTCCCCAAGTAGTGACCCCTGAGCGCCGGGCCAGGACTTGCTTTGTTTTCTGCACCAGCAACTTCGTAAAGAATGATCGCACCCCCCAAAAGCTCATTTTCCATTTTCTCTCTCAGTTCCTTGGTTTCAAATCCAGTTGCTGTGTAGACATTCCAGAAAGTCAGGATGAGTCTAGAAGGAATTTTGTAGCCGTCCATTTTTCTGTGATAACCCCACGACACATACAGTTTGAAAGCAACACCCCGCCCTTCCCCCCGTCTGCAGTGACCCCCGTCGGTGGCTGCGGGTCAGTGCTGGGGTCCTCCACCACCCCTCAGCGCCCCCCACAGTTTGCCAGTCTGGCTTCTGTTTCTCTTTTCTTTCTTATGGCCAGATTCAGAAGAGATTTTAATTAAACCAACAGAAGAGAGAAAGGTGCCAGTAGATTTTCTTTAATGGGAGAGGTCTCCTACGCAGATGTCCTTTTATTTTTTACAAGTTAAAGAAATTTGTTCGAAATACACATTCAAGAGAGGATGCAGACTTCTCCAGAGAGAGGAGGGCGCCCCCCCAAAGCAGAGGAGAGACCAGCCCTCGCTGGCGCAGGAATGAAGGTGGCCTGGCCTGTCCCTTCAGCTCTTGTTTTGTCCAGTGTCAGGACTCTCTCCTGACAGTGCTCGGGGACCACTCAGGGGTGCCGGGGATGGAGTCCAGGTCGGCCACGTGCCAGGCCAGTGCCTTCATCTCTCTAGCCCCTCGGTTTCTCAACGTAGGACCCTGAACAATTCTGAATCTGCTTTTTGATGTTGACAATTATAACAGATTTTCTCCATGAAATTTTCAAAACCACGTGAACCTCTCTGCTAGTTGTGAAGCAGTGTGCCTACGAAATTCATATATGTATTTTTTTTTTGCAATAGGATCAGTATATTTTCTGCTACCAAGTCATCCTTTACGTTCTGACACGTCTTCAGTCTGAAGAAGAGCAGAGAGAGCATCCGCTGCCCCTGAAATGACGTAGAGCAGACGTCCTCCTGGACCGCTCACCCCTCCCCGCCCCCGCAGACACCCCTGCTCTCTCTCCCAGAGAAAGGCCCAGGGCAGAGATGCAGAGACCACCGCGACCGCCATGCTCCGCTGCCCGGAGGGGCCTCTTCAGAGCAATAAGGAATGTTGGAAGGCTGAATTTTTACAGCTATTTTTAACCAATGATAATTTTTTTTAATGTAACACTAAATAATGCGATATTAAGGGTGGTTTAGACAACGTTTGATTATCACAGACATTATTATACAGACACAGTGCATATATTTTTTAATGTACCAATCCTGTTTATAGCAAAATTCTTTTCCAGTATTTTAATGGAATTCTTTTCTAGGGTATACTTGAAACCAGTATTGAAGCTTTAAATGACAATAATACTGGCATAGAAAAAAGTAGCGGATGTTTACTGTGTGCTAATGTTTACTATCTAGAATTTCCTGTAATATATTTGTATACTTTTTCATGACCGTGGAGCTCTGCGACAGACACGTAACCGCATCCTCTTTCTGCCATGTACCATAACCCTTTGTAAATAAAAGTACACCGAACCCTGCGCGAAGCTCGGTGTGAGCAAACAGACACGGTCAGCGTTTTCTGTGAACACACAGTGATGGCGAGACGGCCGCAGACCCGCCCTGGGGGTCACGGGGTCGGCGGGAAGGCTCGGGTGTGGAGGAACGAGTTCGGGATCTCAGCCTCCCTCTCCATGCCCCTGGGAGTGGTACCAGCCGGTCGGGTCTAGCTGCCGCCTACATCAGCACCTCCAAGTCATCATTGCAGTACACTCACACCAGCTCAGCTGACGGGATGGGGGAGATTATGCCCTTACAAGTCATCATTGCAGCACGCTCTTTCCCGGACTGGGAATGACAGAAGCAGCTCCAGATGCTGGATACTGGGCAGGGAAGTTACCGGAGCGCCGGGTACCAGGAGAAAGTCTCTGGGTGCCCAAAGAAGGGAGAGTTTTGGGACTGGAGTGATAGCACAGCAGGTAGGGCGTTTACCTTGCATGCGGCCGTCCTGGGTTCGAAACCCAGCATCCCATATGGTCCCCTGAGCACTGCCAGGAGTAATTCCTGAGTGCAAAGCCAGGATGAACCCCTGAGCATGGTCAGGTGTGACCCAAAAAGCAAAAAAAAAAAAAAAACAAAGAAGGGAGAGTTTTCCAAAGTCACACACAGACTGCCACTTCTGACTAACTAGGAAGAGCTACGTCTCACACAGCCAGCTCCAGCTTCGAGAAAGTTCTAGACTGTCCTGAACCAGAGCTTGGCTGTTAATCAGGACAGAGGCAATGATGGCTGTTGGGAAGCCGTCCACAGCCAATATCCGCCCGATTCTGCCAGTTCCCACCATTCCTTAGGAACGAACTCCGTGCCAAGCTCTGAAGATCTTCCTGACTCCAGAAGTAGCTGGATTTGTAACCTGATTTGTAAATTGAGTTCGTAATTCACTGATAAGGAGTAATCGAAGGCTGTGTTTAGCTTTGCAGGTTTAGAAACCGGACTTCAGAGACCAGAGAAATAGCACAGCAGGGATGGCCATGGCCTTGCAACTGGGTGACCTGGGTTTGATCCCTGGCACTGCATAAGGTCTCCTGAGCACTGCCAGGAGTGATCTCTGAGCACTAAGCCAGGGGATAGAAGGAAGAAAGGAAAGAAGGGTAGGACAGGGAAGGAAGGAAGGAAGGAAGGAAGGAAGGAAGGAAGGGAGGGAGGGAGGGAGGGAGGGAGGGGAGGTTCTTCCAATCCAGAGAGACTGGCCCTTGTCCAAGAATGCCCACAAAACAGAGCTGGGGTTCAGGTCCAGCTCGGCTGGCCCCCATCGCCAGGACCTCCACTCCCAGTGCAATCTGCCTGCTCACCCTGGCAAAGCCTATGTTCTTGCCACAGTCCCACCCAGACACCTCTTCCAGGCAGGCAGCCAGGCTTGCTTTGCTAAAAACACAGTATCTCAGATCCTGCTTCTGAGCTTCCTAGACATCCCAGACTCTGGGAACTGACCTCTGTTGACCTCCCTTTAGGTCAGTCCGTTCATCGTCTGCTCCCAGAGAGAAAGCCTGTCGTACACCTGCCATTTCTCAGCCTTTTTCCTCACCACGGTCCCCTCCAGATCTCATTTTTGTCCCTGTGTCCTTGTGATTTCTCCCCCTTTTTTTCCATCTTCACCTGCAACCCCTGGTCAAAAACACCGGCCCGGACTCAGCGGCACTGCAAGTCCCCGCAGTTTGCTCCCAGACCCTGGCACTGATGCGTGTGTCTCTCTGCAAGGTCGGCCTTCGTAGAGAATGATCTTCCTGTGGTCCAAACTCAGCACATGCTAATGCCTTCACAACCGGCGTGGGGGTGACCGGTCTGTGTCTGTGTAAAGAACCATCCAGCAGTTTTGGGGTTTTGTTTTGTTTTGTTTTGTTATAATCTACGCGATGCTCAGGGGTTACTCCTACACTCATGAATCGCTCCTGGCAGTGCTCGGGGAACCATATGGGATGCTGGGAATTGAACCTGGATGGGCCGCTGTGCTATTGCTCCAGCCACCCACCTTGTTGTTGTTGCTGTTGTTGCTGTTGTTGTTGTTTTGCTTTTTAGGTCACACCCAGCGATGCTCAGGGGTTGCTCCTGGTTCTACACTCAGAAATCACTCCTGGCGGTATTCGGGGGATCATATGGGATGCTGGGAATCGAACCCGGGTTGGCTGCGTGCAAGGCCAATGCCCTACCCATTGTGCTATCACTCCAGCCAACCAGCAATTCTTTCAAACTCATGGGGAAGCTCATTTTAGACCTGGATTCTCTGTTGACGTACAACTCTACAATGCTTTTATTACACTGATCTCTCCACCACAAGATTATAAACCAAGAGGGCAGGGTCTGAGCCCCGGACAGCAGGGGCTCAACTTCTCAGCAGAGAGACATCTTGGCAGATGCCTGGGACCCTCAAGGAGAAAGAAAGCAGCTGAGAACCAGCAACACGTTCACAAGTCATGTCACATGTTCTTTCTGCATAAAAGTGTTTCTGACACCAAGGTTTAGGGGGTTCTTTCTATCTTACTCCAAAGGGAGTCTTGATTATTATTATTTTTTCAATTAATTACAAGCATTAACATTCTATTAACCCACAGTACTTGGAAATACAGAACGTCTGAAAACATTTGCAATCTTAGATGGCCTCACACATTCCAAACCTACAAGTTAAGACAGAACCCTGACAAAACCACATCGTTGGAGAGTGAGTTGTTAAAGCTGTATCTTGAATCAATAAAAAAATAAATGATTTAATACAATTATGCTGGGACAGTTCATTAAGGCTGAGAATTGGATTCTAAGTACATCAGACAGAAAAGTTAATTCAAAGTGAAGCAAATCTGGACCCCTTTCGGCCCATGAGGAAACATACGGGAACTATTTTGGTGATGTCAGAGGGAAACGGCCCGGACCTCACCTATGGGAGCCACCAGGCCAACTCCTCGGAAGGGGCCAACTGCACCATCAAAACGGGATCCTCTCCCGACTCATACTGAACAATAAATATTCTAACATTTGGAAACTATCAAGGTAATTTTCAGAGACTAATAACACTGTATATTGATATATATGTACAAACAAAATTTCTCTATAGCAAAGACATTAGAGAAAAAAACAAGAGGGAAAAGGTGAGTTCTTTCAAACATAGAACAAAGTCATCGTAATTGTTCAAATGTGTCCCACCAAAAGGACAAAAAGGCAACCGAAAAACGTGCAGAGAATACGATGGCTCTGAAAAATACTTCACTCTTCATTTTCCATCATTTCCTAGGGCAGAATCGATTCTCTGGCTCACGCGGCAGGAAGCTGCTGCTCTGAGGTGCCCTGCACCAAGGTCACAGAGCTCCATCTGCCCAGCGCCCTCCTGGGTCATGGGAGGCACAGGCAGTGGCCCTGCAGCTATGCTGACCCAGTCCTGTCTGTCCGGAGCACTGTGAGACGGGGCAGCTGAGCACTCTCTGGCCATGCCGAAGGGAAGGAAAGAAAACGCCCGCCTTCCCTGGGCATGATGGAGGGCTTCTGTGGAGTCTCTAGTTCTAGGGAGTGAGGTAGGTCCAAGGATGCTTCATAGTATGGCAGGAGACGGCTGTGGGGTGACCTCAGTGTTTGGAAAACAGGACAGCACAAACACCTCTATTACAGGGAGGCCCCGCTTGCCTCGGGGAGCGGACTGCAGGCATTCACCTTTCGACCTGGAGTGTTCCTTGGACTCCACCCAAGCCTGGATTATCACATTGAAAATCCAAAAGGGTTTCAGTCCTTGGGATACAACCATCATTCCAGAAAGGACCCGCCTTTTTTTTTTTTTTTTTTACATCAGAGCGGCAAGATTCCTTTGCCTCACAGAGCCAAGGTCTGGAAGCTCAGCCTCTGCCAAGCCTCTGTTCTTGCCCCAGACCGGGAGGTAATGAGCACTCAAGGCCGAGCCCTAACCCCAGGCAGATTCAACTGACCCAGATGACAAGTCAACAGGGCGGTCCATCTGCACTGCAAGGAAAGACAAGAACAGAGGTGACAAAACGTGATCTGTGTATCCCACCCGCCCCCCTAAATACTCCAGAAAATACTCAAAGTGCATCTCGAAGCCACACACACACACACAAAATATATATATATAGTCTAACAGTATGACTCACTGTCACGCAGGCTCTGCCCCCAAAGCTCATGCACCCACGTGACCCTATCTCTGCTGGTCCCTGTGCCTCAGGGCTGCTCAGACTTGGTTCCCCCGTGCTACTAGGGAGCCCCCCAGATTTCCATGCCCCCCCGACAGGCCAGGAGTCCCAGGAGTGTCTTCATTCACTTCCAAGAACGCACTGGTCTCCTTGGGAGGAGAGGGCTGTTTCTCGTCATGCCCTTCCACACACTCTGTCTTCTGTTCCCTGTGTTTGCTCTTCCGTCTCCTCTCATACAGCTGGTACGCTGGGAGTGAACAGACAGAATTGAAAAATCACTTTAGCAAAGACCATCATATGGGGCATCGTGTGTGCTGATACTTTAGAAAGACTTTTTCCTTTGAGTCCTACACGTACAAATATAGGGAAGAGAAAGAAAGTACATGGCGTAGCAAAGCGACTCTTCCTACTTGGCAGTGGGCATTTGTCACTGAGATTCATCCCACAAGTTTACCCACTCACTTACAGATGGCTCAACCATTCACACCCAGGGAATATCAGTCAGTAAACATACCACCCCACGAGAAGGAATCCAAAGTTGGACCAAAGCTTGGGTGTTTTATTCTGCTAGGGTATCTTTGAGCAGAACATTCAAACCCACATATTCTTTGGTTGATTGGTAGATCATGAATCGGTTTATAAAAATCAGTAATCTGCAATCAGTTCCACAGTAGTCATTGCAGGCCTCCTTACTCAGAAGATGTTCCCTGATAACATTTTAAACTTACAGTGACCCAAGAGTCTAAAGGATTCGTGTGCACGCCCCAGCAGCTGTGATGTATTTCACTGCTGCGAATGATTCAGCCCAAATCTCAGAAGGATTGTGAGCTCCCTGGGCAATTGGAAGGCCTCAGTGTTCTGCAGAAAGAGATCAAAGGCTGCTTTTTAGAAATTGGAGAGCCCATGGAGATATTTAGTGGTGCCAGAACCCAAAATTCTAAGTACACTGTTTTCTGTAGAGTGTTTGCTTAGGAACTTCCTTTTACATGTCTTCTGCTTTTCCCTGAAACTTCCATGAAAGGCAAAAGGACCCCCACACACACACTCACCACCTGCCAAACACACACACACACACACACACACACACACACACACACACACACACTTTATTTTCCACAGAATGTAGTTGAATCCGACTGGGAAAGGAGCCAGTCGGTCATTTAGGTCAACAATGTTCAATCTGCCCAACGGGTCCTGTACCCACCTGCGATAATGATGAACCCATCCAGCAGCTGGAAGAGGCCATAGGCCAGTGGGAAGCAAAGCATATGGACCAACTGATCAGCGGCGAAGGATAACTGCAGCACGGTGACACACATCTGAATATTCTGAGCTCCGGTTTCTAAGGAAATCGTCCTGCACCTACCAATGAAAAACAACTGTCCAAGTTAATACTGGGACGATGCTTACATTTTCCATAAGGACTACTTCTTTAATTTTCTCCAATCTAGATCAGTGAGTGGCCAGAGTGATCTAGTACGGCAGACAGGGCATTTGCCTTGCATACAGCCAACTCGGGTTCAATCCCTGGCACCTTATAGCATCCCCAGAGCACCGCCAGGAGTAATTCCTGAGTGCAGAGCCAAGAGTCACCTCTGAGCATTGCCAGGGGTGAAAAGCAAAAAAAATAATAATAATTAAAAATAAACAAACAATAAGAGAAGGAACACATGGAGGGTGCGGGATCCCGGAGGAAAAGAAAAAAGAAAAAACAGGTTCCAAAAAGAGCCGAGAGCACCGGCAAGTTCCAGATGGAGTAGGCGCCGCATCCCGCCTCCCCCAGATGGAACCCTGGTGACCAGAAGCCTCTACAAACACAGCTCGAGTATGCGGGAACGAGGACTTTTTCTCAAAACCGCGCGGCCGCTTATGCGGCCTCGCGACATCTCTCTATATACAAAGTGATCAATGAGAAGTAAACCACCCAATCTTTCTCCCTGAAAATCAGAGTTAAGTTTGGAGCATGGCCACAGCCCCAGAAACACAAGGACTTAATGCAGAAACCAGCAGCTTAGAGCAGAAAAGTGAACGGACGATGAGTTAACCCAGGCCATCATTTCTGCCCAGAGGGGAAAGGGTGTTGCCCCATTCGCCCTCTCTTCTCTGGAAAGAAGGATGGCGGCCGCATGGGAGCCTTGTGGACAGCAGGTATGAGCCGGGGGTGTGGGGGCGACTAAAACCTCATGGGAAGGGGGGCGTTCTGGTCCGTCCTTCACGCCCTACCGAGGTCACCAGTTGCCCCCCACGAGCGGCTCTCCAGCACAGCCACGGCCCCAGAAGCACAAGGACTTAATGCAGAACCCAGCAGCTTGGAGCAGAAAAGTGAACGGACTATGCATTGATCCAGCCCATCAAGTCTGCCGGAGGGGAAAGGGTGTTGCCCCATTCGCCCTCTCCTCTCTGGAAAGAAAGATGGCGGCCACATGGGAGCCTTGTGGACAGCAGGTATGAGCCGGGAGTGTGGGGGCGACTAAAACCTCATGGGAAGGGGGGCGTTCCGGTCCGTCCTTCACGCCCTACCGAGGTCACCAGTTGCCCCCCACGAGCGGCTCTCCAGCACGGCCACAGCCCCAGAAGCACAAGGGCTTAATGCAGAACCCAGCAGCTTGGAGCAGAAAAGTGAACGGACTATGCATTGATCCAGGCCATCAAGTCTGCCGGAGGGGAAAGGGTGTTGCCCCATTCGCCCTCTCCTCTTTGGAAAGAAAGATGGCGGCCACATGGGAGCCTTGTGGACAGCAGGTATGAGCCGGGAGTGTGGGGGCGTCTAAAACCTCATGGGAAGGGGGGCGTTTCGGTCCACCCTTCACGCCCTACCGAGGCCACCAGTTGCCCCCACGAGCGGCTCTCCAGCACGGCCACAGCCCCAGAAGCACAATGACCTAATGCAGAACCCAGCAGCTTGGAGCAGAAAAGTGAAAGGACTATGCGTTAATCCAGGCAATCATTTCTGCCCAGAGGGGAAAGGGTGTTGCTCCCTTCCGCCCTCCTCCCTCTGGAAAGAAAGATGGCGGCCACATGGGAGCCTTGTGGACAGCAGGTATGAGCCGGGGGTGTGGGGGCGACTAAAACCTCATGGGAAGGGGGCGTTCTGGTCCGTCCTTCACGCCCTACCGAGGTCACCAGTTGCCCCCCGCGAGTGGCTCTCCAGCACGGCCACGGCCCCAGAAGCACAAGAACTTAATGCAGAACCCAGCAGCTTGGAGCAGAAAAGTGAACAGACTCTGCATTGATCCAGGCCATCAAGTCTGCCGGAGGGGAAAGGGTGTTGCCCCATTCGCCCTCTCCTCTCTGGAAAGAAAGATGGTGGCCACATGGGAGCCTTGTGGACAGCAGGTATGAGCCGGGAGTGTGGGGGCGACTAAAACCTCATGGGAAGGGGGGCGTTTCGGTCCGCCCTTCACGCCCTACCGAGGCCACCGGTTGCCCCCCGCGAGCGGCTCTCCAGCACGGCCAGGACTCCAGAACACAGAAACCAATTTCTTAACTATCTGACTTTCAGTAGAAATGCTTCCAGGGTCAATAGGTAAAAGAGCAGAAATCCAAAACCAACATTTAATTCTTGAACCCAGCCGTAGAAAGCAAATCACTTCACAATGCTTTTTCAGCATGTCTGATTTTGGGGGGGGGGGGGTAAACTCTAAATAATAGTGGTGAATCTTTTATTGAAACAATGAATCTAATCAAAGCAGATAGAGTGTTAACTAGAATTCATCTGCTTCACAGGGACGGGGAGGGGTGGGGGGTGGGGTTTTATTGGGGTTCTTCATGGTAAAAAATAAGTATTGGTAAAGGGAAATGTGTTTGATATTTGCATGACTGAGACATAAACCTGAAAGCTTTGTAACCTTTCCCACAGTGATTCAATAAATAAATTTAAAAAAAATAAAATAAAATAAAATAAAAAAACAAATAAATAAGCAAACTATGTGCTTAGATCACTAAAAAAAAATGTTTGTTTTAAGTAGTAAATATTTTGGACCAGGAGATAAGGCCCTTGTGAAGGTCAGCCTTCACACACTGACCCAAGTTCAAATCCCTGCACTACACAGGGCCCCTGAGTACTTCCAGGTGTGACACCCCTCAGTACAGAGGCAGGAGTAAGCCTTGAGCACACCCTCCCAGCCACCCACCCCCAGTGTGGGTCAAAAATAACCACGCATTCAGAAGTTCATCTAGGTAAAGGTAAAAGGTAAAGGCCCTCCCGTTGATCATCGATTTGCTCGAGCGGGCCCAGTAACGTCTCCATTGGAGACTTTGTTGTTACTGTGTTTGGCATATCGAATACTCTCGGTAGCTTGCCGGGCTCTCCGAGAGGGGCGGAGGAATCGAACTCGGGTTGGCCATGTTGGCTGCGTGCAAGGCAAACGCCCTACCGCTGTGCTATCGCTCCAGAAGTTCATCTGTTCCATAGATATTTGCCAAGTGCCTACTCTGAAACTAAAATTACTCTTAATCCTATTATCCAAAATTAAACACTCAGCATTCAGCCTGCTTCTTCTGGAATTTTTTTTTTGGGGGGGGGACTTGGGCAGGGAATACAGCTGGCAATAGTCAGGGGTTACTCCTACCTCTGCATTCAGTGGTCACTCCTGTCTGGGTTCAGGGATCCTGGGGATCGAACCCGGGTCAGCCACATGCAAGGCAAGTGCCCTCCGCACTGTAGTATCACTCCAGGCCCTCTTCTGGTGTGTTGTTCTGAGAGAGACACGTCAGGGCAGCTCAATGCCAGACCCGTGCCAGGAGACCAGGGGGAGTAAACACAGGAGAGACCCCATGACCATGGATAGAGGGCTCTGGCCTGCTGTGGGAATTCAGACTCGTGACCAATGTGGTCCAGAAGGTTCCACAGGTCAAGAGTGAGATCCAACAGCAGAAGGAGTGCAGGGGGCATTTCCCACGGGCGCAGTCATTGGAACCAACATTTAGGAGATGCGGCATGTGCTATTTTACCTGCAGGAGGTGGAATGATGAAGGACAGGAGAGAGGGGTGAGCTGAGGCAGAGAAATGAGGCACAATGTATTCAAAGAGATATAAAAACCCAAAATGAATGGGGCTGGAGCAATCGCACAGCGGGGAGGGTGTTTGCCTTGCATGCGGCCGACCCCGGTTCGATTCCCAGCATCCCATATGGTCCCCCGAGCACCGCCAGGAGTCATTCCTGAGTGAAGATGCAGGAGGAACTCCTGTGCACTGCCAGGTATGACCCAAAAGATTAAAAAAAAAAAGCCAAAATGAAAACAAAACATCCACGTTTCTCTCCTTGTGGAAAGGGTGTTGTGCGTCTTTATGATTTTTTTCTCTGTAACTTATTGTTGCTGTCATGTGAAAAGGGGAAAGGCGGGAAAGAGCAAACCCAGACTCAGAGGAGATCTTGGGGGCTGGCTCAGGTGGCTTCATTTAAGCCCGGCTGGCCCGACTGTAGAGATGGAAAAGCGAGAAAGGAATATGACATCTCAGCACACAAGCCAGCGGCTCCCAGGATGAAAGGCATCGCATGCAGGAGACCTGGGTTCGGGCCACTGAGCAGAGCTGAGAGTCAGTGCTTAGTTCCTTTCTCTCACCTCCTTGCTGGTTCCAGATCTCCGGCAGGGTCACAGTGACAAGCCCCCTCCCGACCCGTCACAAGGCAAACCCACAAGCCCAGTCCTGATCTTCCTCAGACCCTGGGGTGGGTAGGAACCAGGAGAGCTGAGGACACTTGGCTGCCCCGAGACGTTCTGTGGAGATCCAACTGTGCTTCAACCCCCGTCTGGTTTCCTCATGCCATAAAGATAAGCCCGTGTCAGATGCTCACTGTGCCCTAGTGACGTGAGTTGGTTCCGGTGCTCTGGAGGGGTTGCCCTCGTGAGCAGAGGCTACTGATGGTATCAAGAGCGCAGGCCGGGAGGAGAGTCACCGAGATGCACCGGCCCAAGCTCGCCTCTGCCCATCACATGCTCCAGTGTTCCCAAAAGTCCAGAGCAGCTGAGGCCCCGGGGGATTTCTCCAGCGGCGCCTTTGCAACGCCCCGGCTGCCTTGGGGTCTCCTCTGCTCTTTCCGGATTGCAGAAGCAGCTGACCCTCCTGGACAAACTTGGACAAGGCACCAGGGCAAATGACCTTCCCCTCTCGGTGCAGCTGCTGTTGCCAGGACCAGGGGGCCTCACACTCTTCACCTGCATGGTGCTGGAGATCACACTGGCTTTGGCGTCCCGGCTCCCAAAGGCAGTGCCCACAGGATGGCACTCAGGGCATGACCTTTGACCTTACTCCAAGGCAAGGGCTCTGCCAACAGGGCTACACTGACGCCCACCAGACTAAAACCATTCTGAATTACTCTGTTCAAAACGAACACCAGAGGATGAGAGATCTAGCACAGGGGCAAGGCGCCCGCCTGGTGCAGAACTGACCCAGGTGTGATTCCCAACACCAGCCCTGAGCACAGAGTCAGGAGTAAGCCCTGAGTACCACTAATGGTGACCCTGAGCACAGAGCCAGGAATAAGCCCTGAGTACCACTGAGTCTGGCCCTGAGCACAGAGTCAGGAGTAAGCCCTGAGTACCACTAATGGTGACCCTGAGCACAGAGCCAGGAATAAGCCCTGAGTACCACTGAGTCTGGCCCTGAGCACAGAGTCAGGAGTAAGCCCTGAGTACCACTAATGGTGACCCTGAGCACAGAGCCAGGAATAAGCCCTGAGTACCACTGAGTCTGGCCCTGAGCACAGAGTCAGGAGTAAGCCCTGAATACCACTGACAGCGACCCTGGGCACAGAGCCAGGAGTAAGCCCTGAGTACCACTGAGTCTGGCCCTGAGCACAGAGTCAGGAGTAAGCCCTGAATACCACTAACAGTGACCCTGGGCACAGAGCCAGGAGTAAGCCCTGAGTACCACTGAGTCTGGCCCTGAGCACAGAGTCAGGAGTAAGCCCTGAATACCACTAACAGTGACCCTGGGCACAGAGCTAGAAGTAAGCCCTGAGTACCACTAATGGTGACCCTGAGCACAGAGTCAGGAGTAAGCCCTGACTACCAGTAACAGTGACCCTGAGCACAGAGTCAGGAGTAAGCCCTGAGTACCACTGAGTGTGGCCCTGAGCACAGAGCCAGGAGTAAGCACTGAGGACCACTGAGTATGACCCACACACACAAATACAAAAAGACCCACTATTAACTTGTGATGTATTTCTTCTAGCTTTTTCCCCAAGAAATCTTTCCTATTTTAACAAAATAGAAATCAGAATGCATGCCATTTTCACTGCTCTTTCTAAAATTTAGACTTAGTCGGGTTTGCAAAATCAGCCACGTGCCAGGCAAGTGCCCTGCCCTGCGCTACCTCTCTGGGCCCCTCCTTCAAGGGCGTATGGGTCGTGTGATGGTACCTCTGCCAGGACTGGCGGGCAAGAAGAGCCAGCAGGAAGCCCGCAGCGTGGCCGATCAGAGGGAAGAGGAAGCTGATGGTCAGGAGGGTGAGGTCGGAGTTCCAAGATCCTTTCGCCAGCACCACGCCGGCAACGGCGACCACCAAGAGCAGGAGCCCACCAGCCACGGCCCCGATCTAAACAAACCAACACAAGAAGGGCGGATCAGCAGGAGGCTCCATCTCTTCCAGGTGCAGTTCCTGCCCTGCAGGCTGGCATCTAACCGGGCAGGTGGAGGAAGACAGAGACCAATGAACCCAGCTTCGCCACCACCAGGAAACCAGCATCACTGAGGGCTGAGGGGCTGGGCTGGGCCAGAAATTGAGAGGCACAACGCAAGTGTAGGCTTTGGGGGACTGAGTCTGGGTGAACGGCGCAGTAACGTGAGGCCGTTGCTGGCGGTCACGGGGGTCTCAGAAGCAGACCGGTGAAGCAACTTCTGGGCCTCTTTGCAGCTGCCTGTTTTCCTCACCAAGGCTAGTGTTGTCCAACTCAACCAGAGCTAGATGAACAGGTGTTTGGGGTTCTGGGCTCCATGGTAGGACTGGGGAACTGAGTCATTTTGGACATCGCTTCAGCAACTGAAGAGCTTTGAAAGTTCCAGGTGCCCTTGGCCGAGTTCACAGAGTCGCTAAGGGAATGGTAAACACGGGGGTGCTCACTTATCTTTTAAGTGAGAACAAAAACCTAAGAATGTGGAGGAGAACTGCAGTGCCTTGAGTTCTTTTGGCAACTCAGGTCTAGGAGCCGTTGTCTGTGAGGACTGCGGGGCTTTGGGCAACCCCGTGCCTCCTGCGTCAGTAACGTCATTAGTGCAGCTTTGCCGTTTTCCCTGCCTCACCCTTCCCTGACCCGTCCCAGGACACAGGACAAGAAAGTGATGTTTAAAAGTCTGCTGTTAAGGTTATGTAAAGAAAGAAATAGGAAAGGAGGAGGGAGGGAGGGGAGAGGGAAGGGAAGGAGGGAGAGAGACGGAGGGGAGAGGAGGGAAGGAGATAGGGAGGGAGAAAGGGGAGGGGTGGGGAAGGGAAGAGAGGAGTGGAGAGAGGAGGAGAAAGAAAGAAGGGAGGGAGGGAGGGAGGGAGGGAGGGAGGGAGGGAGGGAGGGAGGGAGGGAGGGAGAGAAGAAGAGAAGGAGGGAAGGAAGGTAGGAGAGACTGGTGAAGGGATTGATGCTAGAACATTGTACATCTGAAATGAATCATTGAATAACTTTGCAACTTTGAAATTCATGGTGATTCAATTAAGTGTGTGTGTGTGTGTGTGTGTGTGTGTGTGTGTGTGTGTGTGTGTAGAATAACAAACTCTTTGCATTTCTGTAAACACTTTGTCTCTTCTTCCAGTACAGAGCAGTTGGCCAGAAAGGACCAGGTCAATTTACCTTTTTCACACATAGGCCAAGACCTTTAAATAAGTTCTATTCCAAGAAACACCCAGTCCCCTAAACACATGGGGGGCCTGGACTGAGACCCCCCCTGTCTGACCAGCTGCCATGCCAGCCTTCCAACCATCAGCGTCACCTCACTCCTTGGCTCACGTGCTTCTAGGGACGGGAGCTCAGGAGCATGGCAGACAGCCTGAGATGACGTTGAGGAAATGTTAACGTCATTCCCCTTGGTCCTACCAAAGGGAAATACCAGTGGAGCCCTCAGCTCTCCTGGATCCTGCTCTCACTTATGCTTGTTCAACAGAAGACAGAAAATTAACCCCCAAAATGTCTTATGCTTTGATGTCTGGATCAGACAGGAGGAAATCCAGAATATTGGGGGGAAGTTAGCAGGAAGACAACCAACATGGAACAGTGAGAGCTTCCGCCGCCTTTGAAATGACTCGGGCCATGACGGAAGGTGTCAGAAGAACCAGAGCAATGCAGCCCAGGTCAGCACAGGTAGGAGCACACGTGGGCAGGCTTCTACTGCTCAGATGCAGGGGAAGGGGGAGTCCCCGTGAGAGAAGCTTCTAGAAGCTTCACACAAAAGGCACTGATTGGTCCAAGTCCCTGTTCTGGGTTCTGCCCAAAGGGATTTCAAAGCTTTAAAATTCACCAGGAGCATTCAGAAAAAGCATCAGCTCTAAAATCAAAAGAGACGATGGAACCAGCCGAAACAGAGATGAGATTATCTCAGGGTTTTACTAGAGCTCTGGAGAATATCCATGTATCTCAGCGTTTGCTGCGGCAAGTCCTGCAGAATAGCGAAGGAAAAAACCGAAGTTTTGCTACTGTTTCCCAACACTTTTGACGCCTTCGATGGAGCCCAGGCTTCACACAAGCAAAACGTGCTTCACCACTGGGTGACCCCAGTCCCAGGAACGAGGTTTGACCTTTGCTCTTTACACGCTGGGGAGCTGCTCCCAGAGCCTGATTGTGCTTCTCATCCACGCAGGTAGCCTGAGGCAATGCCCGCAGGACACGGTCCTGATCGCCACTGAGCAGGCACCAAACATAAGCAAACAGGGGCTAGGAAGACAGTACAGCAGTCGGGGCACTTGCCTTGCATGCTGCCAACTGGTGTTTGATCCCTGACACCCCAGAAAAAAACCTGAACTCCTCCACATCTGCAGGATCTATAAGATCTAGTTTCTACGGGATCCATTGATTCTATGGGATCTGCAAAATCTATAAAATCTACAGTTTCTATAAGATCCATTGTTTCTGTAAGATCTGCAGCATCTATAAGATCTAGGTTCCATGGGATCCATTGATTCTAAGGGATCTGCAGGATCTATAAAATCTATAGTTTCTTTAAGATCCATTGGTTCTATAAGATCTGCAGCATCTATAAGATCCACAGTTTCTATTGGATCCATTGATTCTATAGGATCTGCAGGATATATCAGATCTAGTTTCTACGGGATCCATTGATTCTAAGGGATCTGCAGAATCTATAAAAATCTACAGTTTCTATAAGATCCATTGTTTCTATAAGATCTGCAGCATCTATAAGATCTAGGTTCCATGGGATCCATTGATTCTAAGGGATCTGCAGGATCTATAAAACCTATAGTTTCTTTAAGATCCATTGGTTCTATAAGATCTGCAAGATCTATAAGATCTAGTTTCTATGGGATTCATTGATTCTATAGGATCTGCAGGATCTATAAAATCTACAGTTTCTTTAAGATCCATTGGTTCTATAAGATCTGCAGCATCTATAAGATCTAGTTTCTATGGGATTCATTGATTCTATAGGATCTGCAGGATCTATCAGATCTAGTTACTATGGGATCTATTGGTTCTATAGGACCTGCAGGATCTATAAGATCTACACTTTCTATAGCGTATACAGGTTCTAAAGGTTGTATAGGATCTATAAGCACTAAATATTCTACAGAGCCAACAGGATCTCTAGGTTCTGTAGGATCTACAAGATCTCCAGGCTCCACAGAATCTGCAGGATCTACAGGTCCCACAGCATCAACAGGGGTGACAGAACAGGACTCAGAAATGGAGTTTGGATCCTAAGACAGTACGAGCCGCCATCTCCTGCCTGCTGGTCCCGGGAGGTCTCCCGGCGTGTGTCTCAGGGCACTCGCTGCCGTGAGCAGCTGCTTACCTTGAGAATGATCTTGGATTGCTTTGGCCATCTGTAATTCACGTAGACACCAAGAGCCACAGGAACCGTCAGGCACACAAGAGTTATTCCTGAGGGAAAGAAAGCTCATCAACAGAAGCGCCCTTGCCCTGACTTCCGGTCCTCCCCGTTCCTCTCCAGCAGGGCAGCACACAGTGAGAGCTCCGTTCCTCTCTGCAGCCAGGCACAAGGCAGTACCTGAGGACAGTGGGCAGGGGTCCCCTGTTCCACCCAGCAGTGGTCGGGGTGGCCTCCAAGGTGCTGGGCGCAGGGGGATCAGGTATTGCACTGGGCTAGCCATGAGCAAGGCAAGCGCCTCCCCTGAGACTGTCTCTTCACCCATGCTGCTACGAAACACCCCGTCCCTGGCATCAGTTTCCTCTCAAAATCCCTTGGTAAACACAGGGGACTTTAAAGAGAGGCCAAGGCAGAAAGACGAGGACCCAAGCATCCCTTTCTGTGCCTGTCACGTTTATGGCTGTCCAGAGACACCGCTCTGCGATCACTGCCGATATGGCCCTCTAGCTACGAAAAAATAATACCAATATCGACATAGAAACTGCCCTCAGAGGCTGAGGAGGCCGTACAGCAGGCAGGGCGCCTCCTTGCACGCAGCTGGCCCAGGCTCAATCCCCAGACCCCATAGGGTCCCCCAAGTCATCCAGGAGTGACCCCTGAGCACAGAGCCAGGAGTAAGCTCTGAGAAACACCCCCAGAAAAGCTGCCTTCAGTACCCAGAACACTGTCTCATATACTCATATACGTCCAGGCCTCCCTAGCCTTCCCCGGGAGGGGATGAGAATGCCCTTCACACTAGCAGACGTGATGAGTCTCTGGGCAGGGGGGACAGGAGCCCATCTGCCCGTTGGCCCACACAGATATTGAGGGTCTCTCCCGCCAAACCCCTCAACACTGGCTCAGACAGAAGACAGGACTAGCACTTCCGGGTTTTAAGTATTTACAAGTACCTTTCAGAAATCCTGGATGGGGAAACATTGCAGTACAGGGGGATGCTCAGACCATCGGCTTGACCCCAGTGTTTAGAGGAGACAGACTGAGAAGGAAAGAAATCAAGGAGAGAAGAGAACGAGCAGAAATGGGCAAACGGATTCTGGGGCTTCAGCCACACCCCGAAGGAGTCTCCCGAGAAAACATGGGATCTAAGTGGCAACCAATAAAACTCCGTAATGTGCCTATCAAGGTAACAGGCAGGGAGGGATCTGGGAACACTGGTGGGGAGAAGTTGACACTGGTGGAGGGACTGGTGTTAAACTGTATGTCTGAAACTCAACTATCACGAGTTTGTAAGTCATGTTTCTCTAATTGGGCTGGAGTGATAGCACAGCGGTAGGACGTTTGCCTTGCATGCAGCCAGCCTGGCCGAGCCAGGTTCGATTCTTCCGCCCCTCTCGGAGAGCCTGGCAAGCTGCCGAGAGTATTCGATATGCCAAACACAGTAACAACAAGTCTCTCAATGGAGACGTTACTGGGCCTGCTCGAGCAAATCAATGAACAACGGGAGGACAGTGTTTGTTTTGTTTTGCTTCTCTAATTATTTTTTAAGTACCTTTCAGAAAATATCAACAGCCTGTCTAACAACACTGATCAGGAAAAGTCACACCTAGATCACAACTTCTAAATTAACTCTGAGTTTTCTAAGTCTTACTCCCATCTTACACCTTCCATGGACTCCGCCATGAGCAGGAGACAGGCTTTCCAAGGGTTTGAACCCACCCAGAGGACAGAGGCTTGTAAACCTCCGAATCCTGGGGCCTTCGGATAGGCACGAGAGTTTCGAGAATCATCGTTTCTACCAATTCTCCAAAGACTTGTAACTAGGACAGATTGTTTCAGCTTATTTTCTTCCCAGCCTGAAACAACTCCATCGACCCGTAGGGAAGGGCAGGGTTCCGTGTAAAACATGGAAGGCGAGCATAGCAGAGCTACAGGGCAGAGGGGAGTGCTGGGTGCACCAGAAACACCCCTACACGCCCACTCTGTTGAGTCCCACAGAAGCCATGGCTCACTGACCACGTGAGAGGTGGGGCCGTGGCCACTAGGTTCTAATTAAAACCACTGGCGTCAAGCGAACCTGGGCATCAGAAAGTGTCCGACTGCTTCAGAGACAACTATCCAGGGCCATACCTCCAGGGGGGTGATGGGGTGGTAGACCACTCCCAGCAGTACCCAGGGCTGACTCCTGGCTCTGCGCTCAGTGACCACTCCTGGAGGTGCTTGGGGCACCATCCACGGTGCCAGGGATCAAACCAGGGTTCACCACATGGAAGGCAAACGTCTTAACCCCTGTTCTATCTCTCCACCCTTTAGTTAAATGATTTAAACTCTCTCATGCTGAAAACCTAGAAAGTAGTCGACTCTATTCTGTAGATGAAAAAGTAATAGTCTGAGCTGCATAGAAAGTAGGAAGGATGGGGCTGGAGTGATAGCACAGCGGGTAGGGCGTGTGCCTTGCCATGCAGCCAACCCAGGTTCGATTCCCAGCATCCCACATGGTCCCCCGAGCACTGCCAGGAGTAATTCCTGAGTGCATGAGCCAGGAGTGACCCCAAAAAAGCAAAAGAAAGAAAGTAGGAAGGAAGAACATCCCCTGGCATGAGCACCCCCAGCGCCGCTGCAGTTCCTCGAACGGTACAGACCTATGTTCTGGTAGGGCACGGTGAGGCTCCTGCCCAGCTCCCAGGACCAGGTGTAGAGGTAGAGACACAGCGGCATCATCCCCAGCGCGGCCACGGTGGAGCAGGTCGTCATGCTGATGCTGCAAGCAGAGCAGAGCCGGGCTTGAGGGGGAAGATCTGGGAGCGCGCGTCGGGGGACGTGTGGAACCTTCAACAGCAACCCGGGCTGCGGCTGCCTAGAGTCACGTGGGCTAGTCCCGGCGATGTCCGTGTTTTCTGTATAGTCGCCAGATCACACTTCAACTGGCACTGGCTGCTTCTAGAGGATTTTCCTCCCCCCCCCCCCCCCACCCCGCCCCTGTGCCCATGAAGCTATCACTCACTGTTTCATGGTTCTGTGGAGTCTTCTTTCCCAATCCATCTGGGTTTTAGCACGCATCATTACTCTGCTCCTTCGGGGTGCGGGGGCAGCAAAGAACGGGGGTCCCACCCCGGGCTGCTTGGTCACCTCAACTCAGTGCATTGGGGTAACACCCTGGGGTGCTTGGTCACTCCCAGCTCAGCACACGGGGATCCCACCAGAGGTGCTTGGTTGCTCCCAGCTCAGTGCACGGGGGTCCCACCCAGGGGTGCTTGGTTACTCCCAACTCAGCGCATTGAGGTCCCACCCAGGGGTGCTTGGTCACTCCCAGCTCAGCACACGGGGGTCCCACCAGGGGTGCTTGATTGCTCCCAGCTCAGCGCATGGGGGTCCCACCAGGGGGCCTTGGTCACCCCCAGCTCTTGCAGAGGGACACCTGCTCCAGCAGTGCTGGGGGTCCAAGCGGGCCTCCCGCAGGCAAGCCCCGCACTCAGACCCGGACCTCCAGCCTCAGCTCTGTCGCCGAACCCCTTCCATTGTACAGATATGCCGCGCTCTGTCTGTCCACTGCAGTCCCTTGAGTGCATCCACTTCAGGGCCAAGGTGAACAGGGCTGCTACGAGGCCCGAACAGTTTCTTCTGTTCTCTGGCTAGACACCCGCCCCCCGCTCCCCCAGGGTGGACTGACCGTGCAGTTACTGCCTATCTAGAAGCTTCACTCTAGCTTCAGCTTGTATTGGTTTAGGGGCTGTTTTTGGCACCTGGGATTGAACCCAGAGTCTCAGACACGCGGGGCATGAGCTTTGTCACTGACTCATCCCCTCTGCGTTTAACTTGGGAGTTCCAGACTGTTCTCCCTCCCCAAGGTTCCAATCCCTCGAGAGCCCAACAACTCCCCGTATGTTTTTCACTGTCAACTATCCAGTGAGTGCCACCGAAAGAGGCGCCTGAGGCTGTTATGCTGATGACTGGGGTCCTGGCACCACCAGTCATCAGCCCTCTTCCTCAGGAGACCCTACAGCAGCACGGCAGCCCACACAAGGCTTTGTTACTCTCTGCCCTAAGAAGGTTTGTACTCTGGGCAAAGCCGCCCTGACCTGCTGACTTCACATTCCTCGTGCTCCCCCATTGCTGACCTGAACGCAGAGAGGAACTCCATGGGGAGAGATTGGTGCCACCTTCCAAACTCCACACCTGCAGTGTCCACCCTCTGACCCAGCAGCTCAACTGCCAGGAACCATCCCAAAGACGCACCATCCAAAGGACGAAAAGACGGGGGCTGGAGGGGAAAAGGCAGCTCAGCTAGAAAAGGGAGCACCAAATGTAGGGTGTTGGGAGGATCCTCCCAGGATGGGAGAAGCATGCTGAAAGTAGACTATACACCAAACATGATTGCCACCCACTGCCTCTTTTGCAAACCACAACACCCAATAAGAGAGAGAGAGAACAAAAGGGAATGCCCTGTCACAGAGGCAGGGTGGGATGGGGGAGAGGGGGTGGGAGGGATGCTGGAACCCGTGGTGGTGGAGAATGGGCACTGGAGGAGGGATGGGTACTCGATCATTGTATAACTGAAAGCACAAAAATTTGTAAGTCTACAACTGTATCTCATGGTGTTTCACTAATAAAAATTTTTTTAAAAAAAGAAAATTTTCAAAGTTTTAATAATCGTGACAAATTTACAAATAAATGGAAATTTCACTGTGGAAAAAAAAGACTGGGGCTGGAGTGATAGCACAGCGGGTAGGGCGTTTGCCTTGCACGCGGCCGACCCAGGTTCGATACCCAGCATCCCATATGGTCCCCCTGAGCACCACCAGGAGTAATTCTTGAGTGCAGAGGCAGGAGTAACCCCTGTGTGTTGCTGGGTGTGACCCAAAAAGCAAAAACACAAACAAGCAAAGAAGGAAAAGACATCGGTAAGGTGTTGTCTATGCACCTATTTCCCTTCAGTTTCATACGCAGAGGGCAAATGTAGCTAAGTTTGTCTTTGCAAACGTCCCTAAGTCGTCCTTGTGTTGGTTTGATTCGGTGCCAAGTCTAAGCCAGTTGCATCTTCCCCAGGACACAACCCCTGAACGAAGCGCCGTGGTCTTTGGCTCTCCCTACCGTCGAGTCCACAGAGGAATTCGCTCACTGGGTCCTTGGGGCTGAGCAGCTGCCCTCCCTGGGCCTCAAGGCCGGCAGTAGCAGATTCCGGCGCTGGCCCAGGCACATGGAAAAAGCTCGCAGAGTTGCGTGGGAGGCAACACGGTTGGCCTGTGGCTGTTCACATCTAGGAAATTTTCTGGCAAAATGTGACTGATGTGCCGAGAGCCTGCTGGCACGAGCAGCAGACAACAGCATCACTGTCCCCAGGCGATCCACGGAGAAAAACGAGCCCAAGTGGGCACGTGTGGACGGGAATGACAGGGAAAATGGCACGTGCTCGTCCAACCAGGGCTTGGGCACAGACACAGACGTGGGGGGTGGGGTGAGGAGGAAGGTGGGAAACTTCGGAGTAGCGCTGACAACCAGTGGGTCAGGGAGATGAGTAGGACCCCAGCTGGGAGGCTTGGAAAGGTGGGAGCCTACTGTGGGCCTCGACATGGAGGAACCAAGAGGGCGTTACCTCAGGGAAGAGGACAAAGAAAGGCAAATGCCACCGGGTTTATATTAGTCCAGAGCAGGAGATGCAGAAACCCAGTGGATGAATGAGCAGAGTGAAACAGCTGTCAAGTTTTCAAAGAAAGGATCAGAGCCTGGTGGGCAGAAGGGGAGGAAGGAGAGGCCAGATAGAGAGAAAGAGAGTGCTAAGGGTTGGGCCTGGGCTCTGAATATGGCCAGCTCAGGTTCCAGCACCCCAGTGGTCCCCCAGGCCTGGCCAGGAGTGATCTCGGAGCACAGAGCCAGGAGGAAGCCCTGAGCTCCATGAGGGGCGATCTCAGGAAAAAGAAGAAGGTGGGGGAGGCGGAGGCAGTGAGGAATCCTGGGTCCATGAGTCACAGGCAAGGTGATGGGTGGGAGGTGGCGGCTAGGAGGAAGAGGGCATGTCACGTACTTTCTGTTCCACAAGGCTGAGCACCAGCTACTAAGGGTCAATCAGCTCATTCATATCTGGTGTCAGTAAGTATTTCATTTTGCAACCGGGGTTAAGTTTTTATTTGTTTGTTATCTGATTCCGGACCACACCCAGTGGGGTTCAGGGGCCATTTCTGGCCCTCTGTTCAGGGTAACCCCCTTCAGGGCTCGGGGTACCTCACGTATGTGGTTCTGGGGATGAGACCCGGGTCAGCTGCATGCCAGGTAAGATTTTTTAGCTCCTATACTCTCTCTGGCCCTGGGATTTTAAGGTATTCTTACTTGATTTTATATTGAAAGATTTGCCTGAGAACATAAAAATTGTAGACAGCTGTGTTATAGCTTATCCATATGGAATAATTCAGTAGGATTCAATGTTAGATCCAAAGAAGTAATGGAAAAACAATGGTCAAATGAAGAATACTGTTTCTGATATTGCTCTATGGACCTATTTGTGTATTTGGGGGGTGGGGTGAGCCACATAGGGCTGTGCTCAGGGCTTACTCCTGGCTCTGTGTTGAGGGATCATTCCCGGCCCAGCTTGGGGGACCACATGGGATGCTGAAAGTGAAACTAGACTCCACCGTGTGCTAGACATGTACCTCACCCACTGTACTACATCTCTGGCCTCACATCTGTGTTAAAATATCACAACTGGAAATATTAAGGTATATATATTTGAACATGACCTTAGGTAAAACTTATCTGATTCTTTACCTCCATTCCCAGGTGGATAAATAGGGACGTATGCACTCTAGTTTCTGAGAAACAATAAACTATCTGCTTTGTACGTAAGCAGACAGGAATCCATTATATAAACATGGTATCTTAACGCCCCAAAGTGCCTACAGGAAGAATTTACTATTGAAAGACAATAGATGAATATTTTACAATAAAAAGGTGACTATGTGTCATTTAATAAACATTTTTTCAGCAATCATTTCCGTGAAAGAGATTGGATCGTTGTAAATAATATCGTATGGCATTGGCTACAAAAGTCATTTGAGTTCAATCATACTCTACATTTTAAAACTTATATTCCAAACAAGTCCAAAGCATGTTTCATTCCAAGTGGAGTCAGCCACATATTAAATCATGCCACACTGATTAGCAAGGTGGGGCTTTGACTGTAACATCATTTGTTTCAAACCACTAAATTCAGGAGCTTGGACACACAAAGCCATGAGAGAATGCCTACGATCCTCTCCCGAAAATGCTTTTGAATATCTGCTTTGGCAGGCAGACATAAAAAGCACAAAATTAAGTCAACAAATTTGGTCCTAGAAGGTTTAAACGAGAGTTTCTGTTCCCAGACACAAATGTTACTCCCATCCTCAGTGCCTCAGTAATAATACCAAGCTTGGGCTGGAGAGACAGTACAGCGAGTAGGGCATTTGCCTTGCACACAGCCCACCCAGGTTTGATGCCCAGCACCGACCACTGCCAGGAGAGATTCTGAGTGCCGAGCCAGGAGTAAAGCCCTGAGCACTCAGGTGTTGTCCAAAATAAAATAATACAAAGTTAAAAATAATAATAAAGCTTATTCTTTTAAGATTAAATCTAGCTTTGTAATAAATCTAGCTCTCATTGAGCATAAGTATTTGCCTCATATAAATACGTTTTATTCTTTTCATCTACGCAATCACTCTACATGTAACCATTAAAACCATTTTTACAGACAAGAAAGAAGGTACAGAGAGTTACAGGTATTGGCACGGC